TGTAAACGTAGCTTATGTAAAGTTGGGCATTTTCACCCACCACGCTTAATTAAACTCGTAATATTATTTTTTTTCTACATAGTATGGCTTTATCTTAGGTTTTCTTTATGTTTTTTAAAAATCCTTTGTTTATGATGATAACATACCGGCATAACTGTTTTATTTCTTTTCGTATTTTTTTAATTACCGTGTAATATTCCATACGAAACCTTTAATAGCCGACGTCACACAGGTACTCATGATGTCATTCATTCAAAAGTTCTGTAAGTGTCTGGATAAAGAAGCCTTTTTGGTCATGCGCCCCATGATGTTAATTAAGATTTTCCAGTAATAAATGAAAACAGTGGATTATAGATTCATATACCGTCTGTCGATGTAACAAAGCATCATACTTTAAGTATTTTGAAATGTTTTAATTGCATCATAATTATCGTTCAGGTATTATTAAATTACTTGAACATATTTTAATAACCGACATTATTGGGTTATAGGCTTAAAACTGGTATGTCAATTTAGCAGTCGTATCAATTATTAGGCCTTTTGCTTCATGTTGTAGTAAATGAAATGAAATATGGTTTAACGTCCCACTCTTCTGCATCGACCGTGCTAATGAAGACAGTCTATCTTATATCGATTTCCAGCTGTCAAGGGTTCTTTTACGTGCACGTCAATGTGTACACGTTACCTCGGTTTTGCGTCCCGAACGACTATACGATTAATGATTAGTGAGCCAGTGCCTTAGTGACTACCACTGAACACATAATTTGCGTATACGAAAATAACTATTTGTAACGGCGGAAATACAACAAAACCCTTCCACATGTTTTTTTGCTTCAAAGTGACCAAAGTATCTTGTGTGTATGTGTGAGAGAAAGAGAGAGAGAGAGAGAGCGAGAGAGAGAGAGAGGAGGGTTTAGCGTCCGCTTGACACAAAATATGTCATTTCGGGTCTAACGTATGGTTCAGTTTTATTTCAATAATTCGCTTGCGCGTAGGGGTCTTTAGCCGTGGGAGGAAACCGGAGGACCCTGAGAAAACCCACGAGGCGAACCTACTCCTTGTCACGTACAACCTGTGAATCGAATCCACGTCAATTGACTCAATGACAGACCTGATTTCACGCGAAAGCGATAAACAACTAACACCCCCCCCCCCCCGCAAAGTATCTTGTAGACATAGAAATGTTTGTCTCGATGTGACAGAAGTGCTTTTTTGACCAGACATTAAATATCTTTCCATCTCTTTTCTTTCATCTTTTGGACCAGAGTTCCGACCATTTTGAAACATGTTAATCTGACAATATGGGGCTGTATGATTTATTGTCGATCCGGTAAACTACACAGTAATATTATCATAACAATATAACTAAACGGTATAGGAATAAATAACACATCAACATGTTCATTCATATTCAATAACCACAGCCGTGGTGGGGTTTCTTTATCAATAGTATGGCTAGATAATCGTCTCTCCCTCAACATAAACATTAATCGTGAAAGGAAGATAGTGGACAGACCACGTCTAAATTGCATTCCCCCGACTGTAGATTAGCTATTATTTTACCATGGAAATGACCAAAATGTCAGTGAATTATTTGATGCAGACAGTCCACATCTAAATTGCATACCCCCGACTGTAAATTAGCTATTATTTTATCATAGAAATGATCAAAATGAGAGATCTTGAATCTGTTTCAAACCACAATATTGGGAAAGTTGAATCTCTATTGTTCAGTTCTGTTCAGTATATCTACAAATATTATGAATTGGTTTTGTTTTCTTTATTCGTATTCAATAACCAAAGACGTGGTGGGATTTCTTTATAATAGTGCCACTTGATAATCGTCTCACCCTCAACATAAACATCAGTCGCGAAAGGTAGGTTTTGACTGCAAATTAGTTATTATTTTACCATTAAAGAGATGTATTAAAAATGAACAAAATGTCCCCTGATAATGTAGCTACAGGTGCGTTTTCTTTTGTTTTTCTAAATAAATGTTGCGAGTCGGTGATCGTCATACGGCATTTTATATCCATTGCAAACTAGAATATGAAATATAACACAGCAGTTTCATGGATAACCATCACTAATTATTTATACACACGAGGGTGGGTGGGTGGTCAAATGTTTAACGTGTATGCGTAGGATTAGAAGGTCTGTTATTGAGCCAAGTGGCGTGGTTTCGATTCCTCGCTTGTACATGACAAGGAATAGGGGTCGCCTGTCGAACCTCGTAGGTTTTCTCCGGGTCCTCCGCTTTCCTCCCGCTAAAGTCAACATCACTGATTTTCGAGTGGGCGAATATTTCGCTAAAAAAATAGTCAAATGACATAAACCCGGTTGGAGGAGAAAAGTGTGACGTTTAACCCCATTCCAATTCGACTATGAAATAAATTGGATGAAATTTTCTCAAATATTAGATTGCATTAAATATATTACATGTATTTACTTCAGAAATATCAAAACCTTCAGGGTTGTATTACGACAAACTACACCATCTGGTAAAATCGTTTGGTCAGCACGAGCCGAGCACGCGCCAGTAGTTCAGCAGTTAATTACGTCAGTTTACCGTTTAATCACCTATCCAGTGTAACTTTCAGAGACAATAGATCTTTGTCCTTTCGAGAAAACTAAAGCAGAACTAATTCAGAACTTACAGCTAAAGCCGATTGAATTACTCTAATTAACAGCCAATTAGTCAACAGAGACTGTCCAGTGGCCGAAGACCTTTGACCAAAAGCGTGTCAGATTTCTGTGTCCATTTACCGTTGTTTGACGTAAGGTCTTGTTAAGACGTCACCTCATGTTTACATCACTGACCGCCATCTTTCATTACTCGGACAAACGTCATTGATGCGAGAAACCTTATGCGACCTTACGTGACCTGGCCAACCTGGCCATATTTGGACAAAAGAGGGACATCTTGTGGTCAGTATTTAGTGGACGTTTAGCTATGAGAAAATTGAAACCAAAAGTGATAAATGTTATCCGTTAATTGTTAGAGGAGCTCCGCTGTGTGATTAGTTGACGCCTAATGAAGGATTAGTCCGCGAATAAACATAGCGATAATTAGGTGGAAACAAGTTACGAATATAAAACAATTTGTGGTCGATATTCGTAGAAATTTCATTTAATCATAGAACTAGAATACTAACGGGAACGCCCACTGTGTGACGTATAACGGTGATGACATAAGTGTATTCCAGTTGTATGATTTAATGTTTCAAGTGATATTGTAACATAAATTTTGCCTATTTTTAGACTGGAGAAAAAGCTATTTTTTCTTGAAGACAATTGGGTGGAAATTATTTACGAAAATAAAACTATTTGCGGTGGATATTAATAGAATTATTTCATCATATTATAAATGCTGCCATGTCTTTTTAGTCGATATTTATAGAATTGTACTAAATCATTTCTAAAGATACACTAGTTTTTAATATAAATTTTTCCGCGCATAGTCCTATTTTATTTTTGTTTTAATCGTCGAGAAAATTTTGTGGTAGATATTTATAAAATTTCATTTAATTATTTCTAAGGATATGTTATACCATAAAGTCTTCCGCGTATAGGGGGTTTGGTGGCTCAATGGTTAGCGCATGTGCGTTAAATCAGAAGGTTTGTCATTTAGTCAAGTGGCGTGGTTTTGATTTCCCGCTTGTACGTGACAAGGAGTAGGATCGCCTGTCCAGCCTCGTGGGTTTTCTCTGGGTCTCCGGTTTCCTCCCACTCTTTAAGACCCCTACGCGTAAGCGGATTATTGAAATAAAGTTGAACCGTGTGTTAGTCCCGAAATGACCTAGTTTGTGTCGAGTGGACGTTTAACAACATCTCTCTCTCTCTCTCTCTCTCTCCCTTCCGCGTATAGGCATATTCTGAGAAAAAATATTTTGAGGTCGATAATCATATAAAATTGCATTTAATCATTTTAACCACATCATACGAAACCTACGTCGTATGTCTACAATTGGGAAAATGTATTTTTTGTAGCTTGTAAAGCTAAAGATGTAAAACGAATCAGAACCGCATAACAAAATTGTACACCAATTTTTCAACGTGGAGGCCATGTAGGACACAGATCTATTCTCAAAATACAGAGTTCTCTGTGTGCAGAATGTAGTGATATTAACAGGCAGAATGCTGGCGTTTGCCGAGAAAGCTCATCGGCAGAGAGAGAGAGAGAGAGAGAGAGAGAGGGGAGAGGTAGGAGGGGGTCCACTATTTTATTTGAACTATTCGCTTGTTCAGGAGGTAAGTTCACTCGACCACCCAACCTCATGGATATGGTCAAAGTCATATGACAATCACGATAAAAACACAAAGAGTCCGCGTCGCGCCGAGTTTAATACCACTTAAAGTCAGTGTTTCCCAATCAGTGGGTTGTCGAGTGGTCTAACATGTGCGCTTTAGATCATGAGGTCTGTCACTGAGTGGTGTGATATCGATAATAAGCTTGTACGTGACAGGGTGTAGGGTCGACTATCAAACCTTGTGGGTTGTCTCCGTGCCCCCCCCCCCGGTTTCCTCCCTTGCTACAGACACCTATGCACACTCGCATTATTGAAGTGAATGGGTTTGTCGATTAGACGTTAAACCCGTCTTCATTACCACAGTTGGTGTAGAAAACTACCTGATGCTAAACTCCATTTCATTTCATCTCACAGACCAATTTCACCAGAACAAATATTCGCCCCAAAGAAAGAAGACATTACGTTTTGCTGTGACTTATTGTCATCACAATTGGTTAAGTAATGGGAGATAACTCTGTTTTTCAAAACCGTAATCGCACAAGCTTTTTTTTCTTTATTCCAGTCAATGTTAAATTCAGGCTTCACCATACCGTGAATTCTAATTAAAAAGAGATTTATATGTCACAATTATCTGATAAAAGACTTTAAATGAAATGGGATCCACCGCCCTACTGTTATGCTCCGACTTGGCTAATAACGACGAAGGAGAAAATAAAATTATAACATCTACAATAGAACATATATAATATCTACAATAGAACATATATAATATCTACAATATAACATATATAACATCTACAATAGAACATACATAACATATACAATAGAACATATATAAAATCTACAATAGAACATATATAGCACCTACAATAGAACATATTATATAGCACCTACAATAGAACATAATTATATAACATCTACAATAGAACATATATAGCCCCTACAATAGAACATATATAACATCTACAATAGAACATATATAGCCCCTACAATAGAACATATATAGCATCTACAATAGAACATATATAACATCTACAATAGAACATATATAGCATCTACAATAGAACATATATAACATCTACAATAGAACATATATAGCAACTACAATAGAGCATATATAGCATCTACAATAGAACCAGTGGCGTCGTGCCCATTGGGCCCCCCCCCCCCCCAAATTCCCAGGGAAATAAAAATATTTTTATTGATATTATTCAGACCGTTTTAGTCATCACACGGTCTCCACGAATTGTATAATTTGTCATTATCTGTGTTTAGTTTATTGCACTTTAGTTTAGATGTCATTTGGTAAGGCCTCGCTCAACAGCGGCCTCGCTTCGTACACTCTATCATTTAGCCTCGATCTAAAATTTCCGGCAATATGACGTCAACGTAATGATTAATCTCCGCTCACGATGCCATTTAAAAATTTAATCAATCAATGAAATCCTGTTTAAATCCAAGCCATCCGTGGGTCTACAGAGTTGATTTTGTGCTTGTTGTGTAAATAAAGATCTAATTTATAGAGTTTGCTGTAGCTAGAAAATCCCTATTTATGATTGTATGTTGTATTTGATAAGATATCTATATACGGGTGTCAAAAATAAAGACTGAAAGTATTTTTTTTATTAAAATACAAATACATCAAAATACGTATTTGACCATAACCCTGGCAGAGGTTGGGGTGGAGGAAGGAATCGGGTTTTGCATGAAGTTGTTCTAAATTTCCATTCAATAATTAAATCGAAGTTCAGATGAATAAAATATAATTCAATTTTCGAGTGATAAATTAAAATTATCACTAAAAAACCGACCATTTTTCAATCATAACTTTATTGTCTCTAATCCATCGAAATGGCGTTTACCGGCTTCTAATTTTAAAAATTTCCCGGGGGAGGGCCCCACGGACCTCCCTTGCATGCTCGTGCCTGCGGCCAGTAAATTCAATTGCAGAAAATTGCCCCACCCCCCCGACATTTTTTTTTTTTGCACGACACCCCTGAATAGAACATATATAACATCTACAATAGAGCATATATAACAACTACAATAGAACATATATAACATCTACAATATAAAGCACCTACAAAAGAGCATATATAGCAACTACAATAGAACATATATAACATCTACAATATATAGAACCTACAATAGAGCGCTCTAACACCTACAATAGAACATTTATAAAATCTACAATAGAACATATAACATCTTAACATCTACAGATTTGATCAAAGTTCACGAGATGTAGACAGGGCTAGGGCTAGCGCTAACCGAGGTGTGTTAAAATATATTAAATATAGGTAATAATAAAATCATCGTCACAAACCAGTTGATAAGAAAACATTGTTAAAATATATTTAATATGGATAATAATAAAATCATCATCTCAAACCAGTTGATAAGAAAACATTGTTAAAATATAATTACTATGGATAATAATAAAATCATTATCTCAAACCAGTTGATAAGAAGGCATTGTTAAAATATATTTAATATGGATAATAATGAAATCATCATCACAAACCAGTTGGTAAGATGAACACATTGTTAACATATATTTAATATGGATAATAATAAAATCATCGTCACAAACCAGTTGATAAGAAGGCATTGTTAAAATATATTTAATATGGATAATAATGAAAACATCATCACAAACCAGTTGGTAAGAAAGCATTGTTAACATATATTTAATATGGATAATAATAAAATCATCATCACAAACCAGTTGATAAGAATAGACTGGGCCGAGGAGTCGACATCACAATGTTCATCAGAACCAACACAATGTTGACAAGTGAACAAATTCTTTGGATCCCATTTCTTCTTAATAGTCAATAACCGCGCATAATTTGGTCCCCAGAATTGTTCCTTCCAGTCGTTGACATCTTGCGTAGGTTCGTTAAAATAAATGCCCTTTCCATATTTTTTCAGTTGATCACCATATTTAATGGCTGCCTTAGTTGCTTCGACATCTTTACTGGCATCAGGCCAGGCTAAATAGCACGTGAGGGAGTGTAGACCATTTCTGAAATATGGCGTTATTGATGTAACTTCTTGTGGATTGTTTCTCATTGCACCTGGAAATAGAATGACAATCACAAGCTCGATATAGCGTACAACAATAAGTTATTTAAGATATTGTATACCACTGTACGGCTGTCAGTTGTGGGTTGGGGATCACGACGTGGCTAAGTGGGTAAGACGCTTGCTCACTAGCCTGGAGGTCGGGTGTTCGATCCCTGCATTGGCCGAGAATGTTCATCCAGATTTTCCGGCGTGGTTTCCCCTTGTCAGTGATGCAGGACGGAGGGCCTGACAAGGACAGCTGTCTAGTCGTTCGGATGGGACGAAAAACCGAGGTCCCGTGTACACATTGGAATGCACGTAAAAGATCCCTTGGCAGTTGGAATTCGATATAAGAGTAGGCGACAGTGTCGCTGCCCGGGCAAAATTTCCCTCATAGCACACTGTATGGCGTATGCCCTCTTCATTAGCCCAGCATAGGAGCAGAACAGTAGGACGTTAAACCCCATTTCATTTCATTTCCTTCTATGATAGTTCAACAACAGATAATGCCAAATTAATATATGAAAAATTGCATTCAAATTACTTTATTCTGAGCGACGTTATCACTGTTTGGAGTTTTGATATAGTTGGATCCTAAATAACGGGGGGGGGGGGGGGGTTGGATGGCTGAATGGTTAGCGTGCGCGCGCTGTATCATAAAGTCTGTCATTGAGTCGACTGGCGTGGTTTCAAATCCCCGGTTGTACGTGGCAAGGAGTAGGGTCGCCTGTCCAACCTCGTGGGTTTTCTCCGGGGCCTCCGGTTTCCTTCCACTGCTAAAGACCCCTACGCGCAAGCGAATTATGTAAATAAAATTAAACCATATGTTAGTCCCGAAATGACCTAGTTTGTGTCGAGTGGACGTTAAACCCCATTTCTCTCTCTCTCCCCTAAATAACGTTACTTTGTAATCGAGATTCAGCCTTGCTTCTGAGCCCTCCGATGATCTAGAGAGTTAATTATAGGCTTGTCGTGTGAATAAATGTCTAAATATTAATTTATATCACATCTGAAGCCAAAATAAAACAAATGGAATAGGCAGATTTAGCTCCTACATAACGCATCGTTAAGAAACGAATACCAGTAATGTGACTTACCTCCAATAAGAACTGATGTACAGCCATGTAGAACTTGAGCTGGACCAGATATGGACTGTGTCATTAATGTATCCACCATACCATCATAATCACTATCATCCTGTGTCAGGGTATTAAACACATACACTCTCCCGTCACTGTTATCTGGTGCCACATCCTTCTCGTAATCCCAAAAACTGGTCTTGTTGGTGACTGTGTTAGCTAGCGGTGTCTGACTTATACTAGCTATCATTCCATCCCATTCGGTCTGAACAGTTGAACTCCACGTTCCATAGTAATTCATGTAAATTGTTATTATACCAAAATTTTTCCCAGTTAAATCTGTTGGGTAATTAGTAAATACAATGTATCCTCCCCATCCTTGAGACATGTTTATGCTGTATTTAAAGACTTTTTTCAAGACATTACTTCCTGGAATTTCTTGATCAACAATCAGTGGGTAGGAAGCACTAAACACAACCATCCCAGGTGGAGGGTCATGCAGTTTAAAGGTGAAGGTCGTTACGATTCCCCATGTGCCCCCTCCCCCACCTCTTATTGCCCAGAACAGATCTGTATCTGAACTTTCTGTTACAGTACCATTAGCCTCCTGTATTTTAGTCCCATCAGCAGAAACAGTAACGAGTCTTCCATCAGCTGAAACCAGTGTGGCTTCAAGTAGATTATCTACAGCTAATCCCAGACTTCTACAGACCGGACTGTGTCCTCCACCCTGTGTATATCCTCCCATACCTACATTGTGATCGCTTCCACCTACCACAACGCGGTGACCGTATTTATCAACCTGAAAAATAAACGAACACGATAGTACTTAACATGGACTAGGGAACGAGCATGACACCAATGCCGCCATCTTTGAATTGTGACGGCATAAAAATTCGAATTCTGTGATCCAATGCGCACTTGTCCGAGGAACAAGCATGCCTCGTTTTTTATGTTGATCGGAAACCTTGGATTTTTTCGAAGTAGCGCTTTGGATCAAGTTTCGGGTCAAAAAGCGAGGGTGATATCCCGTAGGATGACCACCTTTGCTTGATCATATTGCGGAACATTATCTTTTTAAAAAACTGAGGCAGTATGAAAACAATGAAATATCCACACAAGCTTGGTTTGTCTTCGTATGTTTTGTATTCATATGCCAGCATCATCTTGAATTTAAAAATACCGAACACAATTTCTTTGCAGGTGTAAAAATACCTTTCTTTTATTTCAAACAAAATATATAAATTATTAATTTGTGCGGCAGAACCATTTGAAAGGGTACGTGTAAATATATATCATGACGTTGAATGAAAGTTTTAAGTTACAATCAAATGGCTGCCGAATTATCATCCATGTACATTATTTCAGATTTTACCTCTAAAGTTCAATCAGGCTAAATGTTGATCTTTTAGAGGCATTTAGTAACTGGACAGAGCAATAAACTATAACACATATTTGTGGAAGAACAATTACTGATTTATTTAGGTGACGTTTAATGCTAAATGTTGTGAACCTGATTGAGATTTTATTAATCTGATCAAAATACAGATCTATATTTCGTTTCGTTTTTTTATACTTTCGATGGCCTACACTACATGAAGATCTGACAAGTTATAGCGATAGGTCACATCAGGGGTGAAAAGACCAACTTATGACCCTACGACGTCAGACATTTGATTAACCAATCAGCATTGATGTTACTAGTGGATTACCCACAGTTCCGTGAAAAACACGCCTAAAGTTCGCCGTAACAGACCGTTTCATTGGCTTATCCCCGACACCATTCAGAACACGAGTTAAATAACAACTCTTCCAGATCCAAGTGTAGTAAAGACAAGTAAAACGAAATTTTGAACTATAAAAACGAAACGAAATAGGATCTGTGTTTTAACCAGATTGAGATTTTATAATAACTGAGTATAAAGGATGTTAGGCTGGTTAAAGATGCATTATTTAAGAGCTAAATTTACCTATTACAGACCTTTTCTTTGACCTCAAATGGTATATAAATAATTTATGCGACATTTATTTACATACCAGGCCCCAAATCAACTTTCTAGAACTTCGGATTATTTTGATTTTCAACAGATTTATTATTTAATTTAAAATGACAATCGAGAGTACACTGTTCCGTCAACCACGATATATCCTCTCAGAATGCAGTAATTTGAATGAAATATTCAACATATTCCCTTTTCATTATCTATTTTTATAAAATATTATAGCAAGACTTCTCAGCTGTTTATCTAAATCTCACGTAATGCATCTTTAACTTTCATTGAATGATGACCATATCATGCTATATATATATATTACTATACAAGATACCTTTACACCATCATCTATTATGCATCAATAGATATATTTGAATTTTAATAATTCAGAGACGACAAAGCGAAAGCGAATGTAATTGATACTCAGTTAAATCACGTATACATATTAACAAGCAAATCGATACATCCATTGTCTTCCAATAGTTTTTTTATATATAAAATGTGACCACGTTATTTCTGGTCTTATAAAATTAAGACTGAGTCCAAGTAACTTCTATGTGATTTATTAAACATAGATAAATCAACAAATATTTACAAGAAAGAGAGAGATCTGATCCGTTCTAAACCATAGCTCACTCTGTTTTTGAAATACAGTTCTACAAAATATATAACAGATAATCATAACACATTGACAATTAAACTATAAAATATAGCCTCTTAGTTGAAATCTAAAACAATAGTTCGTTGTGTAGAGAGATTGGTCAATGACCAATTCTTAATCTTTCCATTGTTTAAACTCCAATGCTTCGTCTAAATTATATCTGACGTAATATAATAGCCAGTGGCTGGTTTAATAAGGTTCTATAGCCCAGGGCCCAGTTGACATCATATTGTAAAGAGTTTTACTCTATCTGTTTTTATAAGGACAATATGTCACTCATGCCAGTGTTGGTTTAATTTAACACGTAAATAAAATAGATTTAAAATACATTAATGGTGTCAAAGATATGTTTACCAAAATGGGGAATATAATATTGAATTTTAATATATAGAACTCATATCACTTATGTCGGTCATAAAAATATAAATGCATAGCCTTCGGGCACGGCAAATGTCCCAGTAGTTAGCCATTGTTCTCGGTTTATGTGATTCACCATGTAACAAATGCTATTATTTATTTAATTTTATTGTTCTTTGGGTAACACTGGGGGTTAGGTAGTCCATTGGTTAACGCGTGTACTTTAGATCATAAGTTCTGGCATTGAGTCAAGTGGCGTGGTTTGATTCCCCGCTTGTACGTGACAAGGAATAGGGTCGCCATCTAACCTCGTGGCTTTTATCCTGGTCCACTTGTTTCCAACCAAAGCTAAAGACCTAATGTGCAAGCAAATTATAGTTTGTATCGAGTGGGCGTAAAATCCCATTTATCTTTTTCTCTCTATTCTCTCTCTCTCTCTCTCTCTCTCCCTTGACTGTTTCGAGTTTGAAATGACTCACTGACAATAATTAGCTTTGGCTGTTTATTCTACAGAAAAGGTCTAGCATACGAAAAAGCACGTTTTCCAAGTTGTAAGTGAAAAGTTGGAGATTTTAGAAGATGTATTGTCTGAGAACTGAGATTTCTACTGGTAGTGCAGGTCTATGTGGATTAATTATATTCATTTAACTTTATTGTAGTTTAAACATATTTTATTGACAAATATCAAAAGGATTGAGCACAAGTTTCAAAAACTTAGAAAAGCCCTTTCCATACATAGAAATGATAGACATTATTTAATACTAACAAGATTTCGAAATAGTATATACAATAATAAATAATTTATAAGTAATATAAGTAAAGTCAGATGAATTATATCTCAAAGCTCTATATAAAATAAGTGAAGAGGTGATAAAGAGAATATAAAATTATATTTAAAACATTGAAAAATAAAGTTTAATAAATGGGATATAAATGAACTGATGCATGTATAAAATGATAAAAAGAAATAATAATAAAAAATAAAAAAAATGGGGGGTGGGGGGTGCGGAAAAAAAAAAAAAAAAAAAAAAAAAAAAAAAAAAAGTTATCCACCAAAAAAGCTAAAGCTAATAATTTATTCTAAGATGTAACTACTAACAATAACTTTTATTTAAATTTAAATCGTTTTGAAAGTTTGATATATTTGTGAACTTCAAGGAAAAGGTTTGTATTCATCTCAATTGACAATTCTGAATTGCCGCACAATAGGATATCTATATTTATCACAGAATAACTTGACAATGTATTTAATAGTTCAGCACGAATTACATCATATAAGTGACATTGCAGGAAATAGTGTTCGGCATTTTCTATAAATTTGCCACAAGAACATGTGGGATCATTCACAACGTTTATTTCATACAAATCATTTTGCAACGAACTACACCCATGCCGTATTCTAGTGTGAATAATATTTTCATGTCTATTACCTTTACAGTAGTAGATTGGCGCTTTATGTATTAAGGAACGTAATTTTTGTTTGTATAGATATTTGAAGGATTTAAGAGTGGTTGATTGCTTTATGGGGTCCTCTAATAATTCCCAATCTCGAATTGTTGTGGGGAAGTACGAAGTTTGGTGTAATGCTGTTCTACAATAAGGATATCTATATTCGCTAATGTTTCTTAAATTGTATTTTTGTGGTGTTTGTTGATAATATTCTAGAATGTCAAATAAGTATGCTGGGTTTCTCTGATTTTTAATTTGAAAAAATGTGGTTAGTCGCTTTTGTGTACGTCTGTCTGACAATTTATTCCATCCGGTTTCAAAATAAAGCGCTTCACGAGAACAAGTTTTAGTTAGTCCAGTCACAATCCTGGCAGCTTCTAGCTGTACCTTTTCAAGTTTTTCGGTATTGGAAACGTTACACCCATCCCACACTTCACATGCGTATTCCAATTTTGGCCTTATGAATATCAAATATACGTTATTTAGAGTTTGTCTATTAAAGGTGAATTTTAGTTTACGCAAAATATTTAATAATTTTGAGGTGGACGAGATAATAGTTTCTATATGGATGGTCCATTTGGCGTCATTTGAAAGGGTAATGCCCAAGTGTTTGTGACATTTAACCACTTCAAGTGCTTGATTATCGAATATCAGACTCGGATAATTTTCTGTTTTTTTGGAGCTAAATAAAATAGCTTTTGTTTTGTTTGGATTAAAGTTTATAAGCCAATTATTCGCCCAAATGTTGAGATTCGTCAGATCGTAGTTTAGGGACTGTTCTATCTCTGAAACTGACTGTTTGCTACACCCAAGTGCCGTGTCGTCTGCAAATAATCTAGCCACATTATGGAGTACATCTTGTACATCATTGATGTAAGTCAAAAACAAAAAGGGGCCCAAAACTGATCCCTGGGGAACTCCTGATTGAAGAGTAATTTCTGATGACACAGAGCCATTTACGAATACCCGTTGAGTCCGGTCTTGGACATAACTAGACAACCACGTAATTAGCATGCCTGAAACCCCATATTGACTTAATTTGTGAATCAAACCAGGTAAATATACGCGGTCAAACGCTTTAGATATATCGCAAAAAACATAGCAGGAATATAGTTGCTTATCTATTGCAGATGAGATATCATGATACACTTCTAAAAGTTGATGAACAGTAGAGTAGTTCGGTCGAAACCCTGATTGGTATTTGTACAAGAGATTGTTTTCATGAAAATAGTTAAACAGGTGTTTGAAAACTACCTTTTCTAATAATTTGCTCAAAGAACTTAATAGGCTTATAGGTCGGTAGTTTGAAACTAGAGAGCTGTCTCCTTTTTTATAGAAAGGTAGGACATTTGCTTTTTTCCAAATTGTTGGAAAAACGCCTGATTCTAGTGATTTGTTAAATATATATTTTAATGGTACACATATTGAGGTTTTGGTATATTTTAGTAACTTGTTACTAATATTATCAAATCCATTGGCTTTTTTCAATTTCAGTGTACTTATAAGATCTGCGATTTCCTTTTCTTCGACTAAAGGAATATCAAGTTGACAATTTGTTCGCTTATTGAATTTTGGTAATTCTCCTTGCTGAGTGTTATTTGAAATTGATCCGAAATAGTTGTTAAGTAATTCAGCTTTATCAAAATTTGAATGAGCAATTCTTCCATTGGGGTCTAAAAGTGGAGGAATATCATTTGATACATTTTGGCCTAATACTTTCCTTAAATTATTCCAGTAATTCTGGCTATTTGTATCGTTAGAATTCAAGAAATTTGTGATTTCTTCTTTGTATTTTGTTTTTAACGCTTTTTTAAAATTATTTACTTTATTTCTTTGAACTTTGTATTTTCTTAAATCGCATTCATGTTGTGTTTTCAAAGCTTTTTTGTGTAACCTGTTTCTGATTCTTATCGCTCTACGTATTTCTGTATTGAACCACGGTTTGTCAGTTAGTCTTATAGTTATTGATTTCTTTGGTATGCACAATGTAATATAGCTATTTAAAATTTCATAAAATTTTGAACATACTAAGTTAATATCAGAATTTGCAAAGGTACTCTCCCAATCGTGTTCTTTGATAAGAGTATTTAACCTATTATAATTACCATCCTTATATACAAATATCTCCCGTTTAAAATTCCTGGGACTTGAAACTAGAAAATCTAATAATGCATAAACACCCTTATGATCGGATATGTCAGGAGTGACATTAATCGTTTCACTGGAACTAATCTGAATTTCATCATTTACTAAAATTACGTCTAATAAGGTTGACGACGTCCCAGTAACGCGTGTAGGTTCATCAATAACATTTCTGAGATTATTTAAAGATAAAATATCCCGTAGCTTGCAGCGTTGTGCTAGCAAGTCATCATTTAGATCACCTAAAATTACAACCTTAAGCGTGGTTTGATAGGCTAGTTCAATGGATCTTTCGAACAATGACCAGAATTCAATTGTGCTGTTTGGCGGGCGGTAAAATAAGGCAACAAGTAATACGGTGTTTGGAAATTTGCATTCCACCCAAATACTCTCTATACCTGTAACCTCAAGATCATCTCGCCGTTTGCAATAAATGGTTTTATTAACATATAATAATAATCCGCCACCATGCGACGTCCGATCCTTCCGGTATGGAGAATGGTAACCGTCCCATTTTAGAGATGAATCTAACACATAGTTATCCAGATGAGTCTCAGTGAAACTACAAATATGGTAATCATTGACATCGTTGTATATTGTTTCAAGTTTGTGTCTTATACTACGTGCATTTAAGTGATAGACTGATAGGTTTTCATTTGAATCGTGATTTGAAGGTCCAGGATTTTTATGAACGTCTCCTGATCTTAGAACTAATAAGGCTAAAACAGTACTTAGCAGACAAAAATTATCAAGTTCACATAAAACTATTGGAGATATTATTCGACATTGCCATTTCTCAGATGCCTCGTGCTTTACTGTGTAGTAAATGTCAACTATTACAGTAGCAATGAAAATATAATGAGTGTTGCACTTGCGCCAGTATTGCACGAGGGGACTGAGAAATCATCAAACAGTTAGATCTTAAATATTTAGTGGTTAGTTTTGGTGGATATAGAGACATGAGAACATGATGTAAATAACTAGTAAACAAATAAAACATACATACAGACAAAAACAGTGAATTATTTACAGTTAAAGCAATAGTATAATACATAAACATTGAATGTTTCGGTCATAGTTAAGTTAATATAACAATATCGTACGATGATATCTAAAGCAGGCAATTTTGACAAAAAATGAAGATGAAGGTTAAAGTGATAATACTTAGAGGGTGGTCAGTTTAACAATCCGATATGCAATTTTGATGCAAGACTGAGTTCCCATAATTGACAATTATTTAGATAATTAGCTGTTTATATTTCAGTAATTTAAATGGAATAAAAAACGAAATCAAAAGTTTAAACTGAGATGATAACCCAATTAGTTAATATTTGAATGGAACTTTTAAGTAGATAATTGAGAACTTTTAAAAGATACGCCCATAAATAATGTGGGCATAGTTTTATACATTCGATTTTTTTTATTATCATAATTAGTTATATAATAATATAAATGTATAACTACATGTAACTATGTATTATAAACTAAACAGTGGTCTAAGCTAATATTACTCTGTAATAGTTAGACAATAGGGAACCAACAAGTAAAATACATGTACATGACTTTACTTTACAGAAAGATTTTGTCATTGTTTTAAAAATCTAAGCAAACTTATTATTACATGAAGGATAATTGGGGCAATGGTGAATGCATGAAACGATTTGAGGTACTATCCAGTTGGTCATCAACTTAAAGATACATTATGGGCGATTAGATAAAGAGCTGGCATATCTCACTATAATAGTTAAAAACTAGATAATGTAAATGGAATTCGATTATCCATTTCATGATTAAATCATGAATGAAAGCTGAGCAGCAAATCGGATCCTACTCCAGTAAATATCGCAGGCTAGCGATGACATCGAGAGTTGATTATGGTCTGAATAAGTTTTAATTAATGTCTTAATTAATAATTTCAGGCCTAAAAAAGACCTGCAATACGCAGATTCAGCTCTTGCAATGGATGTTTAAATATAATTAAATACGTATATATATTTATGCATTTGTAGACATTAAGAAAAACAGGAAAAATCAGTACACAATAAGGTACAGTAGTTTGGGAATGATATTGATGAATGAAATTGGTTCAAAAATATAAAGATACTGTCAGGCATCATTATTTCTTTTTATCAGGCTGTGGGGTCGAGGCAAACCCGCCAAAATCTCGTAAGGATTGTTGTTTTAATGGCCCAACTCTGTTATCATCGTCTATACAGTCGGAAGATGTGTTGATTGCAGAATGTGATAAAGTAGCTTCGTCGTAGTTAAACAAAGACTTATTAGCTTGTGAATTTACTCTGTTTGTTGATGTATGAAAGTTATCGAAGTCCTGCTCACAGGTTATGACAATATTTCGGTCGTCTGCTAGAGGTCGTATGTAAACTCGACCATCATACGTCCAACAGTTTTTAATTAGCTTTGATTTAAACATATCACGACATCTTTTGTAGAGTGCAGCGCGTTTACGAGTGAGGGCTTCATTGATAAAGATCTTGTGAATCTGGGTGAGGTTTCTCTGTTTTAAGTTGCGTTTAGAACCATATATCTTTGCCCTGTCTCTATAACTATTGAAACGTACTATTATATCACGGCCCTTTTCTCTGCGTTTGGCTCCAACCCGGTGAGTTCGGCCAATTTGACTTAGTGTGAGTTTAGCCTGTTTTTCAGGAAGTATGTCATTGTTAATAATATTTAAAACTATATTATCAGTGTTTTCTTCAGGTGTTTCGGGGATGCCACTAAATTTTAGGCATGTTCGCCTAGAATACTGTTCTAAGTCATCGACTCGGTTCTCTAAATCATCTATACGATTGCGTAGAGGGTCTGTTAATGTTGGATGAATTATTTTTATAATGTGGTCCATGATCAAATCTCGTTTGAATAATTCTCCAACGAATGACTTTAAGGATGATTCATTCGAAAGAACATCATCTAAAAACTCAGAAATGCTATGGGAACTGGCACTCGAATCATGATTTCCGCGTTTACGTTTTATGGATACAGACCGACCTCTAAGATTGGATACAACCGGTTCTTTCACTTTAGGCATGTTTGGTGTTTTAGTGTAAGGTTGAACGAATCTGGCTGTTACAAAATCTACTCACAACAATCTCACACAACTGAGTATATGTCAACCGAGGAAAATATCTACACTTGTAAACATCAAATATTTTAAAATCGGCTCTACATAATGTTAATCTAATTTCACAGAACACTTCGTCTTCATACTTATCTAAGCTATGCAGTTTTTAGAACCATAATTTAAAGTATACCACTCATGATTTATAATAACTTGCTATGACCAGGTACACGTCTAACTTCTGTCGGCCATCTTTTCTACAGAAAAGGTCTAGCATACGAAAAAGCACGTTTTCCAAGTTGTAAGTGAAAAGTTGGAGATTTTAGAAGATGTATTGTCTGAGAACTGAGATTTCTACTGGTAGTGCAGGTCTATGTGGATTAATTATATTCATTTAACTTTATTGTCTTTGAGTTTGGTGACGGTGGTGGTGTTGTCGGTTGCGCTGCTGATAGTGGTTGTAGTTGTAGTGCAAGACAGGGGATGGGGTGTCAATGTTATATAAATTATATTCGTTTATATTTGTCTTGGTGGCGAGCAATAATTTCCATTTCTTATGTTTATTACATTAGAACATATATTTGAGTTAAACGTAATTAAAATGGGGTTTTCCGACCGACTGGGCTAATGAAGATTGGCATATATTGTGTCCTTTGAGGGACATTGTGCCAGGGACCGATGCAGCCAACTGTTATATCGAATTCCAACTGCCAAGGATTCTTTTACGTCTCATCCGAATGAGTATACGTTGTCCAAGGCCCTCTGTCCTGCACCACTGTCAGGGGAGGGGGTGCACGCTGGTGGATTTCGGTGGATTTTCAGTATGATGTACGGCTCACCATATCGGAGGCCTCCATTCACAAATCAGCCATGACAATAGTCGCGGTGACGAGTACACAGTAATTCGGGTTTTCGTCATTCGTCACATACGAACGACTAGACACCAAGTAAGGAGAGAGAGAGAGAGAGAGAAAGAGAGAGAGAAAGAGAGAGATATTTAACGTTCATTAACACAAACTAGGACATTTCGGGGCTAACAAATAGTTCAATTTCATTTCTTTAATTCGCCTGCGTGTAGGGGTATTTAGCAGTGTGGGGAAACCGGATAACATGGAGAAAATCCATGAAGTTGGACAGGCGACCCTACTTGACTCATTAACAGAACTAATGATGCAACGCGAACCACCAACCCCCTCCTTGCCAAAGGGAATCGACACTGAAAAGTCCGATGGATCCCGAGAACTCCTGGTTAGTGAACCAAACCTTATTTAGACATGTCAATATTTAATTCACTTAAAGGACAATATTGGTGCCAGCCATTATAAAATATGTTATAGAGCTCGTTAAATACATCCCAAATATAATTTTAACACAGAGATCATTGCTACGATAGCTGACACTGGATACGTTACATCGGGCATGGCATACGTCACCATCAATAATATAGGTTTGGTCGGATGCACTCGCTGTTACTACATGTAGTATACAGATAGAAGCAGTAAACCACAGTAAAACTGCTGACCTGCAATTAAATCAAATGTAAGATGTATACTTTGGGAAATGCTCTTGTTTTCATGTTTTGCATTTATGGATTACCTCCCTTGTTGAGAATTTGCTAACGAAGCCTATAAAGGTTATATCGGAGAATGCCAAATCAGAGACGGTCGAGCACATATGACATCATATGTGGGGTGTGCGTTAGGGTGAGAGTTAGGATTAGATCTAGGCCGTTAATCAGATTATTAATTTTGCTGTTGAAGGGGCGTAACTCGTTAAGGGCATTCTCAAGATTCTATCCTATGGTCTGTCATTGAGTCAACTGGTGTGGTCTCGATTCCCGGTAGTTCGTGACAAAGAGCAGAGTCGCCTATCCAACCTCGTGGGTTTTCTCCGGGTCCTCCGATTTCATCCCACGGATAAAAACCCCTACCCGCAAGCGAATTATTGAAATAAAATTGAACCATGTTTTAGTCCCGAAATGACCTAGTTTGTGTCGAGTGGACGCTAAACCTCATTTCCCTCATTTAATAACATCTAGATAAATATTTAATACCATTAGGTCTTATATGATAAAATCTAGTTATATAACTTAACAAACTTAGTCAATGATATCCTTAAAGCTGTTTGGATAATATATGGAAATCTATTTAATAGCATTAGGTCTTAGATAATAATGTCTAGATATATATTTTTAGATATATTTAGCTTATATGATATCTAGATAAAAAAGATTTCGCGTTCTATAATGAAATAAAGTGAAATTCAATAAATACCGGTACATGTACTTATTTTCATGGCTGGTCGTGTTTATATAACATTTAGAACAAATTATAGTTGTTCAGAATCTACGGTCACTGATATCAAACCTTAATCGGGAGTATGAATTTTACCATAAACCCTAATAAAACAGTGTTCTTATTCAGGATGCCAGAATGGGATTGGAGAACAGACTTAATTAACCTATGTACAGCCCCTTTCCTTGAACAGTTTGCGACAAAAGATTTTCAATAGAGTACGGGGTCAATAAATGGCAAACATTGTGAAATCGTGTGTTTGCTTATATACCTGAAATAGCTCGATCTAAAAATAGCAAATACTAAAAATATCTTACTGCTATAGAAAGCAAAATATATTTTATACGGTCAGTAAATACTATAGTTTCAGCAGCACAGAAAAGTACATACGTAACTGTTCATTTTGACAGTATTCTGTTCAAACAACTTTATAGTCCGCCCGCCTTTACAATCTTTGTGTTTATGGGAAATGAAATGAAATAGGGGTTAACGTCCTACTGTTCTTCTCCGGCTGCAGGCATACGCCATACAGTCACCCGATTTGCCCTCATAAATAGATTAGGATATCTGCCGCGTTCCAGTTGCTGCATGCAGCCTCTGAGGCTCAAAAGAGGGTGCCCAAATATGGGCTGGATCAAACATTGGGGATACCACATAGAAACAAGTTAAAATGAAAAAATAAATTTCAAAGGGTACAAAACCGGCTCTGCTAGACTAATTGTATTTATCAGGCCGAACAAATACCCCAGATCTTGTGCGGCTCTCTGCTTCATGCATACTGTCAAGTGTATAGATAAATCTAGCAATGCTTTTTTGTGGTGTTTCTTTTGTTGTGAACAATACTATTAACATGAATGATATTATTTAATTAACAGATAACAAAACTCATAGTTTTACCTTGTCATCTTCTTACAGTCGCCTTGACACACGTGTCATTGATATACCACAGACTATCTGTTGTCAGCTTGAGTTAAATAGGCCAAATAATCAAAATATCCCTGTTTACTAACGTGAACTACCGAACCGAAAAGACACGAAATATAAGGGGTCAGGAGGTACTGTACAGGTGTGAAAGTAGACTCACGGAGGGGCAGTGAACTTTTCAGGTAGCGGGGGGTTCTCTACTCCCGTACGAAGGAGAGTACAGGGGTCCTCCCCAGTGACGGATCATGAGACCGCCGGGTTCCGAGGCAGCCTATATAGCTGCCGGGCCCCAGTGACAGTGACTCTAGTGGGTGGGGTCTCTCCTCTTCTTGGGGTTTAAGGGTCCGGGGGTCCGCCCCCCCCCCCCGAGAATTTTTTGTGAAATACCGACCTAAAATGGTGGTCTGTGGAATATATCCCGGGCGGGGAGTCATATACTTAGTTCTAATTTAAGCAGAAGAAAACTATCGCAGAGAGGGGGCCAGTGGGAAGGGGCCCGATGATATCGGTTCGCGATTCTTGTCAAGCGAGCTGGTTGAGTGAGAAACGGCCGGGGCCCGGTGGAAATATTAGACAATTAACAAGATCGCTACTTGTCAACGAGAAATAATATTTCGGGTTTCGGGTTATGGAAACATTTCTGATGTCAACTACCTAATAATTCCATAACTATGTTTCACGATTTTTGGGAAATGGGTCTTCGTTATTTTTGTCTTACAAATGTATATATATATATATAAATTCTTTGTCACCAAATCGAAGTCGTGTTTTGATATTCAGACTAAAACAGTTATTTAAAAATCTGAATCCGTATATTTTTCTACTGGGGTTTCAGGTATATTTACACACGATTGGAACAGAAGGTCTCGGAACGCTGTTAATATCGATAGGGTGCGTCCTCTCACGTAAAAATGGTTCCACTGCTGATGTCCTCCGTTGTGCTCCGGCCGCGGTAGTGGATCTTTCTATAAGGATTTCGGGTCTGTCATTGAGTCAACTGGCGGAGTTTCGATTCCCCGGTTGTACGAGACAAGGAGTAGGATCGCTTGTCCAGCCTCGCGGGTTTTGACCGGATCCAACGGTTTCCTCCCACTGCCAAAGTCCCTACGCGCAAGCGAATTCTTGGAATAAAATTGAACCATGTGTTAGCCTCTCTCTCTCTCTCTCTCTCTCTCTCACTGCAGGTCAGTGCCCATTGAAGTCAAACACATTATTAATTCAAGGCCTAGTAACACTATTCACATATTATTGTTGTATATTGGTCCATATAAATCTCCTATTCGGCATTTAAAGATAGCCTACATTAAAAAAAAGTAGAGAATATTCAGAAACAATACAAAACTGCTGAAATGCACTGCTGTTTTTATTAAAGGTAACCAGTGTATGTTAATAACTGGCCAATTGCCTACACATGAACATAAACATTTCATAAGGGCGGCTTATCTGACGGCCCTATTTCACCCGCAAAGAGATACATTGCCAAAAGTGAAAATGGACGTTTTTAATTTCTGTCTTAATAATGAGTAATTGCTCCACCAATCCTAAGACATTCAGCATTTTGCCGGGGTATGCTCCTAATCAACCATCCAATCACGATTCGGGGCAATCTGGCCCACCCCTCTTGCAGTGCCACGGCCGAGACGAACACGTCTCCCGATCATGTCCCAGACGTGCTGCATATGGACAATATGGTGACGCTGGAGGTAGTCATTTACGACACGAGCGCGGTGTGCACGGGCATTATCATCTTGAAAGATGAAACGTCGCCCTGCACGTTGAGCAAAGAGCAGAACTATCGGTGTCAGGATGTGGTCACGGTAGTACACACCAGTGACACTTCCTTGATCAATATGCAAGTCTGTTCTGCCAGTCATGGTGATTCCTCCCCACACCATAACAGAGCCACCCCCGAATCTGTCATGCTGTCTGACGTTAACGTTAGCATGACGCTCATTTACACGCCTCCAAACGCGAGCACGCCTATCGGTGAAATCCAGAGTAAATCTGGACTCATCTGAGAACATTACACGCGCCCATCGACGATTACCCTAATTTCTACGCTGCCTACACCATTGACGCCTGTTTGCCATGTGCTGGCGAGTTAATGGAGCACAACAGGCAGTCGTAGCGCGTGCAAATACGATTTATCGAACAATCAGGGTCATTATTCAGGAAGTTAAGATCCGATATGCATGAATATTGAAAGGAACCAAGATCTTTGGGTTATAAACATTTATTTTATGTTTCAAAACCGGATAACACTTGTAGCCTCTAGAGTGTCCACAACCTAGATAAGCCATATACATTTGTATTTACACTATTTGCGTACGACGGGCGGCCATTTATAATCCAGGGTTTATAATCAAGGAGATGACGATCCGATACGCACGAATATTAAACCGAAATCGAGATCTTCTGGTTATAAACATACATTTCAAGTTTCATCAAAATCGGATAACAATTGTTACCTCTTAGAGTGCCCACAACCTCAAAAGGTGATATTTTTGTTCAATCAGGGACCATAATCCATGAAGCTAAGGTCCGATACATGCCAATATCGATAGGAACCGAGGTCTTTGGGATATAAACCTATATTTGGAGTTTCGTAAAAAGTGTCCGCAAACAAATGTGAGCCACGTGATCCCCTCATTGCAAATTAAACGTAACACACTAAAGCAAAGATACGCTAAACAGTAAATCTTATGCAAGAACCGAGAGGAAAGCAGACATGGATAGGATAAACCAGCACGCGGCAGTTTTCATCAACCCTTCCTTGAAGTGTCAAATTTGACAATGAATCCCTTAATTCCACGTGTAGCCTATATATATATATATATATACATGGCGCTATTGCGTGTCGCGTGTGCAGCTCAGTGGTTCTGTTGGGGCGATAAGTTCTTTATCTGTGAACATACTCTCAAAGTGTCCATGACTATTTATCATATCACAACCTGCATAGGTATTTGCATTTCAATATCCCTTACGTTTTTTGAAGAGTAGGCCTATATTTTGAAAGTAAAGACTGAATGAAATGAAATATGGGTTAGTTTCCTGCTCCAACTGGGCTAATGAAGACGGGTACAAATATTACTAGAAAAACACTGGATCCCAAAAGAAACACCAATGGGGCGCGCACAAGATAATAATGTGAGAATATTCCTAAAAGCTAGCGGGCTCCTCAAGTGGCGTAAGCGGGACCGTAGTCAGCTCTTAAAATCTGGTGGGGCTACGGAATTTTTTGGAGGGGCTGAGATTTGGCCGGCTAAGAACGCTCCTAAGAAATCATTATTGTTGGCGAAATATTTGGGGGGGGGGGGGTAATTCGATTTTTTTGGGGGAAAAAAGAAGTTGACAGGTGGAATCTTTAAATTTCTATGACGTCTGCATATCTAAACATTCGAGCCCGCCTTAAAAAAAATCTAGCACGTGTTGAAAACAAAACAGGTCATTTATGGTGGCTGAAGGGTCATGCATCTAGGGAATTGCCAATTGGCGTGTTGCTATTATTCAACCTGTTTGTTTATAAGGTCAAGGTTAGTAGTTAATAGTGCATATTTCGCAATACAACCGACGTGTCTTTATTTATTAATCCGTCAAGTTAGATTTTCAATAGTTGCGTGTGGCGCCGACTGAAAGAAGAACAGTAAAAATGACAAGGTATCCTTTTTCTTTTGAGAAGTATGATAAACTTGATAATCTATATGCACAACCAAATACACACACTGCTTCACACTGATCAGCAGTGAATTTTCGCTAGGCCGCTACAATCACTGATAAGGAAATGAAATGAAATGAAATGGGGTTTAACGTCCTACTCTTCTGCAATTAACCTGGGCTAATTGAAGACGAGCATACGCCATACAGTGTGCTATGAGGGAAATTTTGCCCGGCAGCGGCGCTACGGCCTACTCTTATATCGAATTCCAACTGCCAAGGGATCTTTTACGTGCACGCCAATGTGTACACGGGACCTCGGTTTTTCGTACCATCCGAACGACTAGGCAGCTGTCCTTGTCAGGCCCTCCGTTCTGCATCACTGACAAGGGGAAATCACGCCGGAAAATCGAGATGAACTTTCTCGGCCAATGCAGGGATCGAACACCAGACCTCCAAGCTAGCGAGCCAGCGCCTTACCCACTTAGCAACGTGACCCGCCACTGATAAGGACACCATCAATGCGACTTAATGAGCCAGAAATATTAACTCTTTTCCTGCGACAAATTAAATTCTAAAAAAAATTTTTTGGGGTTATGTATTAGAAAAGTAAATAATGGCGTTTGACGTATTTGTCGGTAAAAATTATTTCCTAATGGGTATTTATTTACAAATTACCGGTATACCATATATTGATTTATAAATTATATTTTTATTTATAAATTATATTTTTATTTATATTTTGATTTATATTATATTTTGATTTATATTATATTTTGATTATATTTATATTATATTTATATTATATTTATATTATATTGTTATTATATTGTTATTTATCATATTATATTTTTATTTATAAATTATAATTTTATTTTTATTTGGATATTGTATTTGCACTTGTATGATATATTATGTCATGTGCAACAAATTAATTAACTTTGCCTACCACTACATGAAGAGAATTAAATTTACTCCGAACTGGACATTAATACAGCAAAATCATGTTTAGCCTAACAAAAATTTGATACCTGATATATACATTAATTGCTTACAAAGGGGCATAATCTAAGATTAGATAAATAACTGACGGGTCTCGCTGTGATAGTTAAAAATAGATAATGAAAAGGAAATATGTTGAAATTTCAACAACCGTCTGTCCACTCTACAGGTCGCAGATTTTTGGCGCATATCAAACCGTAACTTCCAGATTATGGTCCCTGATAGTACGTGTATGAAAAATCACGTTTTAGCTTGTGGTCCCTCTATATCGCCGTTACACTGTAATGATGGCCGAGTTCGATTTTCGTGAGAATCGGACTGAAACTTTCAGACAAAATGTCTGCTCCTTGTACGCAAATAGTGTAAAAGTCTGTAATACTAAGGTTGTGGACCCGATTTTCATGAAACTTAAAATATATGTTTATATTCCAAAGATCTCAGTTCCTTTCGATATTCGTGCATTCCAGACAGTACTTCCTGGATTGTGGCCCCTGATTTGACTTAAAATTAAAATTAAGGTGTCTTTTTGCAGAGCAATCATTGCGTCGGAAGTGAGATTTTGATGCCAGTCGGGGGGGTTGGGAGGGGGGAAGTGACAGTTTGAGATGGTTACTGGCGTGTGATTACCGCTTAGCGCATGCGCAGTTATAGGAGTCAGCTCATACCGTTATGGACACGGTGTGCATTGACTCTCCCGTGATAGGATTTCCCCTAAGATTTTCTTACGGTCAAATCGGTTTCTACACTATTATCTACCAATATTTACAGAGAGATGGGGTTTAACGTCCACTTGAAACAAACTAGGTCATATCGGGACTAACACATGGTTCAGTTTTATTTCAACGATTTCACGGGGAGTGACAGTTTGAGATGGTTCCTGGTGTGTGATTACTGTTTATCGAATGCACAGTTATAGAGAGAGAGAGTGAGAGAAATGGGGTTTAACATCTACTCGACACAAACTAGGTCATTTCGGGACTAACACATGGTTTAACTTTATTTCAATAATTCGCTTGCGCGTAGGGGTCTTTAGCAGTGGGAGGAAACCGGAGGACCCGGAGAAAACCCATGAGGTTGGACAGGCGACCCTACTCCTTGCCACATACAACCGCACAGTTATAGGAGTCAGCTCATACAGTTATGGACACGGTGTGCATTGACTCCCCGTGATAGGATTTCCCCTAAGATTTTCTTACGGTCAAATCGGTTTCTACACTATTATCTACCAATATTTAGAGAGATATGGGGTTTAACGTCCACTTGAAACAAAATAGCTCATTTCGGCACTAACACATAGTTCAGTTTTATTTCAATGATTTGCTTGCTCGTAGGGGTTTTTAGCAGTGAAAGAAACCCGGGGGGGTCCGAAGAAAACCCGTTGGAGAGGCACCAGGGAATCGAAATCACGCTAGTTTGACTCAATGACAGATCTTATGATACAACGTGCACGTGCTAACCATAGACATATTGGAACAAGGACGTAACATTGAATGTTGAATGCATACAGGAAAGAATTCTGCAATACCGAATATATTCCTCGTTTCCTAATTCTCCCTTGTCAGTGATGCAGGACGGAGGGCCTGACAAGGACAGCTGTCTAGTCGTTCCGATGGGATGAAAAACCAAGGTCCCGTGTACACATTGGCGTGCATGTAAATGATCCGTTGACCATTGGAATTCGTTATAAGAGTAGGCTGTAGTAGTGCCGCTGTCCAGGCAAATTTCCCTTCATAGCACACTGTATGGCGTATGCCTGTCTTCATTAGCCCAGTTCGGAGCAGAACAGGAGGACGTTAAACCCCATTTCATTTTGTTTCATTTCATTTTGGTTTACAGTTTCTGTTAGTATATGCAGTAACAGGAAGGGGATCTGAACAAACCTATAGTATTTTGTTTTAATTGCAGTTTTACTGCTTCTGTCTGTCTATTACTTGTAGTAACAGGGAAAGGATCTGACCAAACCTATAGTATTTTTTTTTTAAATTCCAGGTCAGCAGTTTTACTGTGTTTTACTGCTTCTGTCTGTCTACTACATGTAGTAACAGCGAGTGCATTCGACCAAACTTATCTGGATGATGATGTATGCCGTGCCCGATGTAACGTATCCAGTGTCAACTGTTGGCCTTCAGCGACGGCCATCAGTAATTTCAGATCGTTGCTCAATGGTACCGTGTATGATGCTACCGACCCAAGCTACAGTAAAACATACGAGTTGAAGAACAAACGTATTACTAAAGAACCTGCATTGATTGTCAACGCTACGTCAAGTGGTGACGTACAGAAATCGGTTTTATTTGCCCGGCAGTACAACTTGAAGATAGCTGTACGATCATCAGGCCACTCGTATGTTGGTCGATCAACTGTAGAGGGGGGTGTCCTCATTGATCTGTACAACATGAGAGATATACAAGTCAATTTGACCTCTTCAAGAAATACAGCAGGGGAGGTAACTGTGGAGAGTGGTAATAACTGGGCTAGAGTTTACGAAGAGGTATGTTTACACAAAATAACATATGGTTCAATATTATTTCAATAATTCACTTGCGTGTAGGGGTCTTTAGCAGTTGGAGGAAGCGGTAGGACCTGAAAATGAAATGAAATGAAATGAAATGGGGTTTAACGTCCTACTGTTCTGCTCCTAACCTGGGCTAATGAAGACGGGCATACGCCATACAGTGTGCTATGAGGGAAATTTTGCCTGGACAGCGGCACTACGGCCTACTCTTATATCGAATTCCAACTGCCAAGGGATCTTTTACGTGCACGCCAATGTGTACACAGGACCTCGGTTTTTCGTCCCATCCGAACGACTAGACAGCTTTCCTTGTCAGCCCCTCTGTCCTGCATCACTGACAAGGGAGAACCACGCTGGAAAATCTGGATGAACTTTATCGGCCAATGCAGGGATCAAACACCCGACCTACGACCTCCAGGCTAGCGTCTTACGTAGGACCTGGAGAAAACATGGGAGGTTGGACAGGTGAGTCTACTCTTTGTCAGGTACAACCAGGGAATCAAAACCATGCCAGTTCACCATAAGGTACAACGCACACACACTAACCATTCGGCCACCCAACCTCCCTAATAACATTAATAAAAACACTAAATATATGCCGGACAAAGTAAAATACACCTGAGCGATTGTCCTTAACAATTCTGAATTTTTGCCCAGCAAAATCTGTAATTGGTGCCATATTTCCAGGCTTGGTCTTAAATCTCGTTTTTATTGTCCCCCAGCTTTCGAAGAAAGCAGGGGACTATTAAAATGGGTTCGTCCGTCTGTCTGTTTGTCCGTCCGTCCGTCACACTTTTTGGGACACGATAATTCTCTTTCTAATTGAGCTAGAATGTTCAAACTTGGTGTAGGAGTTTATAAGGTCAATGCCTTGATGGAGTTCGAAGATGAGCATTTTCTGCTTAGGGTAAGCAGAGATAAGCGATTTGATTGGTTGATGCTTTGGGACACAATATCTTTAGTTCTAATTAAGTAAGAGAGATAAAAATAAACATTTTCTGCTGAGGGTAAGCAGAACGATAAGCAATTTGATTGGTCAAGACAAGAACACAATAACTCTCCTTCTAATTTAGGTAGAATGTTCAAACTTGGTGTAGGCATTCATTACTTTGACTAAGTTCGATGGTGAGAATTTTCTGCTTAGGCCTAGGAGCGATAAGCAATTTGATTGGTCAAGACTTTGGAACATAACATCTCTGCTTTTAATTGAGGTAGAATGTTTAGCAGAGCTAATCAATTTCATTGGTCGATGCTTTGGGTCAAGATAATCTTGATTCTGTCTAATAGATAGTGATGAAACTTAGTGTATAGTTTGATTGCTGGATACTTTTGAAAAAAATAAATGTGCGAATAATTAATATGTGTCATCTATTTATTTTGGGATTTCGGCGGCGGACATCAGCCTCACTGTTGGCTTGTTTTTTTTTATATTTCAGGTTGATAAATACGGTCACCGCGTTGTGGTAGGTGGAAGCGATCACAATGTAGGTATGGGAGGATATACACAGGGTGGAGGTCACAGTCCGGTCTGTAGAAGTCTGGGATTAGCTGTAGATAATCTACTTGAAGCCACGCTGGTTTCAGCTGATGGAAGACTTGTTACTGTTTCTGCTGATGGGACTAAAATACAGGAGGCTAATGGTACTGTAACAGAAAGTTCAGATACAGATCTGTTCTGGGCATTAAGAGGTGGGGGAGGGGGTACATGGGGAATCGTAACGACCTTCACCTTTAAACTGCATGACCCTCCACCTGGGATGGTTGTGTTTAGTGCTTCCTACCCACTGATTGTTCATCAAGGAATTCCAGGAAGTGATGTCTTGAAAAAAATCTTTAAATACACCATAAACATGTCTCAAGGATGGGGAGGATACATATTATTTAATAATTACCCAACAGATTTAACTGGGAAGAATTTTGGTATAATAACAATTTACATGAATTACTATGGAACGTGGAGTTCAGCTGTTCAGACCGAATGGAATGGGATGATAGCTAGTATAAGTCAGACACCGCTAACTAACACAGTCACCAATAAGACCAGTTTTTGGGATTATGAGAAGGATGTAGCACCAGATACCAGTGATGGGAGAGTGTATGTGTTTAATACCCTGACACAGGATGATAGTGATTATGATGGTATGGTGGATACATTAATGACACAGTCCATATCTGGTCCAGCTGAAGTTCTACATGGCTGTACATCAAGTCTTATTGGAGGTAAGTACCCATATCCAGTTTTTATTGGTGGTAAGTACCAGTAGCCTGTTATCATTGGTGGTAAGTACTGGTATTCAGCTCTTATTGGTGGCAAGTACTGGTATCCAGTTCTCCTTGGAGGTAAGTGCCATATCCAGTTCTTAATGGTGGTAAGTACCAGTAGCCAGTTCTCATTGGTGGTAAGTACCAGTATCCAGTTCTCATTGGTGGTAAGTAGCAGTATTCAGTTCTTAGTGGTATATCCAGTTCTCATTAGTGGTAAATACCAGTATCTAGTTGTCTTTAGTGGTAAGTAGCAGTATCCAGTTCTTAGTGGTGGTAAGTACCAGTACCCAGTTCGTTTTGGTGGTAAGTACCCATATCCAGTTTTTATTGGTGGTAAGTACCAGTATCCAGTTCTGATTGGTGGTAAGTACCAGTATCCAGTTCTAATTAATGGTAACTACCAGTATCAAGTTCTCATTGGTGGTAGGTACTAGTATCCAATTCTTATTGGTGGTAAGTACCAGCATCCTGTTCTTATTGGTAGTAAATACCAGTATCCAGTTCTTATTGAGTTCTTATTTGTGGTAAGTACCAGTATTCAGTTCTTTTTGGTGGTAAGTACCAGTATCCAGTTCTTATTGGTGATAAGTACCAGTATCCAGTTCTCATTGGTGGTAAGTATCAGTATGCAGTTCTAATTGGTGGTAAGTACCAGTATCCAGTCCATATCTGGTCAGTCTGAGGTTCTATATGGTTGAACATCTACTGTTATTGGTGGTGGGAACTAGTGCCTGGTATTGAGAAACATTCAAGATACGATACATATTATTAGGATTCATGTGCTATTCGGGATAAATGAATAATTGATATTTTATTGGAGACACTAAAACCTGGAAAGAAAATTGCAATTACTGTTCAGGTCAAAATAAGGACCAAAAAAATTAAAGGGATAATTAAGAGTGACAGGCTATTTACTGAAGTGACAAAAAAAAACCCCATAAAAGCATCTCGCGTCCCAATATGTGAATCGTGATAAGTAGAATCACGATATATCGGTTCACCGCTATATCGTCCCAGCACTAGTGAGTACCAGTATTTACTTCTTAAAGGACAATATTGGTGCCAGTCATTATCACATATGTGATAGAACTGGTTAAACCTGTTCCAAATATTATTTTATCACAGAGATCATTGCTGCGATAGAGGCGCAATCAATGCTACAACAATCGGAAATGTCGAACGCAAAAGGAAAACACGAGTTATCCCTCTATATAACTGACTGAAGTGACGAGTGATAACAGATACATTGGCGAATTTCTGCTCACTAATAATTCCTTTGAAGACCAAATGTTGTTACATGTATATGAGACTGTAAGAGTATATCTGACAATTCAAAAAAGTAATTGAATGTCATTAGATAAGAGAACACATATAAAATAGAAACAGTCCGTACATTCACGCGTGTTTATTCATTCTATCCTTATAGAAACATGGTAATGCACAGACTTTTTCTATTTTTCTTTCATGTTCTCTTATCTAGTGATAGTCAATTCTTTTTATGAATTGTCAGATATCCTTTCATAGTCTCACACAACAACTTTTGGTCTTTGAAGGAATTATTAGTGGGCAGAAATTCTCCCATGTACCCGTTATCACTCGTCAATTCAAACAGTTATATAGAGGGATCACTCGTGTTTTCCTTTTGCGTTCGTCACTTCCGATTGTTGAAACATTGATTCCACATCTATCACATATTTTTTTTTAATGACTGGCACCAATATTGTCCTTTAACATATCTGATGGTCAGTTGTTTTCAAAATGAAATGTGGTTTAACGTCCTGCTCTAACTGGGTTGATGACAATGGCCGTGCATACACCATAAAGTGCGCTATAAAGGAAATTATTCCCGGACATCAGAGCTGGATGCCATGGCCTACTCTTATATCAAATCAGACCTCTGGTGTTGGTCAAAAAAGTTCTGTAGAATTTTCCTGCCTGGTTATCTGAAGGGGGGGTGGATGGTTGAATGGTTAGCACATGCGCGCTGTATCATAAGGCCTATCATTGAGTCAACTGGCGTGGTTTCGAATCCCCGGTTGTATGTGACAAGGAATAGGGTCGCCTGTCCAACCTCATGGGTTTTCTCCGGGTTCTCTGGTTTCCTCCTACTGCTAAATTATTGAAATAAAATTAAACCATATGCTAGTTCTGAAATGACCTAGTTTGTGTCGAGTGGATGTTAAAACCCATTTCTCTCTCTCTCTCTCTCCTTTGGTTATCTGAGATGGAAGTTGGGTTCTTTCAAGAATCCTTGTCAATGTAACGCCATTTTGAGCTGTAGTGCTAATGACAACCATTCCACAAGAAGTAACATCAATATTTTTAATGTCCACTCAACACAAATTAGGTCATTTTAGGACTAACTCTTGTCTGTGTGTTCGCTGTGTGTCATTTTATTTACAGGTGTTATTAGAAACAATCCACAAGAAGTTACATCAATAACACCATATTTCAGAAGTGGCCTACATTCTCTTTCATGCTATTTATTCTGGTCTGATGCCAGTAAAGATGCCGAGGCAACTAAGGCAGCCATTAAATATGGCGATCAACTGAAACAATATGGAAAAGGAATCTATTTTAACGAACCAACACAAGATATCAACGACTGGAAGGAACAATTCTGGGGACCAAATTATGCGCGGTTATTGGCTATTAAGAAGAAATGGGATCCTGAGAATTTGTTTACGTGTCAACATTGTGTTGGTTGTGATGAAGATTGTGAAAGTTGTCACAAGCCTGTTTCTTTGGATTCGGCTCAATCTATTATCATCAACTGGCTCGTGATGATGATTTCATTATTACCCATATTTAATATATTTTAACTATTATCATCAGTTGGTTTGTGATGATGCTTTCATTATTCAACATATTTAATCTATCTTAACAACGCTTTTTATACGCCCACATTTTCATGTGGACGTATATTGTCGTCGCCCCTGTCCGTCGGGACGTCCGTCTGTCCGTCCACAATTGTTTGTGAACAGTCTACAGGTCACAATTTTTATCCGATTTCAACGAAACTTGAAATATAGGTTTATCACCCTAAGATCTCGGTTCCTTTCGATATTGGCATGTATCGGACTGTAACTTCATGGATTATAGCCCCTGATTGTACGAAAAATCACGTTTTTAGCTTGTGAACACTGTAGAGGTCACAATTTTTATCCAATTTGGTTTAAACTTGAAATGTATGCTTATAACCCAAAGATCTCAGTTCCTTTCGATATTCGCGCACATCGGAACGTAACTTCCTGAATTATGGCCCCTGATTGTACGAAAAATCACGTTTTTAGCTTGTGGACCCTACAGAGGTCATAATTTTTATCCGATTTAAAAAAACGTATTATTATATCACCGTTACACCCCAAGGACGACTGAGTTCGAATTTCGTGAAAATCTGACCAAAACTGACAGACAAAATGGCCGCCCTTCGTTCTCAAATAGCGTAAAAATATGGTATATCAAGGTTATGGACCCTATAGAGGTCACAATTTTTATCCGATTTTGTTGAAACTTGAAATGTAAGTTTATAACCCAAAGATCTCGGTTCCTTTCGATATTTGCACATATCGAATTGTAATTTCCTGAATTATGGCCCTTGATTGTAGGAAATATCACTTTCTTTTTAGCTTGTTCTCTATTCATCTCTTGAAAATGTGGGCGTATCCTGCCTGGCAGCCGCTGGTTTTAATGTCTCTGGCAATCAGATTAAAATACAGATCTATATTTCGTTTCGTTTTTTTTTGTCCCCCGCCTTTCGAAGAAAGCAGGGGACTATTAAAATGGGTTCGTCCGTCTGTCCGTCCGTCTGTCTGTCCGTCTGTCTGTCCGTCACACTTTTTGGGACACAATAACTCTCTTCCTAATTGAGCTAGAATGTTCAAACTTGGTGTATGTGTTTATTAGGTCAATGCCTTGATGGAGTTCGAAGATGAGCATTTTCCGCTTAGGGTAAGCAGAGATAAGCAATTTGATTGGTTGATGCTTTGGGACACGATAACTCTCTTCCTAATTGGGCTAGAATGTTCAAACTTGGTGTATGTGTTGATTAGGTCAATGCCTTGATGGAGTTCGAAGATGAGCATTTTCCGCTTAGGGTAAGCAGAGATAAGCAATTTGATTGGTTGATGCTTTGGGACACGATAACTTTTAATTGAGCTAGAATGTTCAAACTTGGTGTATGTGTTTATTAGGTCAATGCCTTGATGGAGTTCGAAGATGAGCATTTTCCGCTTAGGGTAAGCAGAGATAAGCAATTTGATTGGTTGATACTTTGGGGCACGATAACTCTCTTCCTAATTGAGCTAGAATGTTCAAACTTGGTGTATGTGTTGATTAGGTCAATGCCTTGATGGAGTTCGAAGATGAGCATTTTCCGCTTAGGGTAAGCAGAGATAAGCAATTTGATTGGTTGATGCTTTGGGACACGATAACTTTAGTTCTAATTAAGTGAGATTGATGAAACTTGGTGTATAGTTTCATTACAGTAATACCTTGTTATCTAAATTATCCCCCTTTGGTGATACAGTTTTTAGCATATAAACTAGATAATAATTATTCGGTTGACACACAATCAACGGCATAGAATACACGATGGCACAAGCTATAATAATTATTGATATAAAATATTATTTTATCGCAATTTAGCTGATATATAACTGGATAGCCCTCATAAATAAGTAGTGGAAGGAGGGAATCGATTTTCATATTCCGTTTTCCTGCAAATGTTATTTAACTTCTTTATTATATAATATTTGTATTTTTGTCCCCCGCCTTTCGAAGAAAGCAGGGGACTATTAAAATCGGTGTGTCTGTCCGTCCGTCACACTTTTTGGGACACAATAACTCTCTCTAACTGAGCCAGAATGTTCAAACTTGGTGTAGGTGTTTATTAGGTCAATGCCTTGATGGAGTTCAAAGATGAGCATTTTCTGCTTAGTGTAAGCAGAGATAAGCAATTTGATTGGTTGATGCTTTGGGACACGATAACTTTAGTTCTAATTAAGTGAGAGTGATGAAACTTGGTGTATAGCTTCATTACATCAATACCTTGACTAAGTTCGATAATGAGCATTTTCTGCTTAGGGTAAGCAGAGCGATAAGCAATTTGATTGGCCGAGACTTTGGAACACAATAACTCCCCTTCTAATTGAGGTAGAATGTTCAAACTTGGTGTAGGTGTTAATTAGGTCAATGTCTTGATGGAGTTCGAACATGAGCATTTTGTGCTTAGGTTAAGCAGAGATAAGCAATTTGATTGGTCAAGATTTTGGAACACAATAACTCTCATTCTAGTTGAGTTAGAATGTTCACACTTGGCGTAGGTGTCTGATAGGTGAATGCCTTGATGGAGATTGAAGATGAGAATTTTCTGCTTAGGGTAAGCAGGGATAAGCAATTTGATTGGTTGATGCTTTGGGACACGATAACTTTAGTTAGAATTAAGTGAGAGTGAGGACACTTGGTGTATAGCTTTATTACATCAATACCTTGACTTAGTTCGATAATGAATATTCTCTGCTGTCATGTCATGGCTGAGTTCAATGATTTACATTAGTCGATGCTTTGGGACAAGATAACTTTGATTCTATCTGATGGAGAGTGCTGAAACTTAGTGTATAGTTTGATTGCTCGATACTTTTGAAAAAAATAAATGTGCAATTAATAAATGTGTGTCATCTATTTATTTTTGGATTTCGGCGGGGGACATCAGCCTCACTGTTGGCTTGTTTACTTTTGATTACATGAAGATCTGACTGGTTTTAGTGGAAGACGAGCTGCTTTTGACCCTATGAGGTCAGACATTTGATTATTGAAATAAAATTGAACCGTATGTTAGTCCCGAAATGACCTAGTTTGTGTTGAGTGTAGTTAAACTCTCTCTCTCTCTCTCTCTCTTTAATCCAGTTGAATTCAAACCATGAGAATACATCGATCTACTATTGATATTTTATTGTCTTCATTAAAGACAAAATAAGCATGGATTAATGAGGAATTAGGGGAGATTATATAAAGAGTTGACAGTTCACCCTATAATAATTAAAATATAGATAATTTCAGTCAAATTGCTCCGCTCTGAACCAAGATATTAGCTTTTGAATTTTACGCTAGCCTCGATCAACATTACCAAGGTCGGTACGATAAAAAACAAAGTCTTCATTATCCATTTTTACCTTTAATTATTTTTCGAAAAATGTATTCCAATCCGCTAAATATCGCAGTCTAGCGATGGCATCGAGAGTTGATTATGGTCTGCTTACGTTAATTAATGTCTCTTTTATAATTTAGATAAAATTTCAGGCCTAAAGAAAGACCTGCAAGATTTATCTTTTGCATAATGTATGTTTAAGTCGTGAAAAACTAGATATTGTCCGAAAAAATGCAAATTAATATCAGTGACTTTAGTAATTACATATTTGTTGCTTTTTATATTGTACTTACTTTAATAATTACATATTTGTTACTTTTTGTATTGTACTTTAATAATTACATATTTGTTATTTTTTGTATTGTAGTTAATTTAATAATTACATATTTGTTACTTTTTGTATTGTAGTTCATTTAATAATTACATATTTGTTACTTTTTGTATTGTAGTTACTTTAATAATTACATATTTGTTACTTGTTATATTGTATTGTTAAATTGAAAATATTTTTGTGTTTTTAACTAATTTTCATTGATTTTTTAAATTGTCAGTTAATATTCAATTAATATGAATGTGCCTTTATATTTATAATGGAAATACTATTTTTTTAAACTGTGATTGTAGTTGTTTTGGTTCTGAATGGGTGGGTATGACCGACTTCTGATTTCTCAACCCAAACATAAGTTAAGTTTGTGGACTTAGAAGGTTGTTAATCCAAAATTTTGAGGGGAATTAATTTGCCATTACTGTTAATTTAAATCCTCTTGCTTTCATTGTCCTAATTTATTATCTCTCCTTTTGCCCAAATTTTGAAAACGAATTTGGGTGGGAAATCCAGCCCCCTCCTCCCACCTTTTCCCCCTCCTTTGTCTGGTACATCCATGGTGATCAACATTTATTAATTAGATGACATTCAATTCAATTTCCTTACATAACAATGATATAGTTGTAATCAGCATAGGTGGGAACTCCTGTCGCGTCCGACTTAAGTCGCGTCAATGACCCGACTTGGGACTCAACTTGAAATATTTATTGCCACTCGGATTCGAAGCTTGAAAGAGCGTTATGAATAACTGGGATTCGACTTGACTAGGTACTAAAGTCAGTGACCTGGGACTCGACTCCGACTCAAGGTGCAGCGACTTGGAACTCTAGACTTTTACACAAAAAATAATAAAGTAATAACCACGCAACTTGACTCAATGACAGACCTTATGATCTGATCTTAATCACATGTTTCACATCTCAACTCATATTCATGCCTATATATAGGTACACCATTGGACAGGGGGAGACAACTATAGACAGAATTTTAATGATATATAGGAGGCAGACCACCATTAATTTCCCCATTGACTTCAATGTTAATTCTGGCCTCTTTGCCCACCTCCAACTTTTCCCCAAATTTTCGTTGGGCGGAATGCTTTTCACTACAGAGGAACAAATGGTCATGTCTTTGCACTAAAATTTGTATGAGGTTGACCACCAAAATTTTGAGATACACAAACTTGAAGAAGCATACTAAAAACATGTAACTAGTTGCCGTACATATCGCCGTAGCTAACCTGATAACCCTCTTATCCTTCCGCCTCAAAATCATGAATATTTACCAAAACCTGGCAGAAAATGTTAATTCAAACCCTCTTCGTCCATTCTAGACCAAAAAATCAACAAAGATGGGCATGCAAAAGGGGAGAAAAGAGAGAGAGAATTGCTATAAATAGACGAACTACAATTCGTGGGTACCGAGATGATGAAATTTAATGGTGGTCTGCCTCCAAATTAAAACATATTGGAACCTTGACTTTATGATCTAAAGCAGACACATAAGACTACTCCCCTCTTGAGACTTCAGATGGATGCACGGCAAGAAAGGTGTGACAAGTATAGGAGTATAATGCATAAGGGTACACCCTACACAGTTCATTAAAATCAAATTGAGTTGCCAGGCAACGAAACTTACGCCCACAGCAGCTAAGACTTCCGGGCAGTCAACAAGTGTTGTCGCACATTAGACCACTCTCCTTTTAAAGCTGAACTCCGGTTACAAAAATATCGAAATAATTAAATAAAAAAAATTAACACCCCCAAGCCGCCATACTTGTTTCTAATGTGTGAATTAAACATGTAGGCTTATGACCTGGAAAGGTTAGCCGATCTCACTTACAGTTTGTTTCTTGTCAGTTTGGTGGCGTTAACTTTTTTTTTATTTAATTATTTCAGTATTTTTGTAACCGGAGTTCAGCTTTAAGCCTTGAGATGGATGCACGGCAAGAAAGGCTGACAAGTATAGGAGTATAATACATAAATTTAAGGGTAAACAGTTCATTAAAATCAAAGATAGGTTGCTAGGCAACGAAACATACGCCCACAGCAGCTAAGTCGTCTGGGCAGTCAACGAGTGTTGTCACATATTATTTTCTTTTGTCAGTAATGAGAACATTTACAACCATGAACATCTGATTACGATTAATAACCCATGAAGTAATTATCAGAAAACATTAGAATTTGTCTTGATTGTTTGTCTCGTGATTTTTCAAAGTGATCAAGGGTCTTAATTATCAAAAATTGTTGAAAATGAATAGGATTTTTTGTCTCATGGCCTTAAACACTCTGTATAAGTTTAAAGTCAATCAAATATTAACTTTAGCCTCAAGTGCTGCTACAAGATTTTTCAAAGAGAACAAGGGCTATAACTCCGGTAGACATTATCGTAAATAGTTGAAAATCAATAGGATTCTTCGTCTCATGACCTTAAACAGTGCGTATAAATTTAGCCTCTACAATGTCCACAAGATATATCAAAGCGATTAACTCTGGCAGTAATTATCGGAAATAGTTGGAAATCAATAGGATTGTGCATCTCATGACCTAAAGCACTGTATAAATTTAAAGTCAATCGGATATTAACTTTAGCCTATAGAATGTCCACAAGATTTTTCAAAGTGTTCAGAGGCCATAACTCTGACGAACAGACACAGACGGCGGGCCGGGGCGACAACAATATATGACCACATTTCAATGTGGGCGTATAAAGATTACAAAGCAATAAAATCATATTCGATAACTTTTATTTGACACTTGAGCATTATTTATAACAAAACATTATTTACACAAAAACAGTTTAAAGCTAAAATAAAAATACCGTCATCATATTTCACATTCTTTCTAGCAAGTATTTATATTTACTTTATGTTCACTTCCTAATATTATTATTCAATGTTTTATGTTATATGGGGCAAAAATCATTGGTTTATTATACAGAAATGAAATGATTGGGGTTTAACGTCCTACTGTTCTGCTCCAACTGAGCTAACGAAGATGGGCATACGTCATGCAATGTGCTATGATAGATATTTCGCCTGGACATTGGCGCTACGACCTACTCTTATATCGAATTCCATCTGTTTCAGGTTCTTTTATATGCACGCCAATATGTACACACAACCTCGTTTTTGGGGGGCTATCTGAACTACCATATGTTGTCCCTTGCCAGGCCATCCGTCCTGTACGACTGACAAGGGGGAACCATGCAGGGATGGAACACCTCAGAGCTCTAGATTAGCAAGCCAAGGTCTTACTAACGCACCGTGGCACCAAGTTTCTAATACACAGGCACAAGTTTTCAACCAATAGGGCCTATTATCTCTTATTGTTTACAAGGTTTCAAACAGTAGGGCTTATCTCTTATCGTTTTCAAGCACTGTGTATAATAAACCAGTGATTGTTGTCCAATATAACTGTTAGTTTTGTTGTTTCCAATCGCTAAATGCCATTATTCAAGTGTACAGTACACCTTAAAGGGGAATTATTGGAGATAAGATAAAGAGTTGACAGTTCTTGCTATAATAATTAAAAAATAGAGTCCATCAAACTATCCTACAACTAACTTTATCCATTTCTGTTATAAAATCGATAAGTAATTTTCATCTACTTTTAGAAAATCAATAAGTAAATTCCATCTACTTTTAGAAAATCATTAAAGGGCATTATGGGAGCTTAGATAAAGAGTTGACAGTTCTTGTTATAATAGTTAAAAATTAGATAACGTAAAAAGAATATGCTAAAAATTTCAGTCAAATTGCTCCACTCTGAACCAAGTTATTAGATTTTGAATTTTAGGCTAACCTCGAACATCATTACTAAAGTCGGTATGATAAAAAACAAATCTTAATTCTCCATTTTTACGTTTAATCATCCTTCACAAAATATATTCCAATCCACTAAATATCGCAGGCTAGCGATGACATCGAGAATTGATTATGGTCTGGATAAGTTAATTAATGTCTAATAATTTAGATAACATTTCAGGCCTAAAGAAAGACCTGCAATAGCCAGATTTAGCTCTTGCATAATGTATGTTTAAAGGAATAAAATCTATTTTATCTGACAAGAAATCATACCTTTGCATAGACAAGAGGCACTTTTATAATAGAATCTCTAGATGTTCTAGACAAAATCGGAGCAAATTCTCTTAATTCAGAATCTACAAAAGATGTAATCTATTTTACCTTGTTACTAAGCAAACGTCATTTCATCAAGTTCAAATAAAAATCTTAGTTTTTCTGTCTTCAAAGAGGAAATAAGCTTATTCCAGTAATCATACTAATTGCAAAATATGCATATTAATTTAGAAATTCTAGCTGTTTAAACAGTTTTACTCGAAATCGTTGTTAAATATACATATTAATTCTGGGCCCTTATTCACAAAAACTTAAACTAAGATACAATCGAAATTTTAAGAAATACTGCAATTCGATTGGCTGACCAGTAAAATCAATTTGCATATATCCAATGAAGTTGCAGTATTTCTTAAAATTTCGGTTGTAACTTAGTTTAAGTTTTACGTGAATAAGGGCCCAGAAATTTTAGCAGAATAAACATTGTTATATCAAACACCTTAAAATAACATCACTCATTTACCCTAGATATTGTGGTTAAATGTAAACAGACATTATTTTGGTACCCAACTAATTTAAGATGTGTGGTTTATTTTAGATACTTTAAAAGGTCCTTACTATAATATTATGTTTTTATACTAAGCCAAGTAAGGACCATCATCGGTATCTCCAGTGGTATCGTTCCGTTCTACTCCAATAATCCCTGGTTCCATTCATGGGGTTTTCACCAATTCAAATTATCTGTCTTTGATGATTTCATTGGCCACGTAGGTTAATTCTATGAACCAATCAAAAAACAGTTTACATACCAATGTCTGATTTGTTGATCTTAGTTGTAACAAAATGTGAGTTACTTCCCTTAGCCCACTCGAGAATTTTTTGACTGATCCATAAAAATTTGACTATATGTCTCCTCCGTGAATGGATCTAGGAGTTACTGGAAAAGAATGAAACGATACCACTGGGGATACCGAGAATGAGTAAGGACATAATTTGAGTTATGGATATAAATTGATTATAATATTGCCTAAACATTAGGCCAATCCAATCTAATTTTAAGTTCTTCCAGGCCCCAGTTTCACAAAGTCATTCTCAGACTTAAGAATTTACTCAACTTTCAATCACTGTTTATGAGAAATATCTTTGACCCATAAACACAAAAATTTACACATAGTTTCTTATTGATGTATTTGTTACATTAAAACAACAGAAGTTTTATACAGGAGTATATTTTTGTTAAAATAAGGCGAACAATTTTCAGTAAATTCTTAACTTAAGTCTGTGAATGTTTTGTGAAACCGGGGATGTTCCTGTGGAATAAATTGATTTTTTAAAAGTTTCAAATTGTAAAAATCTTTAAAGCAGTATTCTGGAAGAACAAAAATTCAAATTGGTATGGCCTTTAGGATTTGTAAAATAAATATTATAATGTAACTATATATAGAAGAGAGAAAAAATAAAAAATAAATACATTTATTGATAAATAAAACATGCTAGAACATCACAAAAATATCTCAAATATGTCAACTTTTTTTTATATCTATAAAATAAACACTATATATTTCGTTCTGTAAGACCGGCTTAGAGATTTACATATATCTCAAAGTTTACGTGTATATCTCAAAGTTTACATGTATATCTCAAAGTTTACATATGTATCTCTCACGATTTACATGTAAACTTCGAGATACACATGTAAACTTTAAGATTTACAAGTAAACTTTAAGATTTACAAGTAAACTTCGAGATTTACAAGTAAACTTTGAGATATACACGTAAACTTTGAGATATACATGTAAACTTTGAGATATACATGTAAACTTATACATGTAAACTTTGAGATATACATGTAAACTTCGAGATATACATGTAATCTTCAAGATTTACATGTAAACTTCAAGATATACATGAAGACTTCCAGATATACATGTAAACTTCTAGATACACATGCAAACGTCCAGATATACATGTAAACTTCGAGATTTGCATGTAAACTTTAAGCTTTACATGTAAATTCAAGCTTTACATATAAACTATAAGATATACATGTAAACTTCGAAATATACATGTTAACCTGCCTTATTTATTTATATATTTACATCATGATTTTATCTACCAGTCACTCTACATGTACCTGGTGTGGAGAAATTACTCATTTTGGGACTAACCTACAGTACATTTTTTTTTTCAGCTTCTGCATAACAGTCTTAAGCAGTATGAAGAGGTAAGGCAGGTGACCCAACTCCTTGTCAAGAGAGAGAGAGAAATGGAGTTTAACGTCCACGACACAAACTAGGTCATTTCGGAATTAACATATGGTTCAATTTGTTGCGCGTAGGGGTCTTTAGCAGTGGGAGGACACAGAGAAAACCCAAAAGGTTGGACAGACGACCCTACTCCTCGTCACTTACAAGCGGGGAATCTAAATCACGCCATTTGACTCAATGACACCTTATGATCCAACATGCACATGTTAACCATTCGACCACCAAACCCCTCTCAAAGATAAAAGTAGAAGATATAATATTTATAATGTAATCTATAATAAATAATTATATAACAGTTGACTAGTTTACTTAAAACAGATTTAGGCCACACAAACTCAATTTTCTGTTCTTTGAGGTCTTGGTAAATAAACAGCCACTTAAATCATGTGAAAGATATGTTGTTTAAAATTTCAAAACTTGAAAATTTGGAACTAAAAACTTTTGAACAGCACAACCAAGTACTTTTGGCTTTAAATTAGGCTTTTTTCCCAAAGAAATAAGACCGAAAATTTGTACAGGTGTTCCTGAAGAAACAGAAAATCAACTTGATGTGGCCTTAACACAATATATCTTAGGCTCAATATAAATCATCATATCATACAGAACTAATTACATCCATATATTTGTTCTAAGTCCCGGGTTCCCCTATGCTAATATATGTGTTAATACTTGCTGTAGGAGGATGTATTTTTAATGTTTAAACACCGATTTTAGTTTTATCGACCATTTACATTTTGAGTGGTTGTGTAGGTAGGGGCCCCAATACTCCCTAACCCTTCCTGTGAGTGGTTGTGTAGGTAGGGACCCCAGTGCACCCTAACCTTTCCTGTGAGTGGTTGTGTAGGTAGGAGGCCCCAATGCACCCTAACCCTTCCTTTGAGTCGTTGTGTAGGTAGGGGCCCAAGTGCACACTAACCCTAACCCTTCCTGTGAGTGGTTGAGTAGGTAGGGACCCCAGTGCACTCTTACCCTTACTGTGTGTGATTGTGTAGGTAGGATCCCCAGTGCACTCTAACCCTAACCCTTACTGTGAGTGGTTGTGTAGGTAGGGGCCCCAGTGCACTGCTTTGCCCGGGGGGTTATAAAGCTGCTAATTCGGCCCTTTTTGTAAGAAAGGAGATTCTGAAATTTTTGGATTAAGAAGGAATTTGTTCAACCAAACCTACAACACAATTGCGTTACTCAAATGAAATTCTTTTGTCTGTGATATCATATCGATGGAAGCGGACGTTAAATAAAGCTATTTCACACACACACACACACAGACAGTGCTTACTGTATGGTAAGTTGCATTAATTGTTTGACGCATAAATCTATTGCTTGACAGTACATAAATTGGAGAGAATACCAATATGTTTCCTTTGACTAGAGAACAAAGTAAAATATTAAATACAAGATATCTAGACAGAATTTAACCAAATTGTTTAAATTGTATTTAGTAATTAAATTGAGATACACTGGTCACAATTCTATGGAATAATACAATCACTGTTTATTACTGAGCGACACTTCAACTAGGCTACTCTACTTGTTATAAAGCAATCATGAAATGTCGCTTAGTAAGACAATCTGATTAAAAAAATACAGATCTATATTTTGTTTCGTTTTTTTATACTTTCGATGGCCTACACTAGATGAAGATCTGACAAGTTATAGCGGCTTTTGACCCTATGACGTCACACATTGATTTATCAATCAGCGTTAACGTTTCCAGTGGTTTACCCACAGTTTCGTGCATTAAAAGCCCAAGAACTCGCCGTAACAGACCGTTTCATTGACCAATCCCTAACACCATTGAGAACACGTCAATGATAACAACTCTTCCAGATTCTACTGTAGTAAAGGCAAGTAAAACGAAATTTTGAACTATATAAAACGAAACGAAATAGGATCTGTGTTTTAACGAGATTGTCTGTAAGATGCAGTAAATCGTATTCCATAAAACTGTGACGTGAGAATTTAAACCCACTAATTACCAGCAGAATTCTAATATAAGGATTTTTAAGTTGTCGGAAGAGGAACTTGGCCCTAATTGCTACTCATCTTGTTCTTGGCGGCGAAATTCTTTCAAAAAAGTCTAGGATTCAGTTAATACAAGTAAAGTCAACATTCTTCGAAAAAAGTCTATGACTTAGCTAATGCAAATAAAGTCGACATTATTCGAATAAAGTCTATGACTTAGCTAATGCAAGTAAAGTCGACATCCTTCGAAAAAAGCCTATCACTTATAATTTGCTAATACAAGTAGAGTCGATATAAAACTTGGCAAATGCTTGTTCCTTGGAAATAATTGTTCTTGGAGACGACACACTTCGAAAAAAGTGTATTGCTCAGCTAATACAAATATGATCGACATGAAATTTGGCTTGATTGTTCCTTGGACAATTAAAAATCATCAAATTACAATAAACAGAAGTGAAATAGGAGTTAAGTAATATTAAAGATGGACATAGAATTTAGAAGTAAAATACGCTGCTTACACCACTAAGATGGACATAATATCAACCAAATAAATTAAAAAATAAAAATGGGGTGACTGCAATCTCTGATGGAAAAATCTTTAAGTAGCTCACCAACTAACCAAAATATTCCTTTGTATTGCAAAGTGAACAATAAATATGCAAATATTAAAAACCTTATATTCTCTAGACAAATTTCTTGATTTTTTAAAATTTCATTCCAGGATTTCTGTATTAAAGGTAAAAATCCTCTATTTGTGTTAGTCGGATGCAAATTCTACAGAACATTTCCATCATCGTCCTATATCCCCAAGAGCCCAATTCACGAAAACCCTTAACCCTTTAAAACCAAGTGTCTGGATTTCCAACAATACGAGAAGCTGCGGCCCTCACATATATTTTGCTGGCACCACCAGGTGAAATATTGCCGTTAAACCAAGACAACAAAAAATGTAGTGCCCACAATACGTGCGATCAATTCTCGATACTTATTTACAGCCACACATCTAGGCAATAACTATCACAGTAACTCTGTGCACTTGCAGAGAAACCTTCAGAACTCAGTATTCAAAGGGTTAATGACAACCATAGTTGCCATCCATATTAGATTTAGGTTTGCGTGAAAAAGACTTGTTTTCTAAGAATCACATATTTTGACATAGATATTAAAAATACAAATTTGGCAATATTGTGACCATATTTCGCACATGATATATTTCTAGAGACATTATTTACAGTTTGTTATTTACACGTTTATATACACAGGTTTATTACAGTTGATATCTATAAATATATATACACTAGCTAGCTGTTTACCCATTCATGTACAGGTAGAGCTGAAAATGAAAGTAGTATAACTCTGGATGTGGTAGGGGTAGTGCAATGTCTCCAGGCCTTTACTGTCACTCAGTAGAGTTGATATCTACATATAAAACATACACTAGCAGTTGCATGAGAATAGCTGAAACCGGAAGAGGTAGAGCAATGCCACAAGGCCTGTGTCACTCATATCTATATTTATATATATATACACACAAGCTGGAACCGGAAGTAGTACATCTTCAAAACCGGAAGAGATATTGCAACGCTACAGGTCCTATCTCACTCCTCAGCTGCCCTTATATTGCAAATTGTAGCTTTGAGCCGCCCTAGTGTAGGTGCCTACCCAAAACAGACAAACGGCAGTCACCAATATAAATATATAGACACATTGCCTTGGTTTCACATAATGTGTGATGAACAGGAATCACATTTAAAATACAGAGAAACTAGTTGTCAATTAGTTATTGTTGTGTGTAGTGTAGTCTTCCATCACTCACTACAAGCAATGGCCAGAAGTCCATGTTATATTGATGTAACTATTTAGTTGATGTCAGGAACAAATGGTTTGTTAATGTAATGTTATCTATAAAGCAGGAAATTACAGCATTGTTTATGAATGTTTCTAAAACAATTTATGAATATGGAGGAAAGACTGACACTACATTAATTCTTAACTACTGTGGCAGACATCTCGTTCTAATGACTGTGTGTCAGTACACATAGGATTGATCTGTGATTGGCTTGCTCCTGTCTGTCTGTGGCTATCTCGTCTGTGATTGGTTTTCTCCTGTCTGTGGCTATCTCTTATCTGTGATTGGCTATCTCTTTCCTGTGATTGCCCATCTCTTGCGTGTGATTGGCTATCTTGTTTCTGCAACTGCCTGGGATTGCCTCATGATTGGCCATCTTGTTTCTGTGGCTGCCTATCTCTTATCTGTGATTGCCTTTCTCTTGCCCGTGATTGGCTATCTTGTTTCAGCGGTTGCATGAGATTGCCTGTCTCTGGTGCGTGACTGGTTATCTCGTTTCTGTGGCTGCCTATCTCTTATCTGTGATTGGCTATCTTTTTGTCTGTGTGAAATGAACGTAGATGTTAAACCTCTCTTACGCGTCCGCGTCGATCCATATCACCATTTATGATTGTTCAACATAAACTTTCACAGATTTCAACCACCTGCAAACTTTCTATACACAAAACAGACATTCAGTCCATTAGAAATAACCACTTTGTTCGCAATTTGTTTAAAAAAGAGACATTCGTCAATTTTTTTTTTTAAATTTTTTTTACAATAAATTCCTGATTAATTCCAAAGTTGTTTTTTTTTTGATCTGTGTGTCTTGTCTAAAAATAATGTTTTGTCTTTCTGTCAGAACTTAGGTCAAAGGGCACAACTCGATTCCAGAATAAAATCATGAGACCGTCTCATAATATACCATTTGTATAATATTGAAATCCATCATAAAGTTTAGTTGTCAAGGAGTGCAGACTTGATTCCACCATGTTGTCAACCAACAACTGTAATTGTTCTTCTGTTAGATTTAAGTGGAATCTTTCTTTAAGTGAACGAATAGTACTCACACCCTTACTGAAACATGGCAACTGGGAACCTGAAATAAATTATTAGAGATTGTCCTCTATACTGACACATTTACAACTGAGCATTATTTATTGTTTAAGAGAGAGAGAGAAATGGGGTTTAATGTCTACTCCACACAAACCAGGACATTTTGGGACTAACATATGGTTCAATTTCATTTCAATAATTTGCTTGCACATAGGGGTCTTTAGCAGTGGGAGGAAACTGGAGGAACCGGAGAAAAACTAAAAGAGTTATTTCTTCAATAGCGCTAGTAATACAACTAAAAGAGTTATTTCTTCGATAGCACAACAAATACAAATAATAGAGTTGTTTCTTCTATAGCCCAACAGAAACCACTAAAAGAGTTTTTTTATAGACACAGATGGAATTGTGGTATCTATTGAATAGCAGAGATTCAACCATTCTATTCTGTTTAGTTATTGATATATTAAAATGTACAAATGAAACAAAATGGGGTTTAACGTCCTGCTGTTCTGCTCCGACTGGGCTAATGAAGACAGGCATATGCTATGCAGTGTGCTATGAGAGAAATTTTACCTGGGCAGCGGCACTATGGCCTACTCTTATATCGAATTCCAACTGTCAGGGAATCTTCTACGTACACAGGACCTCAGTTTTTCATACCATCCGAACGACTAGACAGCTTTCCTTGTCAAGCCATCCGTACTGCACTACTGACAAGGGGTAACCACACTGGAAAATCCTGATGATCTTTCTCGGCCAATGCAGGGATCAAACACGCGAACACCAGGCTAGCGAGTCAGCGTCTTACCCACTTAACCACCGTGGGTTCATTTATATAGTAATAATAATAATAATGTACAAACCTGTCTGCATGATTTCAACTAGTGGTAATATTTTATCCATATGTTTACGGGAAGCAACTAAACCTTGTAACATCAGAATTTTAAAATATTCAAACATATCACTTCCTAACCCATCCATAACCTATAATAAACAACAATAACATCTTTTATACTAATCAGTGACTGTTCGGCAGAGTTGTTGCCCTTGATCAAGCTGAAAAATCTTGTGGATGCTCTAAGATGGGCAACCTTTGTTTGAAAGTGTACCTGCCAAAATGGTCAAATATTTCACACAGAATTTTCTCGAAAGTTATCCAACATGTTGTTCTTCTTGGGGGCAATTCTCTTCCGAAAAACGACTACGGTTGCTTGTTTCTTGGACAACTGCACATTAATTGACAGACTGAGAGAGAGAGAGAGAGAGAGAGAGAGAGTTGACTTGGAACAAAAGAGAGAGTGAGAGAAATGGGGTTTAACTTCCACCTGAGACAAACTAGGTCATTTCAGGATTAACATATGGTTCAATTAAATTTCAATAATTCACTTGCACACAGGGGTCTTTAGCAGTAAAAGGAAACTGGAGGACCCGGAGAAAACCCATGAACTTGGGCAGGTGACGCACTTGACTCAATGACAGACCTTGTGATTTCATGTGCACGCCTTAAAACCACTAGACAATCAACCCCCCCCGCCTGTTTGGACAACTACGCATTGATTGACAGACTTTGATATTTTATGACATCATTCTCCATTCCTTGTCCATATAGTACACTCAAAACCTGCTGGGGAACATATTATCATTTGATAGGATCTTTTAAGTATTAGGAAGACCTGTACAAATAATTATAAATGCTACAAATTATCAATATTCGTTTAAACAAAAAAAAAAAAAATATTATACTGTACCTCTGCAAATTCATGGGTTAGTTTAAATGCTGAATTTTCAAATCCGAGATTTTTACCAGGTGAGTTTGACAGGATAAAACCAAAGTCAATATGTATAATATGTCCGTTAGCATCCAGTAAAATGTTACCATTATGTCTGTAATGCAAAATAATATTATAATAAAATATACTTCTGTTAATACACAGATTGAACGTTCCAGAATTGAATTCTCTCGATCCCCAAAATAGTATCAATCGAGTGAAAAGGGGGATTCTGGGCAACAATGTATGAATTAAAAAATATCTCAACCAATCATGACAGCTGAATTATAATCGTTGTGTTTGATTACGTCAAAATTTACTCATACCACCTCTGTTTTCGGGACTGAAAGAACTGTGTCATGACTGAATTCTGCGTCACTCGATTGTAATTCTGTCAATTCTGGACGTACTGGACTGACAATCGAGCATCCCCCAAGACATGATATCCATCTAAGGGGAGATAAGCAAGAACTTGAAGCAGGGGGTTAAACATCTTACTTTTCTGCTACATGTCAATGAGGTAAATTTTACATCAACAGCAACTCTATGTACTACTTTCAGGGGACGGGAGCCACAGTGGCTAAGTGGGTAAGATGCTGGCTCAGTTGCCTGGAGGTCAGGTGTTTGATCCCTGCATTGGACAAGAAAGTTCATTGGGATTTTCTGAGGTAGTTTCTCCTTGTCAATGGGGTTTAACGTCCTACTGTTCTGCTCCTAACCTGGGCTAATGAAGACAGGCATACGCCATACAGTGTGCTATGAGGGAAATTTTGCCCGGGCAGCGGCACTATCGCCAACTCTTATATCTATTCCAACTGCCAAGGGATCTTTTACGTGCACGCCAATGTGTACACGGGACCTCGGTTTTTCGTCCCATCTGAACGACTAGATAGCTGTCCTTGTCAGGCCCTCCGTCCTGCATCACTGACATGGGGAAACCACGCCGGAAAATCAGGATGAACTTTCTCGGCCAATGCAGGGATCGAACACCCGACCTCCAGGCTAGCGAGCCAGCATCTTACCCACTTAGCCACGTGATCCCCCAAGGGAGATAAATCTTACCTGTCTTTAACCTGCATTAAATAACACACTAAACAATAACCGGCACAACTCTGTACAAAGTTTCTCTGTGCTGTTAAAAACTCTTCACTAGTAGGTGGACCGAACTCGTGTATAAAATAATCACGTAATGTCATTTTACTGTGCTTTTTGATTTGATGTAATGATATAGCGTTGAGGACTGGCTCTATCATACCACTGTTGTTAGATGTTACGATAATCTTATATGGAAATATCCACAGGGGTACGTGTTCTTGTCTCCATATACTCTACAAAATATAAACATTAAAACACATAAACATAGGTCATTGTTTTTATTAATTTAGGTCCTTGATCGACTCTTAATTGAGGAGCATTTTTTGTCAAACACACTGCAGCTGAAAAAAGCTTTCCCTAATTTCCATATCTTTCAAATTCATGCTACAGAAGCTCTCTTTTTCATCCCATCCGAAAAGCTGGAGTCTGTTCCTTGCCAGGTAGGGGAAACCACACAGGAAAATTCTGAGGAAATTCTCGTTCAACACTGGAATCGAACCCAGAATCTCCTTAGTGAGGGTATTACTAAGAAATAAGATGGCTAACAGAAATAAACTTACAGATTATTATAGGTAGAAAAAAACTGACCTGTAATTGTTTTAAAACTTGATAAACAAGTAATTCTTGTCTTAGATCATCTCCACATTTCACTATAACTGACATTAATCTCCAGTTAGGCATGTGACCATATGGTGATGATTCACGTATTCTACGTACTTTCTCTTCCCAGGGTTCTTTAAGAGCTGCTGCTGATGGGTCATCCGGATCTCTCTAAATTAAAGTGTAAAGAATTAATGAATCTATCACATTATTTCATCTGCCGATTGCCATTTGAAGGATGTTAAGAAAATGGAATCTCGAAAACGGAGAGAGAGAGAGAGAAATGGGGTTTAACGTCCACTCGACACAAACTAGGTCATTTCGGGACTAACATATGGTTTAATTTTTAGTTCAATATTTCGCTTGCATGTAGGGGTCTTAAGCAGTGTGAGGAAACCGGAGGGCCCGGAGAAAACCCACGCGGTTGGACAGGCGACCCTACTCCTTGTCACGTACAACCGGGGATTCAAAACCGCGCCAGTTGACTCAATGACAGGCTTTATGATACAGCATGCACGTGCTAACCATTTGGCCATCCAACCCCCTCTATCACATAAGATTATTTCATCTGCCGATTGCGATTTGAAGGATGTTGTGAAAATAGAATCTCTAAAAGGAATATCAATCCAAAAATGGTCGAGTATTTGCAAAGATATGATCCACTGATAGTTCTGTAATATTCAACATCCTCTGCATATGATATCAATAACAGAGAGACAAATAGGGTTTAATGTCCACATGACACAAACCAGGTCATTTCGAGACTAACATGGTTCAATTTTATTTCAATAAATTGCTTGCGCATATGGGTGTTTAGCAGTGGGAGGAAAGAGAGAGAAATGGGGTTTAACGTCCACTTGACACAAACCAGGTCACTTCAGGTATAACACATGGTTCAACTTTATTTCAATTATTTGCTTGCACGTAGGGTTCTTTAACAGTAGGAGGAAACCGGAGGATCAGGAGAAAACCCACAAGGTTGGACAGGCGACCCTACTCCTTGTCACGTACAAGCGGGGAATCAAAACCACGCCACTTGACTCAATGTCACGGTTAGCTTCTTGGAAGGGATGGGATTTATATAAATAAACAATACTCTCAACAAAATGCTTGGATGCAGGATTGAGTGGGAAAAAAATTGCCATTTTTTTCCACCCAACTTTACATATATCAAAATGAAATTCAATGGGGTTTAACGTCCCACTGTTCTGCTCCAACTGGGCTAATGAAGACGGCACATAAATCAACTGGGAATAGAATGAGAATATTTTGATACAAACCTCAAACTTTCCTTTTGGTGCGGTGATATTTTCTGAGAGCCGTCTGCGTATATCACCGGCTGCTATATAAACAGGTTCCTTACTATCAGCACTGGTAGAACTCTCCGTGGACATCTGGGATATTGTATCACTAGGTCGACATTTTAATGCAAACTGTCAAATGAAACAGAAATGGTTTCATACGGTTGATAAAAATGAAATGAATTGGGGTTTAAAGTCCTACTGCTCTGACTGAGCTAATAAAGACGAGCATACACCATGCAGTGTGCTGTGAGGGAAATTTTGCCTGGACAGTGGCGCTACGGCCCACTCTTATATCGAATTCCAGCTGCCAAGGGATCTTTTACGTGCATGCCAGCCTGTACATGGGCCCTCGGGTTTTCATCCCATCCAAATGACTAGGCAGCTTTCCTTGTCAGGCCCTTTGTTCTGCACCACTGACAAGGGGAAACCACGCCAAAAAATCCTGATGAACTTTCTCGGCCAACATCAGGAATGAACCTGCGACCTCCAGAGTAGCGGACCAGCATCTTACTCACTAAGCCACCGTGACTCTCCACCAAATATGAACAATTGTATCAAGTATATTACCTGAATAATTTCATCATCTTCTTGAGACCAGCAATCAGCATCATCAAAATCTGTAGAATTACCATAGACACTGAACTCTCCTCGTGGTGATCCGTTACCACGGTTACAATAATGACCTGATAGATCTTCTTCTGATCGTGTAAATCGTAGCGTATTCTCTAATATTTTACTTGGTACCTGACTAGAAGCAGCATTTTCACATTCTAATACTTCTACATATAATAAATACGGTGCCTGAAATTTACACGGAAATAATACAGTTTCATAGACAGTACAAGATTAAAAATACTTCTACATATAAGATGCCTGAAATTTCCAGGAAATAATACAGTTTCATAGTCAGTACAAGATTAGGGCTTTTTATCGACTTGCCAAATTGATTTGAATTTAGTTGAGATGTCATGTGACAGTATGGTCGATTTCAAAGTACTTTGGCGAGTTCGTTAAATGCTTCGATTAGCTGTAAATAATTCTTGTGGCAGGACACAGTTGAAAAAATCATATGATCACCCAATCAAATCGTGACCTGAAGTGATTTGGCGATTTCATGTAATCGCTTCGGAAATCGGTGTCGATAAATTCGTTGATTAGGGTAATCAATTTGAATTACATGGACGTTAAAGATGAAAATGTGATTGAATGCAAATCACTTTGGCTAATCAGTGGTCGATAAAAATGCCTTTAATAACTACAGTGCCTGAAATTTACAAAGAAATAATTTACACAGAAATAAAGTTTAACAGACAGCACAGGATTAACTTTTTTCAAATTAAAGTGTTTTGTTGCTCAAATGTAAGAATTGAGGTCTCGGATTTTGAATTTCCTGTAAACTACATTATTAAGGTTTAATCTCTAAAAGGAATATCAGTCCAAAAAGGGTTCCGTTCGGTATTTACAAAGATATGATGAACTGAAAATTTCACCACATTGTTAGGATTAGTCAGACAAAATCCCTCTGATGTCTTTAATTTGTCCAGTACAGAGAAATGGGGTTTAACGTCCAGTCAACACAAACTAGATCATTTCGGGACTAAATTTCGGGTTGAGTGACTGAATGGTTAACACATGTTTGTTGCATCATAAGGTCTGTCATTGAGTCAAGTGGCATGGTTTTAATTCCCCGATTGTACGTGACAAGGAGTAGGGTCATCTGTCCAACCTCGTGGGTTTTCTCAAAGTCCTATGGTTTCCTCCCACTGCTAAAGACCCCTTCGCGCAAGCGATTATTGAAATAAAATTGAACCATATGTTAGTCCCGAAATGACCTAGTTTGTGTCAAGTGGAAGTTAAACCCCGTTTCTCTCTCTCTCTCCTCTCTCTTAATTAAATTTTAAATAATCATTTAAGCATTAATTAAACCGTGAAAAATTACATATTCTCTAGAAAACACAAATGATGACTGGCAGCTCTAAATATGAGGTAGATTTTAATATTTAAATTGAGCTTTCAACTTAACTAATGAAATGGCTACATAAATGAGGCCCCTGATCAAGTGAATGTAGTTACCTTTTCTTTTGAGTTAAGGACAACAGCTTGTGTATGTGGTATACGAACTATATGATGTATACCTTTATCAGAAATAGGTAACCAAACACGAGCTGGTAGGTTTAAATTTAACATCGCTAATTCAGCTATTAATCTAGATGCTGCAATATAAAACATTTATAATAATAATAATATAATAAAACTCGATTTATCACTGTAACCAGGGTATCATTTAATCTTGTGTATTTAGCACTAATTTCTTTAACATTCATTTAATAGCAAATCTTTGTTCAAAAACTTGTAAAAATCATTTAAACGCTGATGTTGTTGTGTGTTCACACAAAATTGTTAATGGACGGAGGCGACAACACTAATTTGAATAGAATAAAATATGAGTATAACTTACTTCTTAGTTCTTTTGTTGGCAGTAATTGTAATCTGATACCAATACTCATTAAAGATTTTACAAACTCTAATTCTGGCATCAATCTCGGAGCCTGGAAAACGTCAACAATATAGCAATTAATTTAAAAGTCAAAGGAAATAAAATCTACTCAACAATAAAAAGAAGGCCCAGTCATCAAAATCATACGCCCTGGATTCCCAACCTCTGGATCATGACCCTAGCTGTCACAAAACACTTTTCGTTGGGTCATGGGGGACTACTTTCAAGCTTTTGTAAAAATACTGTTTTCATGAAAAGCTTATAAATCTCTAGTTACATGTATAGGGGATTCCTACTCTATCTATATTGGGATGTTGATGATTTACCCTGGTGACTTTCGAGGGGTCGCGATCAGATGCTGGTTTCTGGAATGGGGTAAAAATCAACAATAGGTTGGGGTCCACCGTCCTATGCACTTGTTATATGTACATGTACCTGGTTATAGAGGATAGATGGTGGAAACACAAAAACTAATCAACAGAGAATGTTTCACAAAGATTCATAAATGTATCTTGAACCGTTAATCAGCAAGCCTGGACAAAACGTACCTGTCACAAACTTAGTCATGAGTCATACACAAATACTTAGACAAGTTATATATTATAATAGATGTTGTGTGATAATTTGAGCCTGACAATGTCTGAAATAGTTTGAGCCTGACAATGTCTGAAATAGTTTGAGTCTGACAATGTCTGAGATAGTTTGTGACTAACAATGTCTGAAATAGTTTGTGACTAACAATGTCTGAGATAGTTTGTGCCTGACAATGTCTATGATAGTTTGTGCTTAACAATGTCTGAGATAGTTTGAGCCTGACAATGTCTGAAATAGTTTGAGCCTGACAATGTCTGAGGTAGTTTGTGACTAACAATGTCTGAGATAATTTTTGCTTGACAATGTCTGTGATAGTTTGTGTCCGACAATGTCTATGATAGTTTGTGCTTAACAATGTCTGAGATAGTTTGTGCCTGACAATGTCTGAGATAGTTTGTGACTAACAATGTCTGTGATGGGTGCATTTTGTCCACCCAAGTATATATGTATGGTGTGATAATTTGTACTAGACAAATTCTGTGATAGGTGCCTTTATGTCCAGGCTTATTAATGAGAAATATGCTTGGGAAACTAGTCAGGTACACAGCCAATTTCAACATACCTTGTTGAAGATCCAGTGACTCGACAAATTTCAATATCCCTTGTTGAGGGTCCAGGGACGCGACCAATTTCAATATTCCTTGTTGAGAGTCCAGTATGACCTGACCACTCAATCCCTCACTCGACACAAACTAGGTTATTTCGGTACTAACATATGGTTCAATTTTATTTCAATAATTCGCTTGCGTGTAGGGGTCTTTAGCAGAGGGAGGAAACCTGAGGTCCTGGAGAAATCCCACAAGGTTTGACTTGATGTGACCCTATTCCTTGTTACATACAAGTGTGGAATCGAAACCACACCACTTGACTCAATGTTAAACCACTAGCCCCCCCCCCTAAATTTCTTAATACAAGTATAGAATATTTACCTCACATGAACACAGTGTTTCTCTACCAGTTAAATTATTAAACATGGCCTCTGAGCTCCTATGACATGTACAACCATTATCAAACGCCCGACCAGTTGTCAAATCACCCATTACATTTATAGCATTTAATAAAGCTGGTTGACTTTCACTGTGTTTTAAATATATACCTACAAATAAATAATATTTATATATTGTATAGTATTTCATCTTGAAAGTATATTTATAAGTGATGTTCTAAAATATGTTTAATGACAATTTCCAATAAATTGCTGGTCTAACTAAGACTGTTTCCAATTAATTGTACTGGTCTAAGATGGTTTCTAATCAATGGTGCTGGTCTAAGACTGTTTCCAATTAGTTTCTAATCAACTGTCCTGGTTTAAGACCTTTTCCAATTAATTATGTTTATCTAAGACTGTTTTTAATCAACTGTGCTGGTCTAACACTGTTGGTAGACTGTTGTACTGGTTTAAGACTGTAGCCAATCCATTAAACTAGTCTAACAAATCAAACAGTTTGCCATCAATCCTGCTGCTTTGGACATGTTCCAAGACTGTTTCTAATCAATATCCTCATCTAGTACATGTTTTAAACTGTTTCAAATCAATATTGCTTGTCTATAACACATACTTGAAAACGTTGAGAGAATACGCTTCGAAACGCCACCTAAATAAATCAGTAGCTGTTTTCAATAAGTATTTATCTACCCAGTTACTAAATGCCACTTAAAGAATGTTTCTAATCAATATCGCTTGTCTCAAACGTGACCTAAAACTGTTTCTAATCAATCTTGTTGGACGAGAATGCTGTAAAATGTGTTTTTACCTGTGGCATCAGAACGAGACCTGATATGTGTTTTTTTCGATCCTGTAGGTGATGTTGGTGCTGTAATCTCTGTTGACTGTAAGTGCTTTGTGTAAGTTGGACTAGGTAAAGTAGAATCACTTTTTAAGTGTTTTGGTGGTGGCGGTCTACAAAAAAGGAAAATAAAATAAAATGAAATGGGGTTTAATCACTGACAATGGGAATCCACGCCAGAAAATCCTGATGAACTTTCTCGGCCAAAGCAGGGATCGAACACGGGACCTCAAGGTTATCGAGCCAACATCTTACTCACTGAGCGAACGTGGCTCCCATAATTTAGACTATGATTTTAGTGCTCAGCCAATGAGCGTGAAACCATCAGTATTCTTCAAATAAGTTTTTTTTTTAGGAATTTTATGAATAAAGAGAGAAAAAAAAAATGGGCTTTAACGTCCGCGTTACACAAACTCGGTCATTTCGGGACTAATATATGCATTTTTATGAATAGGGCACCTGTATTGTATATGAATTTCTGTCACTTACCTTAATTCTTCGTTTAAAATGAGATTTTTTAACTTAATTCCCTGTGAGTTCTTCCACGTTGGTTTTAATACATCTGCGGAGTATGCACCTAGCAACCAGGCCGTGTGAATGGAGAACTCTATACTGTATCTACATCTGAACATTTAAAAAAACAAAACAAACTAAGATTAAAATCTTTAATGAAAGGTAAGAGCATTCCAGACAATCTATTAATCAAATATTAATAAATGTTATTACAAAATATGTATGATATCAGATTTTTACATCTGAAAATTAAAAAACAAATAAAAACAAAACTTTAATGAAAGGTAAAAGCATTCAAGAGAAACTATCAATCAAATATTAATGTTATTACAAATTGCATGATATCAGGTTTCTTAGAGGAGAATTTGAGCCTAATTGGATCAATTGAAAGAGATTATGTCCTGGTCAAGCGCTGAAATAAGCGTCCGGACACGGACAATGTCCGGGCGAATTGACCCCTTTTGACAGGCCAAATTGCCTTTCGTCCGACCGTGTTTTTGTAAAACATTAAGTCAAAAATATTCGAGTCGATCGTTATTTATTATTAGACTCGAAAGTCCAGAACCAAAAATATCAATGACCCGAGTCATAGTGAAAATGTTACTATTTATATCTCGGCCGCGTGCAGATAAAATCTTCAATAATTTTTAGAATCGACTCTTTTACGATGGTTATATCAACGACCCGAGTCATAGTAAAAATATTACTATTTATACATGTATCTCTCTCGGCCGCGTGAAGATAAAATAATGAATAATATTGAGAATCGGCTCTTTTACACTGGTTATTCGAGTCTCGTAGCTAGCTTTGCGTTACTTTCGTATATGATTAGCTCTAAATCACACCTAACATGACATGTAATTATATAAATTATTAGTAATAAAAGTAATAATATTTTAAAATTAGTTTACAAGAAAATGTCCAAGTTGACTATGGATGTAATTAGGGACAGACTTTTTATACGAAAATATCTCACTTTGTTGGACACTTCCAATGTGAATGTAAATAGAAGAGTCGTGAAAACATGTCGAATAAAATAACTTCTTACTTTTCCCAACCCTCGGAAACGGATATCCCGGCTAGTGGGACCGTTCCAGAAAATTCAAAGACTGGTACTGTGTCTTAATCTTATGTCTCTCATAAAGACACTTCTAAACGGGGGCCGTCGCCGTCACCAGTTCGAAAATTACAAACACGAACCGTAGAAAAGTGGATCAAAAATGACTTGGCAGATTCTGAACCATTTACGACAACTCAAGATGTCTATTCTTTAGTTAAATTTGAATCTTAATCAGAGTTTTTAGGATTTAGTCCCCAGCCCCACCAAAGAGATTAATGACATTATTATATGAACTATAAAGTTGTATTCCATATACATATAAAAACTTAAAACTCCAGGTTGTATGTGAGTCATCAATTTATTTTATTAATAAATGTATGTATAATAATATATATAAACATAGTAAATTTCAACAGTTTTTTGGTTTAATATACTTTATAAAGTATTTGTCAGGCTGAAAATCTGAAATGTCCGGCCGAAAATCAGTTCAGCCTGACATGATGTCAGGCTGAACCTTAGCAGTTATTTCAAGGCTTGGTCCTGGTGATTTCATGTTAGATTGAAATGAAATGAAATGAAATGAAATGAAATGAAATGGAGTTTAGCGTCCTACTGTTCTGCTCCGACTGGGCTAATGAAGACTGGCATACCATACAGTGTGCTATGAGGGAAATTATGCCCAGACAGCGGCGCTACAACCTACTCTTATATCGAATTCAAACTGCCGAGGGATCTTTTACGTGCACACCAATGTGTACACGGGACCTTGGTTTTTCATCAGGCCCTCCGTCCTACATCAATGACAAGGGTAAACCACGCCTGAAAATCCTAATGAACTTTTATTGGCCAACACTTACTCACTGAGCAACTGTGGCTCCGATTTCATGTTAAAGTTTTGATGTCACATTCTAAAGACAGTGGATTAATGAAATATAATTGAATCAAGAATACATGTGCAACTTAATATAGTTCATAATCTACTGCGATATCTCCTTAGGAGATATCGCTTTACATGAATTTGATTGGTCAGTTGAAAAGGGACTACTTTTTTTTATTTTCAAAGAACAGTTTATTTCTTATTAAAAGTAACTTTTTTTTTTATTAAAAATGAACTATTGTTATTCAATTGACCTTGATGGAAACACTGGGTCAATATAAAGGGCTTTGCAATGGTTGAATTGCTGTCAAAAAATGATGTATCACTACGCCGTAATGTTCAGTATATAAGTGAAATCTACAGCAAAGAATTATATATATTTATCTATTTGTGCATGTAAGAAGGGATTGAGTGATAAATAAAATCTCCTACTCGTCTTTTTTGATATCAAAAAGCCTCGTTTTTTGTTACTTTATCAACTTGTGTTGATATTTTTTGATATAAAAAAAAAGACTGGTGGTAGGAGATTCTCTATATGATGATATATCTATATATGTACAATATAAGGTTGTATTATAGTATGTATATATACATGTACCTACCTATGTACATGTACAATACATGTATAAGGTTGTATTATAGTATGTATATATATATATACGTACCTATGTACAATATAAGGATGTATAGCTTCAGCAACATCATGCATCTGTATATACATGTTGACTATTTGTGGTAAATATAAATCTATCTCTTCATCTCTAAAACTAAATAAACGATTTCCTGAAAATAAAATAATACATACACATACAGTATATACACACATTGGGTTTAACGTCCAACTTTTCTACACCAATCAGGTTATTAAAGACAGTATCATGCAGTGTGTTATGAGTGAAATTTTGCCTAGGCAGCACCACTACGACCTCCTCTTATTTTGATTTCCAACATTGAGCGAATCTTTAACATGCTGTAATTTTTGTGTACAGTAACGTGTGATGGACAGTGGTTTAGCTTAAGCAGAAAATGCTCATCAACGAACTTACCCAAAGAACATGTAAACCGAAATTGAACATTCTACCTCAAGTAAGAACGGGGTTCTTTTGTACCAAAGTCTTGACCAATCATTCAAATTGCTTATCTCTGCTCAGCCTACATATATATTCTCATCACAGAGCACAGGGCCTAGTGGTCTAGAGTGAGACGCTTCGACCTCTAGCTGGCCGGTCATCTCTGGCTTGCGGTTGTGGTTTCGATCCCTGGTGTGAGCGTACATGTATGTGAGTTGGAGATAGGGGCGGCTTTTAAACCTCATGGGTTTACTCCGGGTACTCCAGTTTCCTCCCACAGAAAAGACCCCTGCGCGTACGCTAAGATAATAAAAAAAAAAATAAGACAACTTGTCTGCGATATCACCTTCGGTGGAAGCGGACGTTAAAACACTAAGAACAACAACATCAATCATGCTTGTCTGCGATATCACTTCTGTGGAAGCAGACGTAAAGCTATCTCACAGTACACACTCCATCTAGGCATTCAACTAATGAAGAACTATACACCAACTTGAACTTTCTAGCTCAATAAGAAGGAGGGTTATTGTGTCCTAAAATGTGTGATAGACAGACAGACAAGCGGACGGACAGACAGACCCATTTTATAAGTCCTGTGCTTTCTTTGAATAAATAATGATTGTATACAATGTATATATATATAAAGTAATCTGATTAAAATACAGATCTATATTTCGTTTTTTTTATACTTTCAATGGCCTACACTACTTGAAGATCTGACCGGTTGTAGTGATATGTCGCATCAGAGGTCACATGAGCTGCTTTTGATCCTATGACGTCAGACATTGATTAATCAACTAGCATTGATGTTTCTTGTGGTTTACCCACAGTTTTGTGCACAGCGCGCCAAGAACTCGCTGTAATAGTCCGCTTCATTGGCTAATCCCTCACATAAACTAGAACGTGGCTTATATAACAACTTTTCCAGATCCTAGTGTAGTGAAGACAAGTAAAACGAAACTTTGAACTATAAAAAACGAAACGAAATAGGATCTGTGTTTTAATCAGATTGGATTTGATGGCAAACTTACCTAAATAAGACTGGACGCCTGGTTCTTTAGAATTAAATAAATACGAGATAGCAATTGACATATCAAACAGTTTCGACTCGAATAATCTCAATAACCACGATTGTTTGGGAGGTGGCACTTTTGTTTTTTTCAACATTTGTGATCTTTCTTTCGCAGACTTCGAATCACACGTGGAAATGTGGACATTTTTGCCGACATGATGTAAATTTAATTGCAATGATTTCGGATCCAGTTTGTCTGTTTTGTTCGTTTCCATAGAAACCACGTCCATCCCCACCCCCTCCACATTTTCTCCACCATTTACACAACATTCAATATCAGTTGCCATGGCTACATCCACACCCTCTTCTACTAATCCTTCGTCTTGTATCATTGAATCTGATTGGTCAGGATTAGTCTGATTAAGAGTCGATTGATCAGCGACGTGTAGTAATTCGGAAGTATTTGTTTGTTCGACTGCCGAGTACGAGAGACTTCTCTCCAATAAAGATGGCGAGACACGGTCACAGATGTTCGTGATGTTATTTTGGTCAGTAAAATGAACAGAGTGTGGTTTGGCTTGATGCAGCTTGGCCTGATTTTCTTGTGGCAGGAGTCCGTTTGGTACTAAACGCAAGGCTTGTCTCATTCGTTCCTCCAGGTGATTCTTATCGCTCTCCATACTTTGATAATTGCCGTTCACCTCCGAATCGCCAGCTTTCCTATCCACATAAAAGGATAGAGTTGATTGGCTTACAGAGTTAGCTGCATTGTGTATCGAAGAACTAGATTTACTTAAAATAGATGACGGTGCCTCAAACTCAACTTTCATTAATTCAGATGATGTCATATTTTAGGTCTATTTAATAGTTATTAAATTGTTCACCCATGTCCCTTTCATTATTCACGTTAGATGTTGTATTTTATTTCATGTGTTTGATTGTTTCTGTAATTTATTCAGGATTCTGCCATTTTGGTTTGAAACAGTACAAATACCCCTATACTAAATAACCTGAAAAATACAAACATTATAATTATTCAATTAACCTTTAAACCCCAGTAATATACAAACATTATACATGTAATTATTCAATTAACCTTTGAACCCCAGTAATATACAAACATTATACATGTAATTATTCAATCAACCTTTGAACTCGCAGTAATATACAAGTACAAAAATTGCATTTATGTGACCATAGATGCATTTTCATATTCCTGAAGCAATGGCCCGGGGAAATCCTTCCCTGCCCATTGCTGCACATGAAGCTAAAAATTGGGTGTTTTATCCGATGTGTCTATTTCTATCATGTATAATCTGATCAAATCTCTCCCGAGATCCATTGTTGGAAGTTCTAGTTCTATTCAGTTTGTTGAAACAAAATATGTGACATGGCAGTCCGACTCTTTGATCTGGGGTCTTCCGTAGAACTTCTGACAATTGATTAATTAATGAATTAAAATAGTGTCTAATATTCTCTGGTTAACAACTCATAATGAATGTCACAATCTGGTTAAATCACAGATCCTATTTCGTTTCGTTTTTATAGTACAAAATTTCGTTTTACTTGACTTTACTACACTTGGATCTGGAAGAGTTGTTATTTAACTTGTGTTCTGAATGGTGTCAAGGATAAGTCAATGAAACAGTCTGTTACGGCAAGCTTTAGGCCTTTTTTAGCACAGAACTGTGGGTAATCCACTAGTAACATCAATGCTGATTGGTTAATCAAATGTCTGACATCATAGGGTTATAAGTCGGTCTTTTGACCCCTGACGTGACCTATCGCTATAACTTGTCAGATCTTCATGTAGTGTAGGCCATCGAAAGTATAAAAAAACGAAACGAAATATAGGCCCAGACCCCGCTAACCATGTCCGACAGTCCGTCTAGCTGTGTGGTACAGTCCTCAAGCACCTATTATAATACACTAGTGGATGACCCGGAGCTGCACAGGTTGAAAGTACATGTAGTATAACTAGGACATTGTCATTAGAGAGAGAGAAATGGGGTTTAACGTCCACTCGACACAAACTAGGTCATTTCGGGACTAACTTATGGTTTAATTTTATTTCAATAATTCGCTTGCGCGTAGGGGTCTTTAGCAGTGGGAGGAAACCGGAGGACCCGGAGAAAACCCACCAGGTTGGACAGGCGACCCTACTCCTTGTCACGTACAACCGGGGATTCCAAACCATGCCAGTCGACTAAATGACAAGACTTTATGATACAGCGCGTGCACGCTAACCATTCAGCCATCCAACCCCCCCATTGCCATTAGAAGTGGTAGTCCAACACCACCAGACTTATGTTACTCACGGTCGGAGCTACCCCTATATACACCAAATTTCAGCCCTAGTGTAGCCACCAACCCTGAACAGACAAACAAACGACAGTCACAAATATTTATATTGATTTACCAAACCTGTACGTCTAAATTCAACGAAAAGTGTAAGTAAACTTCACTCCAATATTTACAGGTTTAAATGATACAACAAGGATGTTCCACGGAAGCTTAATTACATACTACTCATAAATATAATGACAGATACATCCTATAAATTAGACAAGATATTAGATCAAGAAGCTGTCAACATTTTACACATACAGAGTTCAAAGGTCACCAGCTAAACAAAAGCATGATATATATACCACCTACTCAACACAATCCATCCCAAATACCACTTATAATATCTAAGATAGTAAACAGAGCAGTGGGGGCTCCCTTTAGGCCAAGAAAATTTAATTTTCAGTTCTTAAGGGACTTGATATAAAATAAACAGCCACTTGAATGATGTGGAAGATGTTTTGTTTGAAATTTGGAACTAAAAGCTTTTAAACAGCTCAACCAAGTTATTTGGATTTTAAATTAGTCTTTTTCCTGAAAAAAATAAGGAGCAAAATGTTAACAGGTGTTCCTGAAGAACAGAAAATCAAACTGTTGTGGCCTAAGCACTGAATATAATGTGAATTGTGTTCCACATGACCAGTAAATTTACTTTACTTTATGAATAAAACTACTTTATCATATTAAATAAAATAAAGTGACGTTTAATGTCTCACTTTTCTCTAAACCTAATAGTACATGTACATATCTATTCACAAACTGTTTTTAAATCAATAGTACATCTAGTCACACTCACAAACTGTTTTTAAACCAATACTACATGTACATCTAGACACAAAATCTTGTTAAATGAGACAGTGACAGCCCTATAGTAGATAATGCAATACTATGAATATTACTATTAATAGACAAAGATAGTGCTATAATTATCTATGATCTACTTAAAGATGCATTAGGTAAGATTTAGAGCTGACTGTTCTTGCTACAATTATAACAATAGGTTTTAAAAAATATACTGAAAATTTTATTCAAATTACTTTATTCTGACCAAAGATGCCACCATTTGAAGTTTTGACAAGATGTGGATAGATTGCTTATTATCGTAACAACGGTACTTGTTATTCGAGACTTGGCCTCGCTTCGCCATTTTCAAACAAATCATTAAATGGCGACCACGTTTTAATCCGTTTAAATCTCTGCCATTAGATATTCTAGAGAAATGATTATGGACTTGTCATGTGAATAAATGTCTAAATAATAATTCATATACGAGAGAGAGAGAGAAATGGGGTTTAACTGTCTCCACACAAACTAGGTCATTTTGAGACTAACATATGGTTTAATTTTATTTCAATTATTCTCTTGCGCGTAGGCTCTTTAGCAGTGGGAGGAAACCGGAGAATCTAGAGAAAACCCACGAGCTTGAACAGGCGCCCCTTCTCCTTGTCATGTACAACCGGGGAATTGAAACCACATCAGTTGACTCAATGACAGAGTGTGCACGAGCTAACCATTTGGCCATCCACCCCCCTTCATATATAATATATAAAGACCTGCAATAGGTAGATTTAGCTTTGAAGGCTTGACACTTTATTTAGCACTACAGGAATCACTTGCAATATTATGAAAATTTTATCTCTAAACTAATAATAGTAGTATCAGTCCAAAAATTGTCCATTTATTTTTGCCTTTTTAATTAAGAAAACAATAATAAATAAGACAGGCATATGCCATACAGTGTGCTAAGAGGGAAATTTTGCCCAGACAGCGGCGCTACAGCTTACTCTTATGTCGAATTCCATCTGCCAAGGGATCTTTTACGTGTGCATGTCAATATGTACAAGGGACCTTGCAGTTTTTTGTCCCATCCAAACGACTAGACATCTATCCTTGCGATATACTTGTTGTATATAAACAATTTTACCTACCACAACACTGTACATGTAAAGTTATTCATTTCTATTAAAATATAAAGTATGTGGTTGATGTTAGATCATCCTCAAATTGATCATAATCTATAAATACATGTACCACCATCACAATAAGCTTACTCTGTATCACACTAGGATTATACATAGAAATAATAAGATAAGCCTACCTATGTTTATATACTTAATCTATGATCCTCCCACATATTCATATAATCTCAATAATTTCACAATCTCAATCTGAATCATTTTAGGGTCAGAGAGGGAGATAGAGAAAGAAAAGAATTAGTTTTAACTTCCATGCGACACAAACTAGGTCATTTCGGGACTAAGATATGGTTTAATTTTATTTCAATAATTCGCTTGCACGTAGGGGTCTTTAGCAGTTGGAGGACACCGTAGGATCCACGGAAAACCCACAAGGTTGGACAGGTGACCCTCCTTCTTGTCTGGATTGAAACCATGCCACTTGACCTAATGACAGACCATTAGACCATCCAACACCCCAACAAACAAGGCAAAATATAAAAACTTTTAAGAAATTTTTATATTCGGGCAATAATAAATTTCATTTTCAGGCAATAAATTTCATTTTCGGGCAATAATAAATTTCATTTTCGGGCAATAAATTTCTTTCATTTTTGGGCAATAATAAATTTCGGGCAATAAATTTCATTTTCGGGCTATTTAAATCATTATTATTATACTATAAGCTTATATTACAATATGTACTACTTTTCTCACCCAAGTGTTGCCCAAGAAAGTTCGTAAAAATTTTTCAGGGTGGTTTTCCCCTTGTCAGTGGTGTAAGACAAAGTGACTAGCTGTATGGATAGAATAAAAAACCTAGATGGCGTGCTAGTAAAAAGGTACATGTAACCTGATGAAAAAGAGACAATTACATCTACACTCACCAAGAAATAAAAAAATAAATATTTTTTTCAAAATAACCCAGGCTTACCTGCAATTATTGAAAATCCAAGCATTGAACTAGGCTACAGGTACAAGAGATTTCATGAACACTAAACCAATTTTTATGCCTCGTAAATTAACCATTAAAGTGTTAATATAAAAGACTTCATTTTTTTTTAATAGGTGTATTAAAATACATGTAATGATAGGAGTTAACAGTTGTAAATCAAAACTGATTGCTTAGTTACAAATATACATATTGAATCAGTGTAGAAAAACTCAAATTAGCTACAACTACAACTACAACTGTCAATCAAAACCGATTGCTTAGTTACAAATATTGAAACAGTGTTGGAAAACTCTCGATCAAATTAACTACAGTTTGAATACATATAGTGATAGGAGTTAAAAGTTGTAAATCAAAACTGATTGCTTAGTTACATATTGGAGCAGTGTAGAAACACTTAAATTAGCTACATTTGTCAATCAAATGTTTGATTGTTTTGTTATTCCTATTAAAACTGTGTACAAGAGAACAGATTAACAAGTCTAGCTGTCTGTATTAAAACAGTGTACAAGGGCCCCAAATGAATAAGTTTGTCCTTAATCTGTAACAGATTGCAGTCCAATATAATTTTATCTGCCCTTTGTCCTTTCATAAGATCTAACTAGGTCATCAGGTAATTACATGTATCATTTGTTTGTAAACAAAAGATTATCAAATAACACACATTATAATGACCCCATATGTCCTATATTTAAACAAGACCTACAACAGTGAGGCTGATGTCCCCCACCGAGATCCCAAAATAAATAGATGACACATATTAATTAATTGCACATTTATCTTTTTTTATAGAAAATATATAAGATAATGTTACATCCATGCTATCAACTATATGTAGTAATAAAATGTGATCAAATTTTTCTTCCCCCCCCCCCCCCCCTATAGGAAATTTTCAATAATAATTTTACATCAATGCAATCAACATCAACTAGTGAAATGTGATCAGTTTTTTTTATCTCCTATAAGCGATTATTTATTCCATACAAACGTACAACCAACTAATGAAATGTAATCTTTTTTGTTTTTATCTCGTTTTAACTGTATTCAATCCTATCAACTAATGTAATATTTAATAATAACATCAATCCAACCAATATCAACTTATGAAATGTGATCAGTTTTTTTTTTATCTCCTCCTATAGATATATAGATATCAACTAATGAAATGTTTAATACAGTGATATTATATTTAAGAGAGAGAGATAGAGAGAGAGAGAGAGAGAGATGGGGTTTAACCTGGAGTGTTTCATCTCCACTCAACACAAACTAGTTTATTTCGGGACTAACATAAGGTTTAATTTTATTTCAATAATTCGCTTGCGGGCAGGGGTCATTAGCAGTGGAAGGAAACCGGAGGACCCTGAGAAAACCCATGTTTCCGCTACTAACTGGCTCGGGGAGATGTTGTTGTCCCAGTTTCGGAAACATGGGGAAGGTGCCCCTGACGGTACAGCGTAGGCCGTAGCGCTGCTGCCCGGGCAAAATTTCCCTTGTGACACTGTATGGCATATGGCCGTCTTCATTAGCCCAGTTTAGGAGCAGAACAGTAGGATGTTAAACCCCATAAAAGGCATTTCAATTCTTCATTTCTCTCTGTTATACATGTACATGTCATGCTGATGTGGAATGTTGACAAATTGACAATAACTGATTACGTCACAAACAAATGTTTATTATACCACAGATGTCAACTATAGAGACTTGATTGACATAAATGTACATGTACTAAACTAGTACAGGCTTTTATACACACAAATAATCAATAGGATTTCTACTTTTATTTACCAACATTCTACAAACAGTAAAGAGAGTTTAAGCTAAAAATCAATGGGTGTGTACATCTGTAGAAATCACATACAATATAAATGACTCCACACATCGTAACTTCCAAGGTTTTATTACTAGATCAATCGATTTACGTAGTATATTGGAAGAAACATTATTACATTTTTATAAAAAGTTTAATTTACAATGTTTTGTATGACCTTGGTTTTCCCTGCCATTTAAACAACTACGTAAAGCCTAAGGATATGTGGACACGGGACCTTGGGTTTTGTTGTCCTATCCAAACGACTAGACACTGTTCCTTTTCAGGTCTTTTCATCCTGCATCAATGATCATTACTTGAAAGTGGTGGCGTTTGCAAGGGTGGCTAGGAAAATGTGAGATGTAAACCGGGCTAGCGTTAATCCCAACTCTAACCCTAACCCTAACCCTAGACACTGTTCCTTTTCAGGTCTTTCATCCTCCACCAGTTGCCCTTGTCAGGAAGGCCCTCCGTCCTGCCACACTGATAAGGGGAAACTACATGCATGCCAGAAAATCCAGATGTTATTTTTCAACTGATGTTTTAGGACTGGATAATCATGTTAGCAGTTCCGTTCTAAGGTTAGTACTAAATGATAAGGCCAGCTCAATTTTTTGTCATAGGTCACGAGATGTAAACGGGGTTAGCGTTAATCCCGAGCCTAACCCTAGACCTAGCCCCAATGCTTACCCTAATCCTAACCTGCAATCTCGCCAACACTCACATGCCCTAACCTTATTTACATCTTAGCGACCTTGACATAAATTGAGCTGGCCTTAACGAATACATTTAGCCTCGATCGAAGGCAAATCTGTAAACACCCAGGGGCGGAAGATTTATTTTCTTTTTTATTGTAATATATCACCATACATGTATATTGAAAGAATTAAGGCCATATGAATTTATTGGTCTGTAAGCTAATTAATCTATATAGTCTGTTAATCGTTTCGATAGAGATAACAAATAATCATAATCATTATGGCTACGGTACATGTATTTGATGATGTCACATGATAAAAGAGATAACTCTTTTAGTCTTGTTTGTCCAATAACAGCAGAATGAGAGAAGGATATAGACCATGCTTACATTGTAGATGTACAAGTACATGTATATTCTAACATTGACCACATTTTTTAAAATCATACTTTTGCAGTTTATCATTTATACAAGAATAATGTCACTTGATTATACATTATGTATGGTGAGTGACTCTCAAATGGAAGGGGGGGGGGGAGTTGGATGGCCGAAAGGTTAGTACGTGCACGCTGTATCAAGGTCTGTCATTGAATCGGAGATCACGGTGGCTAAGTGGGTTAAGGCGCTGGCTCGCTAGCCTGAAGGTCGGGTGTTCAATCCCTGCATTGGCCGAGAAAGTTCATCTAGATTTTCCAGTGTGGTTCCCCCTTGTCAGTGATGCAGGACGGAGGGCCTGACAAGGACAGCTGTCTAGTCATTCGGATGATACGAAAAACCGAGGTCCCGTGTACACATTGCCGTGCACATAAAAGATCCCTTGACAGTTGGAATTCGATATAAGAGACAAAATTTCCCTCATAGCACACTGTATGGCGTATGCCCATCTTCATTAGCCCAGTTTGGAGCAAAACAGTAGGACGTTAAACCCCATTTCATTTCATTTCTGTCATTGAGTCAACTGACATGGTTTCAATTCCCTGGTTGTACATGTACGTGACAAGGAGTAGGGTCGCCTGCCCAACCTTGTGGGGTTTTTCTGGGTCCTCCTGTTTCCTCCCACTGCTAAGGCCACCTACACACAAGTAAATTATCACTTCCATTCCTTTATTGAAAGATGCAGAAGTGCTTTATGAGTTACAGTGTCAAAGGTAGTCACTAAATAGACAGGTGCTGGAACAATGTAGTTATCAGAAAAACATTAATATCATTAATAATAGTGATAACTTATCATTTACAACTAATGACCATTGACCAATATTGTTGTCATTATTCCTCAAGTACAATTAAGTCATCTACTATTTGACCTATAAAATACTCTCTAATATAAGTGAACATTAACCCCCAGTAATAGTACCGAATGTCTGTCTCTAATATCAAAACCTGTCAATCATCATTCTAACATTAAGGATAATGTATTCTTTAGTAATCACCGATTGATCACACAAAAAGTCTTACATTATATCATAAATAATTCTAACAAGCTACATGTATATATCCTAAGATTTCCATGTCAATTAATCTCATTTACAACTGTTTTCGGCAACCAAAATACCCAACCCTGCCACCACCACACAAAAAAAAATTCTGTGAGATAGAACTTTTCAAATCAATAATTATAATTAGGATCTTCTTAAGATATCTTTAATTACATTTACAACATCATTTAACCTTTGAACTACGGTACAGTAATGGTTCCTCATCAATCACACAGATCTATATTGGTATCCCAATGACCTATAATTCAATAAAACTGAGGACAGGGGTCAATACTACAAGTACATGCATGGCTAGTGATAACCTTAAAACAAGATATTAACCTTCGTGACCTGTTGAACTTTATTTTTAAATTCTTGTTACATGAATCAGAGGCCAGTGTCTGTGTAAACAACAAATATTTTATTACTGGCCACTGTCTGTAAGTTTATAGTACGGAATAAAACAGATATCTTTTTTTTAGATACTTTTGTTATACTTGGCAGGACGATTTACCCAATACTAACGAAATACTACCTCATTATTGTGGAGAACGAACACAGTGGCGAAATTATTTAAAATTTTACGATAAATTGAAAAAGTCTATTTACATGCATTACATCAGTACCCGCTAGCTCGAGCGTCTGAAAGAATAGAAAAATATCTCTTGTATCCAATACCTTGCTACCTAATCACGCACACAAAATAATATCTGGAATCTAAAAATTAAAATTGCCCCTTATGGCTATAATAACGGTAGGGTCCAATATCAATATCATACTATTTTTCAATACATTCCAAAAGCACCACATTGTCATTATGGACATTATGGTTTATTTGGGGCATATCATATACTAGTGGAACTTGATGCGAACTTGTGGATTAAAAAATATTTTTACGCCCCTGCTTTTACTTTACAGATAACATAGTTCACAATATTTTGACAAAAGATTCCTGTCTCTGTCTACACTACTGCACTATGCACTTCGACTTATAAGAATCTTACAAAAGAATGTGGCCACAAGACAGATAAAAAAATAAAACTTGAAACTACAGATATTTGATGTTTGGGTTCAGGATTTAAATCAATGAATAATGGAAAAACCACAAATATGAAGGATATCTTTGACTGACAGATTGGAAGAATTTGGCCTAGTTCTTGGATGGATGAGTCACTGTCATGTTGAATGTTCAAACTACAAACTAGAGTAGAATGCCCTATTTAAAATGTAAATGAGAAGATGCAGTCACAGAGTAAATTCAGTAAGAAGCCCAATTATTGCAATAGTATTTATAGGCTAATCGTACTTGGGAGAAACCATACGAATATATTTCAAAATGTATTGCTTTTAAAATCAACCAGGTCAAGTGACAGCCGGGAAATAAAAACCAAGCAGACGCCCCATTATCTTTTTTTTGAAAGATTTGAAGAAGTTTGTATTTGAAAGGCTTGTAGTCTATATCGGTAACAAACTAAAAATAAACAAAAAATCGAAACAGTTTACAAATATTGACTGAATAATGGACTTAATCGGCGAATTTTTCATTGAAAAGATAGGTGAATAAATTTTTAAGACTTCAGATCAAGGCGATGTCAAAAGCGCATGGTCAGTAAGAAGTTGAAATGCCGGTATACATTCTCTTGTAACGTCGTTCACTTCTCTCAATAGAACACTCACCTTTCTATTTGATAAAGCCGTATCCAAGATAATTAGTGTTAAAAGACAGTTGATATTGTTCGTATACCTAGGGGATCCATTCATTTCAGACAGCCATCTTGAATCTGTTGTTACCTCGATTTCACATCGTCGACCTTCACCTTATCGTATTGGGAGCTATTAATAGTATTATGGAATGAACAAAGAGTCAAAAGTAGAAAATTCATCTCTATTATTCTAGTTTTGAAACTTGGATTTCCTTAATACACAAGAACGTGTCGGATATAAGGATTTTTTTATAAAAAAAAATCCATTGTCTACCTTTTCTATGTGATCTATGTTCAAAAATTTATTCATTGTGTAAAATTAGCAATGTATACTGTTTTAACCATATTTTAATTATAAGTGGGTTTGGGTTTTTTGGGGGTTTTTTTATATTTTTTTTTTAACTGTATTTATTACCTGTCCTGGGTTTTTACCAAATACATGTAGAATTACGGTAGAGAAAGGTAAAACCTCATCTTAAAATAATTATAAACTATAACATATACTTATGGAAAACAGCTGCGAATAAATTTTGAGAAATCTCCAATATAAGGCTAAAACTGGAATCCTGAATATTCTAGGATGGTAATAAGCACGAAATCATAATATTATGGAACACAATTACTATTTTAATTAAAGCGACGTTTCGTTGAGGTTCTCTCAGCGTTGTCAAGCAAAATTTGCCTTTAATGATGAAGAAAATAATTTATGTTACTTCACTCGTATGATTATAATCCGTAATGGTTATATTGGCATAATTAGTTGTTCATTGTTTTGTGTTTATGATTACATGTACTTGAAATTTTTAACTGGAACTAATCGCACGACCAGTTTTAATATGTAAATAATCCACGGGTCCAGTTATGTTGTTTTTACTGCGAGAAAATAAAATAAGCGGATTGTTTTCCCCGCTGTTTTTTTTTCTATCTGCACTAATGACACCAAACGTCAATCAGCTGGAGCTCCAGTTTTAATTTGTTTTTTTATCACGACAAAGAGAGAAGATGACTCGCTCTCTCTTCTTACCTACGAATTTTAAATTTTAACACCGTGTTTTAAAGTGACATTCTGATATACAAGATCTTTTTTCTAATGTTTTTCCTCATTTTACTAATTTAATCAGCCAGTCCATAATATCATATTGTAATGTATTGGACGTTAAATTTGTAATAAACAACAACAACAATATTTTCATCATCATTTGCTTGAAACAGTGCCGGACTTGGCCCACCTGTCAGGTCATATTGACCAAGGCCCACACAAGTACGCGCCGAAGGCGTCATGAGCGAGCCCAAGGCGCGCGAACGTCCAAGGGGGGGGGGGTGGGGGGTCTCCCCCTCGGGAAAATTTTGAAAATTGACAACCGCAAACCCAGTTTCCAAGCATTTCAGACCAATCTTGATACAATTAGATAACAGAATGACCTAAGAGCACTATCATTAGATGAATTTGAGAATTCTCTTCAGTGTCAAAAACAAAAACCTTTTATTCTCCGTGATGAAAATAATGCAAATTATAATATAAAACGTCCACCATGACACTATTTTGCCTGGTCTCCTGGTCTACAGGCAGAAATCGAAAGTGAAACTGAAAGTGAAATCCAAACCCGGAAGTGATTCATTTTTCGCGAAAAACTAAAAAAAACTGGGAGGTTTTTGGCGATTATTTCAGCGATAATGACTTATGAAGAACTAAGTAGAGGTTAAAAGATGAATTACACGGTTCTCGGTAAAAAGTTCTTTCCGTGTAGTACACTTCTTTTTTTGATTTGTTTGTCAGTCATTTTTTTCCTATCTTTTCTTTCTCCTGCCCTGTGTACTGTCCTCTCCTACCTTCTTTCTTATCTTTCCTCCCCCTCTCCTTTCTTTCTCTTTTCTTTTTCCTTCTTTCTTTATAGGCTTAGGCCCACTTTTTTTAATGAGCTTAGCCAGGTGGACAGGTGGGCCCAGTCCGGCACTGTCTTGAAGACGTTATAAGAGAACCCTCAATAAAACGTCGCTTTAATTAAAATAGTAATTGTGTTCCATATTATGGTTTTGTGTTTATTACGCGTGTCAATTGCTAAATGGCGCTCAAAGAAGATATTCTAGGATGGGTTTAATCTTGTTGTTATCGTACAGGGTTAGATTTATTTCATAAGACCAACTTCAAGTTTGGTCAAAGGTCACGAGATGTAAACAGGGCTAGGTCTAATCCCAACATAACCCTAACCCTGGACCTAGCCCTGCTGCTTACCCTAACCCACAATCTCGCCAACAATCACGTGTCCTAACCTTATTTACATCTCAGCGACCATGACGAAATCTTGAGTTGGCCTTAAGAAATAGATCTAGCCACTGTACAGGCCAACACCGCAGCGGAATAGATGGCCCGATAAAACAAAAAATACCTGTGTTTATATGCTGGCCCGGATCCAGGATTTTGTCGGGGGGGGGGGGGGTTGGAGCAAAGGGTAATCATCAGAGTGCCGCATGCATTAGTGATTTGGTGTAGTCCCCAGAGTCTTCGTCGCGGCCTCATTAAACAGAAACTAAAATCTGGGAATCCCATTGCTGGCTTCAGGTGCTGGTCTGAACAGTGATGACCAGTCTCACTGGATCCGCGCCTGATACGGTAACCCGACTGACCCTAGTAGCCTACAGTGCATGTTGTATAAGAGAGAGAGAGAGAGTGAGTGAAGTGAGAGGAGAGAGAGAGAGAGAGAGAGAGAGAGATGGGATTTAACGTCCCCTCAAAACAAACTAGGTCATGTCGGGACTAACATTTGGTTCAATTTTATTTCAATTATTCGCTTAGCGTTCTTTGGCAGTGGGAGGAAACCGGAAGACCCACGAGTTCGGACAAGAGAATCGAAACCACGCCAGTTGATTCAATGACAGATCTTAAGTGATACAGCACGCACGTGCTAACCCCCACCCCCACCCCCACTTTTATTAGAGAATCTTACTCAGTAATTCAGCTATAGAAATGCTAGGAAATAAATAATAAACATTTTACGGTATTTAAAACATCACTTAGGCTATAGACTGTCGATGTAGTTTATTAAAATATTAATATATTAGTTCACTTAATACACACCCCATACCACGGAGAAAAAAAGAAGAAAGGGTTTTTCCGACCGACTGAACCTATTTATTATGGCCAAGTAACCGTATAGTTTTTGATTTTGCCTATCATTATAAATAAACAGAAATATATTCGCCCCGTCAGCAAAACAAGATCAATTAATTGGGGAACAAAAGCAAACGAAGCACGACAATGCAGATACCTGTATATTTATTGTTCAAATGTTTGGGAATGAATGAATTTTTGTAACATGGTCTGCACTTGTTGTTCGGGTATGACGAAAAACGGAGGTCCTATGATAGGGCCTATACGTTCAAGAAGTGCGCGAAAACAATGAAAAATGTACCTGCATGCATTATGTCAAGCAGAGCAAGTAAAAAATAAAAACAAAATATAAAGTACAATTCTTCAGGTTTAAAAATACAATATTTTTTAGTTTTTTTTGTGTTATTGTTATGGACAATTGTAGACGTGATAATGTCTGGTAACAAACATATTAGAATTGTTGTGTTATTGTTGTTATTGTTTATTACATTAAACATGTGTGGTAGTGTATATTTGTATTTATTGCATCTTGAATATTTGTTGTAATATTGTCCCTTTAATATATTAGTTATTTATGGTATATTTGGTGTTCGTTGTATTGTCCCTTTAATAGTCCATCTCTAAGCTGGTTAAGAATATCTTTACAACAGCAAGTCTAAACTCTACTCACTTTTAACTCACTAAAATAACCACATCTCAGCTTCTCTTTCAAATCTCACTTGCATCTTAACCTTGTTACAAGGAGGATCACATTCTGTCACTTGGTAAGTTTTATATTTATTTGACTGACTTTAATATTTTATCTGTTTAATATGGTAATGTAATTAGAATATATTTATATATGAAATAATTAAGTTATTAGTATATTTCTGTAAGTATTTCCATAAGTATGTTTGTGTAATTGAGAATATTCTACTCTCGGCTATTTAGTGTTAATTTATTCATAACCTTAATTTCAGTCTTTGTGTCATACTGTGTCTGTATGGTAGCCATATTTAAGACATCAACCCTATTATAAACTCCTATTTTATAGGGTATGTATATGTATTTGTATGTAATTGTATTAGTTAAAACTCATTGTAAATATATCTTATCCATTCCTTTGTTTCAAATCAATTATTTCCCGCCACTATTTTAAATATATGTATATAGTGTAAACTATTACTATTCTTGATTTTTATACATTTCTTTATGTCTTTCAGAGTTTTTTTTATATGTATACTAAATTGATGATCCACAATAAAATCCTGAACCCATGACCTGGTGTTTTGTTCGTCTTTGTGAATAGAACCCTGCTACACATGCATTATGCAAGAGCTAATTCGGCGCATTGCAGGACTTTCTTTAGTCCTGAAACATTATCTAAATTATTAATTAGACACTAATTAACTTACCAAGACCATATTCAAGGGTCGATGCTATCCGATGGATCCGATATTTAGTGATGGATAATTTAACGTAAAAGTGGATAATTGAGACTTTGTTTATTACAGCACCATCATTAGTAATGATGATCGAGGCTAGCCTAAACTTGAATAGTTTATATGTCTGTTCGACAGCTAGGGTGAAGGAATTTGAAATTTTCAGCATTTTCTGTTCTCATTATCTATTTTTTTAAATATTATAGCGAGAACTGACAGTTCTTTATCTAATCTTAACTAATGCCCCTTTAAGAGCCATATATAGGCCCTTTTAAAACAATGAACTAATTAATTGTCAGTATAGAGAAACCCTATCGTATATTTTCAACACAGAAAATAATCATGTAATTAAAACAAGGAAGCCCCCTGTCATTAAATTAATAGATTAAAGTCTTATTAACAATGAAATCTTAGTGTATAACCATGGACCTTATAATACTGTAACTTTCTGGATTATGACCCCTGATTGTACGAAATATCACGGATTTAGCTTGTAGACGCTCCGATTCATGAGATGAAAATTAAACTATGTATTAATGATCAAAAGTTCTTGGATGAGTTCGACTTTGGTACGAAACAGACCTTACATTCTAGAGCTATAGCCCCTGCTTTAACGTAAACTGTGAAATATGTATAAATTTTGTAGGTCCTCATGAGTTATAAGAAGGCTTTCACAATAACCCTGTGAAACAGTTTGGGCCAACACATGAATTCTTGGTTAGTCAGCCTGCATGATACTCATTGAGCCACCATTGTCCCTGGATTTCAGAAATAAATCTACTAATAATCTAGCAGAGGCGGATCCAAGGGGGGGGCGCGAGGGGCGCCCCCCCCCCCTAATTTTCGACAGTGCCCTTTTTTTCTGCTGAAAGTGCCTTTTCTCAGACCCAAATATGTCCGTTCCCAACCCGTTGCAGGGATCCCAAATGACTCAAACCATCGACTCAAACACACCAGTCTGGTTTAAGGCTCTTTTTCAACGATTTCCAAATGTTTACTTAGATGAAAATATCAGCCAAATAGCTCTTGGAATGGCTACAGATGCAAGGAAACCCAGCTCTCAGCGGCGTGCCTCGTCTACGCGGTCAGTGCCCTCATTTTGCGGCGCCCCCCTCCCCATTTCAAATTCCTAGAATCGCCCCTGTCTAGGGAATATTGTTTCTTATTCCTGTACAAATTTAAAAAATACAGAACATCATTGATTTATGTATTTATTGAAAATTATCTTTTTAATTCCAATTCACACCAATAATTTTAAAATGTACACTTTCCTGAAGGCACACACACCAAACACACAAATAATCATGAACAAAATCCTGTGAATTCTTAACATCTAAATGCACAACCATATAAAAATTTTATCCTTATGGTTTACTCCTTAATTATGCCATAACCTTGGCTTAATCATTTTTATTATAAATAATTTCATTAAAGACTGACAATTCAATGCAAATTCAGTGACATTCTAATTTTTCTCGGTCATAAACATAATTAAAGATACATTATGTAAGATTCAGATAAAGAGCTCGCCATTCTTGCTATAATAGTTCAAAAATTGATAATGTAAAATGAATATATTGAAAATTTCATTCAAATTACTCTATTGCGAGCGAAGATATAAGCCGTTGAAGGTTTGACAAGATGGTTGTTCGAAGCTAAGCCTTGCTTCTCCATTTTTAAATTAAATCAAAATATGGCTGAATCGTTCTAATCTACTTAATATCAGAGATATCCGATGGCATCAAGACTTGATTATGATCTTGGTCATGCTAATAAATGTCTAATTAATAATTTATATAACATTTAAGGCTTAAAGAAAGACTTGCAATACACAGATTTAGCTCTTGCATAATGTATGTTTAATTAAATGTTAATTAATCAATTTGAGGATATTTTAGTGTGTATTAAGCTGTGAGAAATTACATATTGTTAAAAAAATACACAATTGGGATCGCCAAATTTAATGTAAATCTACGAACACATTATAGATAGATAAAACAAGTTATAGAGGTGAATATATATTGAATAAATATATCAATTTTATTCTATTAAAAAGATCAATTTGTTCAAATAATTAAAATTTAATGGCATAATTTTCAGTTATTTAATAAGCATCTATTTACATAAAAATAAGTTTAAAGAATTCAAGCAATCTATTATTAATTAATAGCTTTTATAATATTTTACATTACAATGAGTAAAAGAATTATGTATTTTATCAACTTTTAGACTACAAATTAAATATAATCTTTTACATGGTAGTTATCAACATTTAAACTACAAATTTAATATAATCTTTTACATGAAGGTTATCAACATTTAAACTACAAATTTAATATAATCTTTTCCATGGAGGTTATCAACTTTTAAACTACAAATTCAATATAGTCTTTTACATGGAGGTTATCAACTTTTAAACTACAAATTAAATATAGTCTTTTACATGGAGGTTGATAATTAAATATCAACTTTTACATGGAGGTTATCAACTTTCAAACTATGAAGTAAATATTTTTTACATGGATCTTATACATGGATGTTATCAACTTAAACTACAAATTAAATATCATCTTTTACAATACAACTTTTTAAAACTACAAATTAACTGAATATGTATAGATAAATGCTTGATTATGACAGCTGTTTAATGGTTTGTTGAGTTGCCTTCGATGTATTGAGTTTCAGGGAAGTGAATAAACTGTGATTTTAAGAAGTTCAATAACAAATCAATACACAATTCTATAAATGCAATCCTATACACACCCCAGGTTTTGCCGAAGTCAAGTCACATAACTGATTTAGTGTTAATTATTTACTGTTATCAACAGTCATTACTTATTACTCGAAACTACGAGGGAGGTGGGTTGACCAACTGGTTTAACGCGTGCCCGTTAGGTGACAAGGAGCATGGTCGGCTGTCCAACCTCATGGGTCTTCTCCAGGTCCTCAGGTTTCCTCCCACAGATAAAGACCCCTACGCACAAGCGAATTATTGAAATAAATTTAAACCATATAGTAGCCCCAAAACGACCCAAGTTTGTATTGAGTGGATGTTTAACCCCATTTCTCTCTCCTCTCTTGAAACTACGATATTTGATCAGGTCTGATTTTGATAATACTCTATGACCATGTAATATATAATAATGGCGACAGTAGCAAGAGTGGGATGGCACCAATCTGATCCCATTATGTTGATAGCAGTAGAGATCTTTATGAAATCCAAAATCGAGTAACTTCTCCTGGCTAACCCTACAACCTTTGGTATATGAGAGAGAGAGAGAGAAAAATGGGGTTTAACGTCCACTTGACACAAAATAAGTCATTTCGGGACTAACACAGTTCAATTTTATTTCAACAATTCGTTTGCGGGTAGGTGTCTTTATCAGTGGGAGGAAACCGGAGAACCCACGAGGTTGGACAGACGACCCTACTCCTCGTCACGTACAACCGGGGAGTTGAAACCACAAGTTGACTCAATGACAGACAGTCATCCAACCCCCCCTGTTTAAGCGGGAGTGATTGTATTTAATGTTTAGTTTCAAACAGTTGTTGGCAAAATATTGGGTTTCTATTGTTGCATAGTTTAAAATGGTCTGTTTAGATTAGATAACGAGTATTCAAAATGGAGTCACTTTTCCTGGCTTGTAAATGAGACTGTTATCAAACTTCACTGCCTTTTAAGAAATTTACAAAACCCAAAAATTTCTAAAACTATAACAGCTTTAGTAAATAACATAAATACATATATAATAATAAACATAACATAATGACCTGCCATATAAGGTAAGGTTAACTGAATGTGCACAATGGAGGACTACTGCATAAATGGGGGGGGGGGGGTCTAACACATGCACTTTAGATCATAGTGTCTGTGGGTTGTAACAACTTGTAAGGTTTTTTCCCAATGCTAAAAGACCTATACACGCAAGCAGGTTATTGAAATAAAATTATATCATGTATTAGTCCCAAAAATGACCTAAAAAAGGTTCACTGTATATATAATAAGTGTTAAAGTGTTGGTTAGCACAGTTCATTAACTGAGAGTTTCCTCCCTTGATACAAGTTTGCATTGAGAGAGAAAAGGATTACAAAAACTATTTTTGAATCAAATGGGAAATGGTAGTACACAGTAGTCCCCTCCCTCTAAAATATGTAAAAAATATATATGATGCATGTTAATAAAAAACAAGTCTTGTTTATAAACACAACTAGCAGTTCAAGCGGCATTGCATGGGTTGAGCCAGGAATCAGAAGTTGTAGCCAATAACTCTGAAACCGGAAGTGGTCGTGCAACAGGTGCCAACATGGTCCATGTCACTCCCCGACTCGAGCTGCCAAACAAACAGACATAGAAATGACAGTCACAAATGCCGACTATTCCAGCCATCTTTGCTATCAATAAGCCTTTGGACATCGCCTTGGAAACCAAAGGAACAAAACATATCTAAAGTTCCCTCAAATTCTGTTAAAAATGATTATTTCTAGCTTGTTGATAAACTATTGACAGACATGACAATATAAACCACTGATCATACTAGAATCTGACCTTCGACCTTTAACTTAACTGTAGAAAATATAACATGTATGTACATACTATTTATTTAACTTTAAAATATCATTTTGTACCGTAATTATTAACAAAATTAGAATTTATTTTACAAAATCACAAAATATAAATCAGAGGTGGAAAAGTTATCAGAACCTAGGAACTAGTTTTTAGAGGTGGAAAAGTTATCATAACCTAGTTTTCAGAGGTGGAAAAGTTCTCAGAGCCTAGAAGCTATTTCTCAAAGGTGGAAAACTTATCAGAGCCTAGGAGCTAGTTCACAGAGGTGGAAAAGTTCTCAAAGCCTAGAAACTAATTCTTAGAGGTGGAAAAGATATCAGAGCCTAGGAACTAGTTCTCCGAGTTGGAAAAGTTATCAGAATCTAGGAACTAGTTCACAGAAATTATTTAGGATAAAGATATTCTCATAAATTTTCACAAAAAAAGTTATAAATTGTCCACCTCAGATTTAAATCTAAATTAAAAGGCTACATTATTTAGATACAATAACAAAGTGCCAAAAATATCAAATTTCTCAGCTTTTCTAAAATCTCCATCAGTAAAATCGGCCATCATAAATAATCTGTCATCTTGTTTTGTCTTTCTATATCAATGTCAACAAAACAAATCTGAGATTTCAGTCAAATTACAGATCGCTTAAGTCAAGTTTCCCTGTCATATGATTTTAGCCAGGTCTGGTAAATGACCCTAATTTATAAGATTACGAAATGTAAATGTCTGTCCATGTTAGAAATTAATCTTGTAGATCTTAAAATTTATATGAATAACAATTCTAAATGTTAGTCCATATGATTAACAATTCTAAATATTAGTCCATTTTATTAACAATTCTTAATGTTAGACCATATGATTAACAATTCTAAATGTTAGTCCATATGATTAACAATTCTAAATGTTAGTCCATTTTATTAACAATTCTAAATGTTAGACCATATGATTAACAATTCTAAATGTTAGTCCATATGAGCAATTAATGTTGTAATTGTTAGTTTCATAAATTTCCTAAGCACAAATGTATTTATGAATTACAGTATCCCCATGGATGTTTATAGGATATTAACCCTTTAGAAACCACTCAAAACTACTGCTCTCTCTAGCAACTCAAATCATTTGAGTCATTTGAATAGATGTGAACTATTTAAAAATATTTACTGGTTCTGTGACTTAGGCAGTCTGACGGTATACTAGTTCTGTGACTTGGGCAGTTTGACTGTATTCTTTGACTTGGGTAGTTTGACTGTATACTAGTTCTGTGACTTGGGAAGTTTGACTGATACTAGTTCTTTGACTTGGGTAGTTTGACTGTATACTAGTTCTGTGAATTGGGCAGTCTGACTGTATACTAGTTCTGTGACTTGGGAAGTTTGACTGTATACTAGTTCTTTGACGTGGGTAGTTTGACTGTATACTAGTTCTGTGACTTGGGACGTTTGACTGTATACTAGTTCTGTGACTTGGGCAGTTTGACTGTATACTAGTTCTGTGACTTGGGCAGTCTGACTGTATACTAGTTCTGTGACTTGGGCAGTCTGACTGTATACAAGTTCTGTGACTTGGGCATTTTGACTGTATACTGGCAGTCTGACACTATACTAGTTCTGTGACTTGAGAAGTTTAACTGTATACTAGTTTCTATCACTTAGGAAGTTTAACTGTATATTTCTGTGACTCGGATTATTTGAGGTTATCCAGGGACCAGTAATTTTAAGTGGTTTCAAAAATGTAAAGAAGATCACTTTTCTCTCAGGATAGTCAATATTTACATGTACCAGGTATTAAAGAGTTAACTACACATCAATAGCACCTAGTTCTACTTTCATTTTGCTCTCATTATTTCATGGAACATGGATACTCAATAATTACATATACCAGGTGCTTTAGCATCAATTACTTCATTAATATAATCCTAATAACACAAAACATTTATATGTGTCATAGTTCTGAGAGGTGTTAAGTCTCCAAAAATGTCAGACTAAGTTTCTGAGATATGAGAGAAAAATCTATTCCAATCTTAATAACGCAGTTAGGATATCAACATCTTTAAAAACAATATTTGTGTGGAAGTTACGATCTTACAGTTCTAATATTTTGCATAGAGAAGCCGCTCAATGTGATTAGTGATCCTATGCAAAAAAAAAAGCTTTTGGGGGTCATAACTATGGCATCTTTATATGGATAACAATAGAAATGTCGCCAATAAACACACCAGTAATTGTTATCCATAAAAATCAATCTGATTAAAATACAGGTCTATATTTCGTTTCGTTTTTTATACTTTCGATGACTTCCACTACATGAAGATCTGAGAGGTTATAGTGGAAGGTTGCGTCAGGAGTCATACGAGCGGCTTTTGATCTACAACGTCAAACATTTGATTAACCAATCAGCGTTGTAGTTTCTAAAGGGATACCTACAGTTCCGTGCACCACACGCCAAGAACTCGCCGAAACAGAACATTACATTTAGATCCTAGTGTAGTAAAGACAAGTAAAGCGAAATTTTGAACAATAAAAAACGAAACGAAATAGGATCTGTGTTTTAATCCGATTGCCATATAAATATTTTGTGTTATTACCTATGCCACTTAAATAAGCACTTATCCTAGTAGACAAATATAAAATAATGATTCACATAAATTTTTATAATTTTTCCGCCTCGTAGAACAATAATGGAGGAATAAATATGAATCTTTAACTAAAAGCAGAGTAAATGAAATGATTTGATTATGTATTCAGTCTAAAAGCTGTAAATGTTATGACTGGTTGACAAGTGATAGCCTTGTACAAGAAATACAATTCTCCCGTCAAAAGGCAACACCTAGTAACTCACGTTTTTCTTATTTTGAGAAAACAAAGCAAAATGTAATAAATGAATATTAAACCCCGGCTTATGCATTGATTTGACTATTGAGTTACTAGGATTTTCTGTGGCATACTAGGCAAATGAAGGAATTTGCTAGGTCGTGTTTTTGATAAAAAAAAAGTGAGTTACTAGGTTTTGACTTTTGACAGGATAATTAATGGAGGAAGAAATGTGAATCTTTAAGCATAGCATATTATGATTTGATTATGTATTCAGTCTAAAAGGTGTAAACTTCTGGACTGGTTGACATGTATGGTTGGTGGTTGTTTACACCAAGAGGTGTTCTGATTGGTTGCAAAAACTTTTAACCCGGGAAAAGGTCAATGGTGGAAAAGACTGTTTGTTTAAATCCACATCGGACACATTTTCTTGATTTCCGGATCTGTAGGAGAAAAACATTTTATTTATAAAAGAACAGAAATGAAATGAAATGAAATGGAGTTTAACGTCCTACTGTGTGCTATGAGGGAAATTTTGCCCGGACAGCGGTACTACAGCCTACTCTTCTATCGAATTCCAACTGTCAAGGGATCTTGTATGTGCACACTAATGTAGACACAGGACCTCAGTTTTTCATACCATCCGAATAACTAGACATTATCCATGCTAGGCCCTCCGTACTGCATCACTGACAATGGGAAACTGCGCCGCAAAATCCTGAGGAACTTTCACAGCCAGTCTGTCATTGAGTCGACTGGCGTGGTTTCGAATCCCCGGTTGTACGTGACAAGGAGTAGGGTCGCCTGTCCAGCGTCGTGGGTTTTCTCCGGGTCCTCCGGTTTCCTCCCACTGCTAAAGACCCCTACGCGCAAGTGAATTATGTAAATAAAATTAAACCATATGTTAGTCCCGAAATGACCTAGTTTGTGTCGAGTGGGCGTTAAACCCCATTTCTCTCTCTCTCTCTCTCAGCCAATACCAGGATAGGAACTGAGATCTCCTGGTTAGCGAGCCAGCGTCTTATTCACTCAGCCATCGTGGCTCCCATAAAGAGAGAGAGAAATAGGGTTTAACGCCCACTCGACACAATCTAGGTCATTTCGGGACTGACATATGGTTCAATTTTATTTCAACAATTCACTTGTGCATAGGCGTCTTTAGCAGTAGCAGGGAACGGGAGAACCCGGAGAACACCCACGAGGTGGGACAGGCAACCCTACTCCTTGTCATGTACAACACTACAACCGGGGAATAGAAACCACGCCAGACCTTATGATACAGCGTGCTGGCGCTAACCATTTGGCCATCCACCCCCCCCTCCCAGCGCCAATAAAGGAACAGAGTTTATTGTCATATCATCATGATACTTCAATAATTTTGAAACTAACATACAATTATATTTTGTTCCTATGGTAACATTTTTAATTCTTGGGAGGAGAATTTTGCCTGGACAGTGGCTTGCTCTTTATCAAATACCAACTGTTTCTTTCATGTGCATGCCTATGTGAATACATTTAATATGAGAGTTCACAAGGAATTGAGGATGATCAACTGACGAATGGACATAGATGACAACAATATACGACCACCCCTCAATGAGCGCGAATGAAAATTAATGGTCTCTCTAGAACAATGTCGGGATTGAACCCGGAACCATTATTAAACATTAAGCATTAATTTATTCAATATAATATTTTCATATCAAACAATATTTGATATTTTTATATATCTTACCTAATGGTTGAAATAGAATATTTGGACCAGTTTAAAACATTATGAATACCTTTACCGCCGCTATTAACTTCAAATTCCTGTACATAAAAAAAATAAATTTTTGTATTGACTTGAAACATAAGATTTGTTTAAAATAACAGATATATTAAACTCTAGCGGTTGTGCCCGTAACTCCGAAACCAGAAGCGGTAGGCCAACGCCACCTAGCCTATGTTCCTCCCCGGTCTGAGCTACCCCTATATACACTAAATGTCAACCTCTGGACTGTCCTAGAGTAGCCGCCACAGAGAGAAATGGGGCTTAACATCCACTCGACACAAATTAGGTCATTTCGGGACAAATACACGGTTCAATTTCATTTCAATAATTCACTTGCGCGCAGGCTGGGGTCTTGACCCAGAGTAAAGACCCACGAGGTTGGACAAGCGATTCTACTCCTTGTCGCGTACAACCAGAGATTTGAAACCACGCCAGTTGACTCAATGACAGACCTTATGATACAGCACGCACATGCTAACCATTCGGCCATCCCACCCCCACAGACAAACAAACGACAGTCACAAATATTAATATAGAGAGATGATTAGTTGGTAATAATGGCCATCAAGGAAATGAATCTCTATCTGTAATTTCTATATTTTCTTTTATATCATTGACGTGAATCAACAGTCACTGTGTTATTGTGCAGTCACGCTACTTAGAATCACGTCTTGGCTAAATTGACTCTAAATCTTGAACTCTAAGTACCCCTGACTTACGAATTAAATGAAATGAAATGGGGTGTAACATCCTACTGTTCTGCTCTGACCAAGCAAATAACGACGGGCATACGCCATACAGCGTGCTATGAGGGGAAATTTGCTTGGGCAGCAGCACTATGGCCTGATCTTATATTGAATTCCAGCGTCCAAGGGATCTTTTACGTGCACGCCAATGTATACACGGAACCTCAGTTTTTTGTACCATCCGAATGACCAGGCAGTTGTCCTTGTCAGGCCCTACGTCCTGCACCACTGACAAGGGGAAACCAAGTCGGAAAAACGAATGAAAGGAATCACTCTCCTTATTTTCCAAACACCTCACCTTGTCCAAACTGTGACAGCTTTTATTGGAGAACAATTTTTGACTTTAGTAAATTAAGTAGTGCTTGTTCGAGCTCACCAACCAAATATAGAAAACAATAAAAGTTTAAACATAATTGTACCTACCAAAAAATAGGTGACATCTATTTGATTGTGATTATTAACTTGTCGACGTTTATATTTATAGTATCCAGTCTCGTTGGTTTTAGTACGAGTCAACTCAGCTGCTATCTGTAAAAATAATACAACATAATATGAGTTAACTGGGTTAATGTCTGTAACAATATCATTATACTTAAGTTAACTCTGATAACATCTGTAATAATATCAAAATACATGAGTTATCTTTGATAATATTATATCACATGAGTTAATTCCAATAATATTATAATACATGAGTTAACTAGTTAACTGTTATAATATTATAAACATGAGATACACAGTTAACTCTGATAATATCTATAATAATACTACATGAGTTGACCCTGAGAGAGAGAGAGAGAGAGAGATAGAGAGAGAGGTTTAACATCCACTAGGTCATTTCGGGACTAACATAGAGAAAACACACAAGGTTGGACAGACGACCCTACTCTTTGTCATGTACAACTGGGGAATCGAAACCACGCCAGTTGACTCAATGACAGATCTTAGGATACAGTCCGCACGTGCTAACCATTCAGCCATCCACCCCCATCCATGATGTCAAACACACGCAAGTGACACACATAAGTTTCACGGACGGGTTCACTCAAATTTCCTCTGTAGACTGCTCGTAATAGCACATGCGGCGGGCTATGAGCTAGGCTTTAAAAAAAAGATGTAAGACATACCTTATTACCAGTTAACCTATAATGTCCCTTCAATAAACCAGTTCCGTTACTCGACTTGTATCTCAGTTTAGGTAAAACAATGTGGGGATCTTCTGGACTACATATCATTAATATTACACCTACAATATATATATACAAACCATATTATTTCTGTAGCATTTTATTTATTTTGTAGAGGTATTCAACAGTGAGAGGAAACAGGAGGTCCCAGAAAACCCCCACGAGGTAGGACAGATGATCCTACTCCTTGCACTGTAACCCGAGTATCATTTAATCTTGTGTACCTAGCATTAATTTCTTTCACATTCATTTCATAGCAAATATTTGTTTAAATATTAGTAAAAATCGTTTAAAGCCCTTGACAGTTCGAATTCGTAAGTGTAGGCCATAGTGGCGCACAACGGTAGGGCGTTAACCCCCATATCATTTCATTTCTAATAATAAAATAGAAACTGGTAACCGTGTTTCATCGAAAGTTTAAATAGAGAGACAGAGAGAAATGGGGTTTAACGTCCACTCCACTTATTTAAAGGCTCAATACCACTCTTGTTGTAACTGAATAATATGTCCCAATCTTTATTCTGGTCAACAAATTGTACTATTTTACAATATTCCATTTAATTGATGACACAAATTTCATCTTAACACACCTTATTTAAAAATTTTGAAAATTCAACATAATGGTTTGAAACGTCTAACGTAAACCTTTTCAAATGAAACTTCGATTTAAAAATATTTTCGAACCCTCTGGACAAGTAAAATAGGATGTAATGGATAATTTACACAACAGGTAGGACACTTAAACATCTAGTACTTAGATAGAGATATTATTTATTTTCTGGAGCTTTCAAGCCAGCAAGAGTGTTATTGTCCCTTTAAGTTAATGTTTACCTACCATCTGGATACATTCTAACAAATCTGTAATATTCTACGACATGGTACGGTCTATAAAAACCATCCAGACTCTTCTCTCCTGTTCTATAATAGGTTGATTTACTGATATAACAACCTGAAAATAAAATATTATAATTATCAAATTATAGATTTACTTCTTGTAGCTGGGCTAAAATATTTATGTGCGATAATTAATGTTTTTAATTTTTTTTTTTTTTTAATTTTTATATAGCCTTATTAGTTCTTTAAGTCTCATTGTGTCATTTTAGGGAAATAAAAACAAACGTAAATGACACATTTTGTTACTTTAATGATAAATTCTAGTTCTGGAATGACACATTACAAAAACAGGGATTATTGCCTGTTAACAGTATAGAATATTAAGTATAAATACCATTATATAGTTACCAGTATATAAGAGAAAGTATAAATACCATTATATAATTACCAGTATATAACAGAAAGTATACATACCATTACATAGCTAGTTACTAGTATATAATAGAAAGTATAAATACCAGTATAGAATATTAAGTATAAATACCATTATATAGTTACCAGTATATAATAGAAAGTATAAATACCATTATATAGTTACCAGTATATAATAGAAAGTATAAATACCAGTATATAATAGAAAGTATAAATACCAGTATATAATAGAAAGTATACATACCATTAAAGAGTACATGTGGTCTGTCTATATACATTTTACGCCAACAACCATACTTCTTTAATTTACCACAATTCTGACCCCAGATCCTGTTCAAACAAAAACACAATCTCTTAAACATCATTATGGGAGATTAGATAAAGAACTGACAGTTCTCACTATAATAGTTAAAAACTAGATAATGTAAAGGGAATAGGCTGAAAATTTCAGTCAGATTGGTCCACTCTGAACAGAGAATTTAGCGATTGAATTTTGGGCCTGGTCTTTATCATCATTACTAAAGTCGGTACAATAAAATACATAGTCTCGATTATCCATTTCTTGATTTAATCATGAATGAGCGTAGAGCAGCAGATCGGATCCTAATCTAGTAAATATCGCAGGCTAGCGATGACGTCGAGAGTTGATTAAGGTCTGGATAAGTTAATTAATGTCTAATTAAAAATTTATATAACATTTCAGGTCTAAAAAAGATCTGCAATAGGCAGATTTAGCTCTTGCATAATGTATGTTTAAACCCCATTTCAGGTCTAAAAAAGATCTGCAATAGGCAGATTTAGCTCTTGCATAATGTAACTTTAAACCCCATTTCAGGTCTAAAAAAGATTTGCAATAGGCAGATTTAGCTCTTGCATAATGTATCTTTAAACCCCATTTCAGGTCTAAAAAAGATCTGCAATAAGCAGATTTAGCTCTTGCATAATGTATGTTTAATCACACTAATTTATATTGTATATATTCTAGTATAATTCAACTGCACCAAATTCTTCATACAAAAATATACATGTACTTTTGAGACTTTTCAAAAGAGTTAATAACGCACAGAAGAGAGGGAGAAATATCCACTGAGCAGGAACTATGTCCTTTTGTGGTCTTTAGCAGTGGGAGGTAATCAGAGAACACTCATCCGGTTGGGCAGGTGACTTGTCACATTCAGGCTTGGGATTGAAATCATACCACCTGACTCGATGACAGTTCTTACGACATAAAGCGGACACATCATAAATTTAAAAGTAACTCACTTGTGACAAATTAACTTCCATAATTCTTCATCTCTAGCACATAAATAAAACCCATGACAAACCTAAAACGTAAAACACATCTATTAAGATAGGTTGCCAGGCCGCAAACATACAGCCCGCATTTACTTTTCAAGCCCCTCGATTTTTCATCCCATCTGACTACTATACTACTATACACTGACCTTTCCCAGGCCCTCCATCCTGCACCACTGATAAGGAGAAATCATGTTCGAAAATCTGTATCTAAGAGTATTGTCATATAGTGGTATATTGAATATCATTGTGGTCTGAAAACTTATGTTTAACTAGATACAAGTTGTCTCCCTTATGTTGTTTTTCTTCTGCATTTTAGAGTAATGACAATAGAGATTGGAATTCTAACATGAAGAATGGCTCTTTTTCCCTTTCACCTACAAGTTTAGTTTAACACCTGAGGATCCAAATACAACAGTATTTAATGTGACTTACCTGTGAAAACATTTCTAGTGATCTTGTATCTAATTCACTTGATACAACCCATTTTAATATATACATAATTACTTCTATTGGTAATTCTGAGATGTGAGTTGACTGAAGTAAAAAAACCAAAAAGACATCCAAAATGTCAAATACAATGAATGATTTTAACTATTTTCAGTATCTCATTTTTAAAAATTATATGTAGAGATCCAGTGGCATAGCTCGGGAAGAGCCAGGGGAGAAAAATTCCTCTGGATTTTATAACCTGCAGGACACATGTCCTGGCAAGAAACAGCATGTAGTCGTTTGGATAGGACAAAAAAAGGAGTCCTATGTACAGATTGGCTTGTATGTTAAAGAGGGGGAGATGGGGTTTAATGTCCACTCAACACAAACTAGGTCATTCCAGGACCATCTCAGGGTTCAATTTTAATTCAATAATTCGCTAGCGCATAGAGGTCTTTAGTTGTTGGAGGAAACCAAAGAACCCAGAGAAAACTCACATGGTCACATGCAAGCGGGGAATCGAAACCATGCCACTTGACTCAATGACTGACCTTCTGCTGATCCAACATGCACGCGTTAACCATTTGCCCTCCTCCCTCCCCTCCCCCCCAACACACACATAAAAGAAGCTTAGCAGTTAGAATTCAACAAAGAGAAAACCGAAACACTTCCCTTAATACACTGTATGGTGTATGTCCGTCTTCATTACACCAGTTGGTGCAGAAAAGTAGGATATTAAACCCCATTTCATTTCATTTGTGTAGATATCTAAAGTATTTAATTCATACACAAGTAATTCTAACCAGACATCTGTGTATTTTAACCAAGGGAAGATAACTTACATTCTGTTCCAACATCGGTTCACAAATAGCATGTTTTTCTACACTTAGATTCTGTAAATGTAGCAATAAATCTTCTTCTTCATCAGTTTTACTAGAATAGAAAACATAACTTTTTGCTGTAAATACAAATGAAATGATATGGGCTTTATGGTACATGATGCGATTCATAACCAGGTCTATAATTTATATTTTTATGACGAGAATTTTATTTAGTCCTGCCAAGGTCGAAGAAATAAAACTGTTTTATATCACAATATTCATACAGATCAAAATAAAGACCAAAACAATTTAAGGCTATTTAATTAAGGGCAAATGGTTAGTTACTGAAGCGACAAAAAAAAAAGAATTGTAAAAAATTGATTCAGAGGCACGTGATTCAATACGTGAATCGTGAGATGATGGTGAATCACGATACATTAATTCAATGATATATTGTGCCAATACTTGAGACAAGGGCAAATCGTTAGTTACTGAACAGACAAAAAAAAAGAATTGTAAAAATTTGATTCAGAGGCTCGCGATTCAATACGTGAATCGTGAGATGATGGTGAATCACGATACATCGATGCAATGATATATTGTGCCAATACTTGAGACAAACATAATATGGTTATTATCTATTTCTATGGTTACGTTTGCAATGAGCAAGAGGAGAATTTTGCCCAGACAGCTGTGTTTCTACACACTCTTCTTTCAGTTACAACTGTCAAGGATTTTTGTACACAAACAGACCCCATTTTTTTTTCCTTCCAAACAACCCATTCATAAAATAGATATACCATTAGACAAGACACATAGACATAAATGAATAGAGGAATTTTGAAATTTTTTTAATTCATCATAGCTTTGTAAATGCTGAATGAAATTGAAGCTTTTTGGACTGATATTCATTTTACTGTCTGTAATAGACTAAATCCCTCAGCTTTAATTTTCACATATATTAAATCTTAGTATTAGTTTCTTTCCAGTAAGGCCACACCAAAAAAATAGTCTGGTTCTCAGAAAATCCTATGAAAAAATTGATGTGTGTGACGTAGCCCATTTTTGATGACATGGCAGTATCTGAGAAACAGAATATTTTTTTTTGTGTGGCCTAATTTTACATGAAACAAATAATCTTACCTTTCAACAGAACATTCACTGTCTTGTCTCTCTGTAATAAAATAAACAAAATGTTACTACTGGCTTTAAAACTTTCTATATTAAATAGAAATAAAACAAAATGTGGTATAATGTCCTACTGTTCTGCACCGACTGGGTTAATGAAGATAGGCATACGCCATACAGTGTACTATGAGGGAAATTTTGCCCGGACAGCGGCACTACACAGCCTACTTTTATATTAGATTCAAACTATTAAGGGTTATTTTATGTGCATGCCAATGTTTATACAGAACCTTGATTTTTGGTACCATCTGAATGACTATATGTTGGCACTTGCCAGGCCCTCCATCCTGCACAAGGGGGAACCACCCAGGAAATTCCAGATGGACTTCCTCGACCAACCCGCAGAAATGTTTTTATCTCGTGATCGAACCCTGGACCTCCTGGTGAAATGAAATGAAATGAAATGAAATGGGGTTTAACGTCCTACTGTTCTGCTCCTAACCTGGGCTAATGAAGACGGGCATACGCCATACAGTGTGCTATGAGGGAAATTTTGCCCGGACAGCGGCACTACGGCCTACTCTTATATCGAATTCCAACTGCCAAGGGATCTTTTACGTGCACGCCAATGTGTACACGAGACCTCGGTTTTTCGTCCCATCTGAACGACTAGACAGGACCTCCTGGTTATTGAGCCAGCATCTTAATTACGCACTGAGTCACCACGGCTCCCAATATATGAAATAAGACATCCTTAGCTTTTTGTACGATAATAACAAAATTAAGCTTTATGTATCCTGCACAATATATGTCTATATCAATTTTGGGCGGGGGGGGGGGGGGGGTAAAAATGACAAACACTTACCCCTAGGTGTTCTCATCTTTCTAAAATCTATCCTCGATTCAATATCAGGAACAAGCTGTATAGCTTTCTTATAGAATCCAATGGCTAGAAATATATCATTACACAATATAAATCAATAAATAAATACAGCACTGGGTCAGTTGTAATTCATAAATAAAATGAAACAGGGTTTAACGTTCTACTGTTCTATACCGACTGGTGGACTAATGACACTTGCATTAGTTACTGGGTCAGTCTTAATTCATAAATGAACTACTAGATGAATTAACAACCAATTTCAGTTTACAGATTATAACTTTATAGGATTAACATGTTGTTAATGAATTAGTCATTGTCTATAAAATTGAATTAATTAGGTATTGTCTTTATAATCTTGAATTAATTCATAAAGAAACTAGATCGGTTCACAACCAGATATCAGTTTATAATCTTATTGGATTAGCATGTTACAACTGATTTAGTCATTGCAAACAATATTTTAGACAATTTAAATCAACATTGATGTTGTTATTTTACCGTGAAAATATGGGTTTCTGATATCCAATATTTAAGACAAAATGAAAATTTAAATATTGGCACACGATGCTTTCGAGCACCATTTGTAATGAAGTGACTCGATGAACAGGAGAATTCTACTGGTGTAATCTGGAATAACCAGACGCCCAAGACTGCCATGCAATTTGCACTCTTTGCAAACATAACTGATTAGATATTACAGTAAAAACAGAAACGACTGAATGTAAATCAGTTCAATACTCAGTGCAGAAAAGTAGGATGTTAAACCCCATTTCATTTCTTTAAGTACTGAACAAATGTAATATCCTACTTTTCTGCACCGAGTATTGAACAAACCCCACACTTACATTGTTGACTTATGGATCTAAGTTAAACACCAAATCATCAATCTTATTGATTTATTTAAGTTGTGAAAAAATGACACTCTTGTACTGTATAGCTATTGGGGGGTTGTATCATAAGGTCTGTCATTAGTCAATTGGCGTGATTTTGATTCCCGGTCGTATGTTGGTTGTATGTCGCCTGTCCAACCTTGTGGGTTTTCCCTGGTCTTTTGCTTTCATCCCACTGCTAAAGACCCCTACGCGCAAGAGAATTATTGAAATAAAATTGAATCATATGTTAGTCCCGAAATGACCTATTAAATCTCTCTGTGTCTCTCTCTCTGTCTATCTGTCTCTCTCTCTCTCTCTGTATAGCTATTGAAGGATCTAGATTAAATCGTATTAGCTGCTCATGTTGTAACTTGATTTAGATACTTACCAACATATAGTTCACCATTTTGTTCAGCCTGAGCTCCTTGTAAAAATAAACTTGTTGCCTATAATAAAACCATTGATTGTTCTATTATTTATTTTGATAGTAATACATAAATCACAAATAATAAATCATGTTGAAATTTTTATAATAACAAAAAGACTTACTATACATTTGATACAAATGTATTTGTGGACAAAGTTTCATTACCAAATCTTGAACAGTTTATGAGATATGCTCCAGAATAAAAATTGTATACCAAAAACTATGTTAAATTTGATTCCATGAATATTGAAAAGACAAATATGAATCATGAGATACGCTATGGAAATAAAACCGGAACAGTACAACAGAGAGACAGAAGGGCAGTAAAGACAGAGCCTATATCAGTATTCTCTCCCTAACCTTTGTTCCTGCCAGACAATATCAAATGATGTTGAAAGCTGCCTATGTTTGCTGAATTTACATCCCATTGAAGGATTCGCACTGCTCTTGTATATATATAACCATATTTCTTTTCATTTTATTTATTTGTGTTATATGCTTGATAACGACTTGAGACATTTTGTTGAAATGTGGCAGTGAAATAAACCATAGTAATTGTTATCTATAAAATGTGTTATTTGATTATTTAATAAAGCTGAAAGAATGGATTTTTTGGGAGAGGGCTGGTCACTATTGTTTATAGAGTGATTGATTTTCATCTGAAATATTTTGCCTTTAAAATCGTTCTGTATGGTTTCCCCTTGTCAGTGGTGCAGGATGAAGGGCCTGACAAGGAGAGCTGTCTAGTCATTTGGATGGTATGGAAAACCAAGGTCCAGTGTACACATTGGCGTGCTCGTAAAAGATCCCTTGGCAGTTGGAATTCGATATAAGAGTTGGCCAAAGCACCACTGCCCGGGCAAAATTCCCCTCATAGCATACTGTATGGTGTATGCCCATCTTCAATGGCCCAATCAAAGCAAAACAGTAGGACATTAACCCATTTCATTTCATTTCCATTCTGTAATTATTATAATTTGATCTTACCTCTTCCTCAATGCTTACAAACTTGGGTTTTGACGACTGGTTATTGGACACTTGTCCTTTATTCTTACTCAATTCTTGTTGCCATTGCTCACGGAACTGATCTAATTGATGTTCCAGATTAGGAGGATCAGCTTCTTGCTGCTCCTCACTCTCCTCATCACTTAAAATAACTGGTGACAAATTTGCCTGAAATAATTTTAATACAGTTTAATGTCTTGTTTATAAACAATCTGATTAATATACAGATCGATATTTCGTTTCGTTTTTTTATACTTTCGATGGCCTGCACTACATGAAGATCTGACCGGTTGTACTTGAAGGTTGTGCCAGGGGTCGTACAATCGGCTTTTGACGTTTCTAGAGGTTTACCCACAGTTCCATGCCTGGCACGCCTAGAAGTTGCCGTAACAGACTGTTTCATTGGTGTATCCCTCACTTCAACCAAAATTTATATTTTGAAGACAAACTTAAAATTGGGCAGAAACTTTTATGATTTTTTTTTATTTGGTCTAGTGTCAAGGTTCACGTTGTAAATGGTGAATTTATAATTTTATTGTATTTTCGTACTTTCTGTTTGATAATTCTGAATCATAATGAATGATTTGGCATTAGTTATCTGACAATGTATATAAACATGATATTTATACATTAAAATATGATAATAAAATATTTTTGTGAAAGTAACCAACATTGAAAGATATCACTATGAGAATGTACGTCTGTTACCAATTATTTACATTTTTTTCTCTCTCATTCATATTTACATGTATGTATGGAATTGTTTAAAACTTCATATCTAAAGCTAAAATAACCCATTCTTATTATAATGACAATAAAAAGAAAAGATTTGCAAAAATTCTCAGAATAACTTGGATTTTCATAGATGTATGTCCGTTACTTTTCACAGTATTTCATGTTACCAAATATTTACATTTTAATTTTTTTATCTCTCTCATTCATATTTATTTATGGAACTGTTCAAAAACTCATATTTAAAGCTAATATCACCCATTCTTGTTATTATGACCGTAAAAAGAAAACATTTGCCCAAATTCTCTGAATCATTTGGGGTCTCATAGATGTATGCACGTCCGTTACAAAAATTTTAGGGTAAAAATGTATGTTTGTTACCAAAATTTTTAGGTCACAATATTTTATGCAAGGAGTAATGTTTTCAGGAAAGTAACTGCTCCATTAATTCAAATGAGTTAATTATTATTATTATCTATCAGTCCCATTACTTAAAAGTTTACATATCAGGGCCTATTTTAACGTGCCTACAGACACGGACGTGCCTCGAAATGAAAAATCCGCGCTTGGAGAATCTAAAAGTCATGCTTTGAAACGATGGTATAATGGTATGTTATGTATCCTTGTGAATCTGAAAAGATCGCATGAGGAAATTTAGCAAGTGTGTCATTAACAATCATTGTGATCATCAATCAATGCGTTTGGTTTCGATTCAATTTCGTGGATTGTATGTAAATGTCGAAAAATAAAGCAGTTGTTGACGCAAGTAGTCAGCTGCATGTTACAGTAAAGGTTCGTCTGCTTTTGGGTGTTTCTTTGGACTGCCAATGATACCGATACGCAGCTATAAATACAAATGTCAATAGTATGCAAATCTTAATTTAGGCCTCAATTTTTGACCGTTTTAGATGTTGAGGATCAAAAGATCTTGGTTGAATTCGATTTTGGTGCATCTGCTTGGATTATGACCTTACATACACAGAGCGTAACAAAGTTTGTGCGCTTTATATTGTGATGAATTGAGAACACGGGAGCAAGAATCATACCGATAATCAGCATTCCGTGACCTTCTGTTCTGGAGTTAAGCCCCCTGGAAAACCTTGTGGAAGCGACAGGGACTTGCGTTTTAACACTGTTTTATTTTTTCACATTTGATGTGAAGCATTGGGGTCATGAGACGACAAACCCCATCGAGTTACCAAACTTTGCCAAAAAACTTGTGAACGCGATATAGGCTACAGTTTCATATTCGATGTGTAGCATTGGGACAATGAGAGGTTGAGCCCTATCGATTTTCCCTGTTCCCTATCCATATCTTACAGAATCTCGGCGTATCGTGTATGCCAACCCCTTGTTTTGTTTTAAAAGTGTAAGCGTGGTGATAATTCAGGAAGTTTTTATTTCACTTCTGACGAGCCTTTGTTTTGGTCACAACTAATTTGGTCACGATTTCAGAAGGTTTTTTCCAACACATTAGAGCTAATAACGGTGATGGAAGAAGCTAAATTGAGCTACCAAGTTCTGTGTGGAAAATCGTGAGTCATGTTTTGGAAATTTTGTCGTAAACCATAGGGGGGAAACCCAGTCAAAACACTTCCATCTCCGGAAACCGTGCTTCGTCAATAAAACCTTAAAATAGGCCCTGTTACATATCTCATGTAATGGGTTAGCAATTTGCACTCGTACGTCCGTAACCAGAAAATATGTACGTCCGTTACCACAATAATTTCTAATTTACTGGGTTACAAGAACCCATATGTGAGAGGCAATCATACAGTACACATCTAGTATTAGTGTCCTTTCTTACAGGGATTAAAACTTTTGAATTCCACAGGACATCATGCAGGCAAATCATAGTGTTCATTTCTGTACGTCCGTTACCTATACTTTGAGGTGTTAATGAACAAATTAAATCATATATCAGTTAATACTTATAACATATGTTTTTAATGCTATATGAAACCCAAACAGTTAATTATTCATGGTTAGATAATATTGGAAGTATTCAAAATATGACGAGTTCAAAATGTAGGGCCGTTACCGTGGAATTGCCCATCTGCAGCGGCCCCAGATATCTATTGAGACATGTTACCAGTTTTCATTGGCTGTCAAATTGTCACTGAGCCCAATCAAGTTCCTCAATAAAATTGTCTAGGTGTGAACAATCCACCCAGAACATGAAACCTTGCATTGAAGTATTAAGTGCATGTTGATGTACACTTACATTACAATAAAGTTACATGCAGGCTAAAGTGGTTTCACTGGCCATTATACAAAATTAGATTTAATTGCAAGATCAGTAGTATTTGAAGACATAGAAAAAATACTTGCAGTAATGCGTGTATGAGATTGAAGTATTGAAATAAGTAATAACCATATTGGACATTTCACAGTATGGTAAACACAACAAAATGTCACATTGACATGACGTGGTTGTTTGCAACCAGGAATATTGTAGTTAATAAGTCGGACTTGCTGATGACAGTTATTAAATTTACTAAAAAAGTGATTAAATATAATTACCATCGTGTTAATTAACTCGACAAATTATTCAAACGGTTAGTTCGCGTACGGTATAACAAATAACACAATTGTAATAAAGTTGTGCTCTTCTGACGGCCGCCATTTTGTGTTATGTCCTTGGAAATATTGGAGTTATCTGCCCTTGGCATAAATAATCTTGTTTTCGTTGTTAAAAAATGTTAAATTTTTGTACATAAATCTCAAATATTATATTAGATAACTATAATGTTACAGAAAGTAAGAAGCAGGTTAGATGAATAGAGCAATTTTTGTCAGTGTCGTCTTTCCGTTTGCTTGAACTGACTTTGCTCAACTTTATTTTGAGCAACCACGTGATATGTCACGTGATGTTACACCACCAAAAGAAATTGTAACATGGCTGAGTGATGGAAGCACGTTGAACATTCAATAGACAATAATTTCAATACATTCTATCAATAGAATGGTTCTTTCTATAATAATGTGACAGGCAATAAGCTAGGAAATAAACTGCCCTCTTTTAACAATTATTCCTCTCCATAATAATATATAAAAATAATTATTTCTGATCCTGACTGAATATTGTACCGGTATCACAAAACCGGTTCAGTTGACTTAGGAAATATGGGGAAACGTGATAGAAAAGATAAGGAGGAGAGAAAATCTAAGAAATTAAAACCTGAAGAGGTTGTATACGATGAAGAAGATACAACTCTAGACAATGTTGATGTCAAAGATGGTGTGCCAGAGTCCGCCACAAGACATGTTGAAGACGACGCAGCCGAGGATGAATTTGGTGCCAAAGATTTCCGAAAAGCTCTCGACTTGAAACCAGACCACAATTCTCGACCTCTGTTTATTGGCCCTAATGGTCATATATTTCTGGAATCATTCTCGCCCGTCTATAAGCATGCCCATGATTTCTTGATAGCCATATCGGAACCTGTATGTCGACCTGAACATATCCATGAATATAAGCTGACCCCCTATTCTCTGTATGCAGCCGTTTCGGTTGGTCTACAAACAAATGATATTATTGAGTATTTACGTAGGTTGTGTAAAACGACGCTACCAAATGGAATAATAGAATTTATCAAACTGTGTACATTGAGCTATGGCAAAGTGAAACTAGTTTTAAAGCACAATCGCTATTTTGTCGAGAGCCAACATCCCGAAGTTCTCCAGAAATTATTGAAAGATCCTGGAATTCAGGAATGGAGAAAACGTGCCGAAGTTGACGAGAATGGAGATCCACAATTCATTGCTGGAGAACTGTCTGGTAAATCAGCTCTACATTTAAATAAACCTGTGCGAGATCCAAATCAAGCCGAAACAAGCACGGCAGGTGAAGGAACAGCTACCACTGAAGACGGTCAACCAGTTCCAGATGATATTACTGCATTTTATGATAAGATTGATAATGAAGAAGAAGATGAGGATGAAGCCCAGCTGAAAACGGTTTCGTTTGAAGTGAAGCAAGAAAATATCGAAGATATACAGAAACGTTGTATTGAACTTGAGTACCCACTTCTAGCGGAATACGACTTCCGCAATGACACTATTAATGCCGACGTTAATATGGATCTGAAACCGTCAACTGTTTTACGTCCCTATCAGGAGAAGAGTTTACGTAAAATGTTTGGTAATGGTCGTGCTCGATCTGGGGTTATTGTGTTACCATGTGGGGCTGGGAAAACTCTTGTGGGCGTGACAGCAGCTTGTACTGTTAGAAAACGTTGTTTAGCCTTGTGTACGTCTGGTGTGGCTGTTGAACAATGGAGGTCACAATTTAAAATGTGGTCGACGGTGGACGATAGTCTGATTTGTAGGTTTACGTCTGACGCTAAAGACAAACCAATGGGGTGTGCGATCTGTATTAGTACTTACTCCATGTTGGCACATTCGACAAAACGATCATGGGAGGCAGAAAAAATGATGGAATGGCTGCAAGGTCAGGAATGGGGTATTATGCTATTAGATGAAGTACAAACAATTCCTGCTAAAATGTTCCGTCGGGTTCTGACTATTGTTAATGCTCATTGTAAATTAGGTCTGACAGCCACTCTGGTCCGAGAGGATGACAAAATTGCTGATCTGAATTTTTTAATCGGACCCAAACTGTATGAAGCCAATTGGATGGAACTACAGAATAATGGTTTCATTGCTAAAGTTCAGTGTGCCGAAGTCTGGTGTCCCATGACCCCTGAGTTTTATCGAGAATATCTCCAAATGAAATCGATGAAGAAACTTTTGTTGTACGCCATGAATCCCAATAAATTTCAAGCCTGTCAGTTTCTGATTCGATACCACGAACGACGTAATGATAAAATCATTGTGTTTGCCGATAATGTGTTCGCTCTGAAACATTATGCAGTAACATTAAACAAGCCTTATTTATATGGACCAACCAGTCAGGGAGAACGGCTTCAAATTCTCCAAAATTTCCAACATAATCCAAAAGTCAACACCATCTTTGTGTCAAAGGTAGCCGACACATCTTTTGATTTACCAGAAGCGAATGTGTTGATTCAAATATCGGCTCACGGTGGTTCCAGAAGACAAGAAGCCCAGCGCCTTGGTCGAATTCTCCGTGCTAAGAAAGGAGCAGCAGCAGAGGAATATAATGCATTTTTCTATTCATTGGTTTCCCAGGACACGATGGAGATGCAGTACTCTTTAAAAAGACAAAGATTTTTGGTAAATCAAGGTTACAGTTACAAGGTTATTACAAAGTTAGCAGGAATGGAAGACGAAAATCTGGCGTATGTCAGTAAAGAAGATCAGGTAAGTAGAAAATATAGTACTGTACATGGAAGGAGCCATGTTGGATCAGGAGGTCCCATTGTTTCATTGTCGCAGTGCAAAGGAAATGAAAATGAAATGAGGTTTAACGTTTCACTGTTCTGCTCTACTTGGCTATTGAAATTTTTCCCGTGCAGCGGTACCATGGCCTACTCATGTAAAAGATCATGGAGCGCTAGCTTCATGGCCTCAAGCGGCAAGGCCTGGCATATGCTCGTCTTCATTAGCTTAGTCATTTTATTTCGTTTTATTTACATGTAGATCTAAATAGAGTATGTTATATTTTGTAGGTTCGTCTGTTAGAGAAAGTATTACAAGCTACAGATGCTGATGCTGAAGAGGAGAGAACTGTTGGTGATGGATCACAGATGAGACCCAACATGTCGCGTAAAGTTGGCAGTATGAGTAGTATGTCCGGCGCAGATGATGCTATTTATATGGAGTATAGGAAGAAAAAGGGAAGTAAAGAGAGTTCTCACCCCTTATTTAAAAGATTTAGACGCTAGTTCGGTGAATTGTTTCCATTTACTTTATGGAGAAATGGAGATAAAGGGATTATCACCCCTTATTTAGATGTTAGTTGTGTGAATCGTTTCCATACACGTACCGGTATATTTTAATTACATATAATTTATGGAGAAATAAAATGAAGGGAGTTATTATCCCTTATTTAAAAAATTTCGATAATAGATGAAGGGGGTTATCATCCCTTATTTAAAAGATTGAGTTGCGTGGATTGTTTCCATATATATATCATAGCCATGTATACTTTATTGACAAATGAAAATGATGGGAGTTATCACCCATTATTTAAAAGATTTAGAGCTAGTGGCTTGAAGTGTTACAAAATTTACAAACTCATGTTAATATGTGTATATATACTTTATGGAGAGAAAAAAGGGAGAATTATGTGCATAGGGAGTTCTCGCCCCTTATGCAGAAGATTCTGACATAGTTGTACATGTATGAAGTGTTGCCATACACACAAATGCATGTATAGGAAGTTCCTACTCCTTATTAAGAAGGTTTGGACATTATTTGTTCGTAGTGTGTATAGATACTTTATGGAGAAAAGTGGGGAATATACATGTATTATATGTATAAAGGGATTTATTCAGAAGATTTGGACATTAGTTTTATGATGTGTTTCCATGTTTACAGATAACGTTTGTGTGTTTACATTGTACAACTTAAATTAAAACTTTCAAATGACTGAATATTTTGTATTATGATACGTTTTGCTTAGTGCTTGTAATAAAATATTTTTTTCTCAGTACTCACTAAAGATTGAAGGCCTCTGTTTTTTTGGTTAAAAAAAATATATTTTAAGACCATACAAACTAAATATTCCGATTCTCAGACAATCCTTAAGAAAAATATTTTTTTATTTTCTTGTTTTTGTTTTGTCAATGAATCCCTACTGGGCTACATTTTTTTTTCTTGTTTTTATTTTGTCATAGAATCCCTACTGGTCTACATTTATTTCATCACATTGTTGAATGTATGATTATCCAGTATCATCAGTATCATTAATGATTGTGAATAAAATTTATCAGAATTGCATATTTGATAATTGAGTCTATGGTACATTTTTGTATACATAGGAATGTTTATAGATACTTCCAGTAACCTAGGGGTTGGATTGCCGAATAGTTTCATGTGTGCTGTATCATAAAGCCTGTCATTGAGTCAACTGGCGTGGTTTCGAATCCCCGATTGTACGTAGGAGTAGGGTCGCCTGTCCAACCTTGTGGGGTTTCTCCAGGTCCTCCGGTTTCCTCCCACTGCTAGAGACCCCTACGCACAAGCGAATTATTGAAATAAAATTAAACCATATGTTAGTCCCGAAATGACCTAGTTTGTGTCGAGTGGACGTTAAACCCCATTTCTCTCTGAGAACCAGAATATTTGTTTTATTTGGCCTAAGATGGTATATAATTGTTATCATGAACAGGGGCATACTAAACTTAGGCTGTCTGTCTACAGTTAGCTCTGCTTAAGAGCAGACACTAAGCTAGTTGATGGACATTTTAAGTCATAAATCAATGATTTTGGTCAAAAACACTAAGTATACTTCGAGAAATTTGCTAAGTATTTATTCTGCTTCCGTTTAATAAAATAGAAAAGATCTATTCTTTGTGTGTATGACAGATGTGAAACAGAGTAGAACCACATTACACAAGAGTATACTAATTCTTGGATATGGCAGCCTTTTAGGAAAGTGGTCTATTCTTGAAGTATAAATTAGATGAATCTCTGTGTGCAGAATGGAACAGGGTTAGTAAAAACCCATACTAGGCTGTTCAATAAGTTATTATATATATGTCATTGATAGTGCTTCCAGATAAAATTGTTAATATTTTGGTATAAATTCTACGATTATTTTGATGTACATGGGTACAGACACCTCTATCAGTCAGTACATGTAATAAATTGTGGAATTAAAAATTTGTATATTTATTTATTCTTTTTGCTAAAACCACAGTGGAACATTGAGTAAGCAGCTGGTTCTCTCACCCGTAGGTCTCGGGTTCTCTCCTGGTGTTGGCCAAGAAAGGCCAGGGGCCCATATTCGATGGTCTAAAACATTCCCGGGGTTATGCTGGTCAATTTGATACCAGATATCTGGGATTGGAGCGCGGCTACGAAGCGTGATAGGTGAACATACATACATACATACATACACACTTTGAATTTATTTATATAGATTCACGTTTTATTAATATAGAACTTTATTTAACAAAATTCGGAGAGGACTATGACCCGGCATGTCTGTATATTAATTTTTCTTTGTTTAATTGTTGTCCTCCATTGTAAATAAATTTGTATTTAGTTTGGGATTTGGAGATCTTATTAATATATTTTATTTAAATAGTTGCTTTTACTGTGATAAGGTAACTGCTTCCATATCCGAAAACCTTAAGTCCGCGTTTCGGCCGTAGCGAGAGAGGGAGAGGGTGGGGGGGGGAGAAAGACAAATGGGGTTAAACGTCCACTCGACACAAACTAAGTCATTTTGGGACTAACATATGCTTCAATATTATTTCAAAAATTCGCATGCGTGTAGGGGGTCTTTAGCAGTGGGAGGAAAAAAAAACCCACAAGGTTGGACAGGCGACCCTACTCCTTGTCACGTACAAGCGGGGAATCGAAACCAGGCCTCTTGACTCAATGGCAGACCTTTTAAAGAATGCATTGCCATTATGTAAGATTTAGATAAAGAGCTGGCCGCTCTTGCTTTAATACACATGTAGTTAAAAAAAAAAGAAGATAATTAAGAATGAATAATTTGTTCTGAACGAAGTTATGTAGCGTAGATTATTAATCATCGTAGCAACGGTAGGCTACTTGACAATCGAGATTCGAAACTAAGTTTCGATTATCTATTTTATCATTAAACTCTTAAATGGCCGCGCTGTTCTAATCTACTAAAAAAAATCGAAGCCACCCGATGGCTTTATATAACATTTCGGGCCTAAAGATTTATTTTTCTCATAATGCATCTTTAATATTAGCGAATTTTTGTGAAAATATAATAAGTATCATTAACTGTGACTTAAATCGACCAACTTCAAAAACTGCAGACAAAGCAGAAATTATTTGCCATAAATGTCGATTTTCAGGCAAACTGTCTCATCGCATATGATCTCACTACACCGCGTTGTTGACAGTCGGCATTTCCCCTTTCTCGTCTGGTTGACCATAGCGTGAAATGTATTTTACACGCAAAACATAATTTATTTTTTCTACAATGTCAACGCATTTGGGTCCCCTAAATATTGGAAAATTTTGACCGAGAAGCGGCACTACGGCCTACTCTTATATAGATAGAATTCAACCTGCCAATCCTAACGAATATACGTTGTCCCTTGCCAAGTCTTTCGTCCTACACCACTGACGAGGAGGAACCACACCGGAAAATTCCGATGAACGCGAAACCTCCAGGTTACCGAACCAACATCTTGCCCATATAGAAAAGAACAATAGAAATGAAATAAAATACAACGGGGTATAGCGTCCAACCTTTCTTCATTATACGGAATAATGAAGAGGGGCACAACGCCACGCAGTTTGTATAGGAACAATTTTGCCCGGGGAGGGATTATCTCGCCTACTCTTTCAAGTGTGTACGGGGCCGCGGTTTTTCCGTACCATCCGAACGACTAGACGCTTTAGATGGGAGGATAAATATAATTGTATCCATAGTATTTAGCCTTGCTATAATCATCAAATTGGTTTCATTGAACATTAAAGATACATTATGGGAGATAAGATAAAGAGATGGCAGTTCTCGCTGTAATAGTTAAAAACTAGATAGTGTAAAGGTAATTTGCTGAAAATTTCAGTCAAATTGATCCACTATGAGCCGAGAAAGAAGCCGGTGAAATGTTTGCATAGTCTCGGTCATCATTACTAAAATCATTAATATAAACAGCATAGTCTTGATTATCCACTTTTTCTGATTTAATTATCAGTGGCCATTAGCGGCATATAGGAATCTAATCCAGCCAACATCGAAGGCTAGCCTTGACATCGAGAGTTTATTATGGTCTGGATAAGTTAATTAATGTCTAATTGATAATTTAGATAACATTTCTGGCCTAAAGAAAGACTTGTAATAAGCAGATTTTGCTCTTGCATAATGCATGTTCAACTATCAAGAGTTATTTCACAACGTGTATACGGGGCCGTGGCTTCTCATCCCAGCCGAACGACTAGACGCTATAGATGGGAGTATAAATGTAAATACATGTATATCCAAAGGATTTAACCTGGTCAAGAGTTTTTTTACGTTTATGCCAACATGTACACGATACCGTGGCTTCTCACACCATCCGAACTACTAGACGTTATAGATGGGAGTATAAATTAATGTAAATATATCTAAAGTATTTAGCCTGGTCAAGAATTATTTTACGTGCACGCTAACGTGTACACGTAGACGTTATAGATGGGAGTATAAATGTAAATATATCCAAAGGATTTAACCTGGTCAAGAGTTCTTTTACGTTCTCGTCCCATCCGAACGACTAGACGTTATAGATGGGGGTATAAATGTAAATATATCCAAAGTATTTAGCCTGGTCAAGAATTATTTTACGTAGACGTTATAGGCGGGAGTATAAATATAAATTTATCCAAAGTATTTAGCCTGGTTGTAATCTTTAGTGTGACTTCCAACTGCCAAGAATTCTTTTACGTGAATGTTAACGTGTACACCCACGAGAACGTGGGTTTTTTTTGTCACACCCGAACGACTAGACGCTATAGATAGGAGTATAAATATAAATATATCCAAAGGATTTAGCCTGGTTGTAATCTTCAGTGTGACTTCATCGAATTCCAACTGGCTTTTACGTGCATGTTAACGTGTACACGCACGAGAACGTGTTTTTTTTTTGTCCCTGCCAAACGACTAGACGTTATAGATTGGAATATAAATATATCCAAAGTATTTGGCCTAATTGTAATCTTCAGTGTGACTTCATCGAATTCCAACAGTCTTTTACGTGCATGCTAACGTGTTTTTTTGTCCTACCCGAACGACTAGACGCTATAGACGGGAGTATAAATGTTAATGTATCCATAATATTTAGCCTGGCTGTAAACATCAAACTGGCTTCGCCAGCATAAAAATGCGAAGTTTCCCATCCTAGTACATTGGCCCCTGAAAGAGCCGACGTATGGATCACCCCATTTGCATACTTAAAGTGACGTATCAGATGAGTCCATTATAATATGTAGTGTGTTTAAGAACAGGCCGGACACTGTGTCATAAACGGATATAATTATGCATATATATAGTAACTAACATATATCTCATAACGCCCGTCGACGGATATGTATTCCAGTACTATATTGTTTACTAAGAATAGCGAGGATGCCTGCACAATATCTACAAAAGAATCGCCGAATATTGAAGCCGTTAAAATTCGGAAATTAAAAAAAAAATAGACTTTTAAAAAAGCGAACAATATGATTATAACGATTAGCAGTTAAAAAAGCTTTTTACAGGCACCCATAATAACGTTTTTTTTTATGAATTTTTACACAATGGGTTTGGTTAATGTAACCTTTTGAAGGCCATATTTCTGCAAGTGTTATTTAGTGAAATTTAAAGACTAATTTATACAAACTTTTAAGAAGTTTTTAAAGTTCATGGACGACGGGTCTCGTGAAATTATTTCTTCTTTTTATCCATTTCAAAATCTAGCCAAGTCAGTAAAATTAAAAGTGAAATGAAATGAAATAAAATGAGGTTTAACGTCCTACGTTTCTACCCCGACTGGGGTAATAAAGTCGGGCACACGCCATAAAGTGTGCAATAAGGGAAATTTTGCCCAGACAGCGACGCTACGGCCTATTCTTATTTCAAATTCTGACTCTCATGGGTTCTTTTACGTGCACGCCAATGTGTACACGGGACCTCGTGTTTTCGTACCATCCGAAGGACGATGCGTTGTCCCTTGTCAGACTCTCAGTCCTACACCACTGACGAGGTGGAAACACGCGGCTGATATTGATGAACTTTCTCAGGGCAACTCTGGGATCGAACACGGGACCTCCAGGTTAGCGAGTCAACGCCGTACTCACTAAGCCACAGCGGCCATTGTAAAATTAAAAATAAACTCCCTCAAAACCGTGTTAAATATTAATATTATATTTTTTCAATATGAAAAACCAAGGAATATGTTGTCATTAATCTATGAACTGGGTTCCAAGCCTCGCCAATACAACATTGGGGTCATTTGGAGACTAACAATGTTCATTTCCATTTCAACGATTACGCACGTGTGTAACAGGGTTAAATATTTCTGTGTACATGCAGGACTGGATTAACCATTAAGCAAAATAAGCAAAAGCATGTGCTTAAGACATCAACAGAATATCTACTTTGTTAGATGCCAAATTTAAAATATCTAAATATTTAATTAAGAATTTTCAATTAGTTTTTATTGTTTTTCGTCTTTGCATAGTGTTACCTGTTTTGTCGTAATTAATAATGATGTGTATAAAATCCCGGAACAACTCTAATCACATCATGTATTGTCATATAATAATTTTATGAAACTTACAAATCCGTTCCGTTCCAACATGAGATTAATTTCAGACACAATATAATTAATTTCCGGAAATTCAGAATATAAAATTAAAATGCACGTATTGTCGTATAATCCAAGGAGGGAAAAGATATATCAAGATATTAACTAAGATTGTATCCCGTGTCTTTTACAGACCACCAATTTGATCATCGGAAGTTTTCATTAGTTAAGTCGGTGCAGAACAGTAGGACCTTAAACTCCATTTCATTTCATTTCATACACGGCATATATATACATAAAACACAAAATAAAGTTACTTAATTTAATGGAAGTTACCGACTTTAGTGAAATACAATTACTGAAGTTAATGCAATACAATTATTGAATTTAATGGAAATTACTGAATTTAATGGAAATTACTGAATTTAATGGAAATTACTGAATTTAATGGATTTAATGGAAATTACTGAATTTAATGGAAATTACTGAATTTAATGGAAATTACTGAATTTAATGGAAATTCAATTACTGAATTTAATGGAAATTCAATTACTGAGTTTAATGGAATACAATTACCGAAATTTATGGAATACAGTTACTGTGTTTAATGGAATACAATTAAAGGAATTAATAGGAACAACTTTTCAACAAATATTCTAAAAACGTTATGTATCTATTTTTATTGTCACCAGTTAATCAAATTCCATTGTTAAATATTTATAACAATTGGAATTTGGTAATATATTATCGTTAATGTATCTCAAAAGAATTTCTAAATAAAAGAAAATGCAATGTAGGGATATTAAGCAGTGAGAGGAAACTGGACGGGGGGGGGGGGGGCGCAGAGAAAAATCAAGAGTTTGGACAGGCGACCTTACTCCTTGTATGTAAAAGTGTGGTATCGAAACCACACCATTTTACTCAGCATCTGAAGCGAACAGGAGATAGACTTCTCGGCCACATAACCCCCAATTACGATCTCTTTCAGAATCCCTAGATACCATTGCTTATGTTATTTAAAGGGACAATAACACTCTTGCTGGCTTGACAGCTCCAGAAAATAAAAAAATAGCCTTATTCTAAGTACGAGATGTGTTAGTGTCCTACCTGTTGTGTAAATTATCCATTACATCCTATTTTACTTGTCCAGAGGGTTTAAAAATATTTTTAATTCCAAGTAACATTTGAAAAGCTTTACGTCAGGCTTTTCAAATCATTTAGTTGAATTTTTCCAATTTTTTAAATTAGGTGTGTTAAGATGAAATTTGTATCATCAATTAATTGGAATATTGTAAAATAGTACAATTCGTTGACCAGAATAAAGATTGGGACATATTATTCAGTTACAACAAGAGTGGTATTGAGCCTTTAAGAAGCTAACAATTTTCGGTGTTCTATTCTAAGTTTCCACCGGGTCCCCCTTATGGTCTGAAGTGCATGTGTTAGACCTCTCGGCCACCGAACCCCAAAATGACTCTGTCTGGAACACCTGATATTTAGGATATTTGTTGTAATTTTAAAAATTAGCACTGGATTCCTTTTAGAAAACCAGATATTACTTCCTAAAGTGTGTGGGTTTTTTTTAGGAATATGACAATTTTGGCGGATTATTGCAAATTCACACCGGATTCCTTTTTTAGCACACCAGATACAATTTCTCATGTTATTTAGGAAGCCAACAAGATTTGGCGTAATTTTGAAAATTTGCAGAGTATTCCCCTTTCTGGAATATCAGAGACCATTTCTCGTGTTATTTAGGAAGCCAGCAAGATTTGGTGTAATTTTGAAAATATGCAGAGTATTCCTTTATAATACCAGAGATCGCTTCTCGTTGTATTTAGGAAGCCTACAATACTTGGTGTAATTTTGAATATACCACATACCACTTCTTGTGTTATTTAGGAAGCCTGTAATATTTGATGTAATTTTGAATATACCACATACCATTTCTCGTGTTATTTAGAAATCCAGCAAGATTCTACATATATTTAGGAAGCCTACAAGTTTTTTGTTTGTTTTTGTGCACTTGTTTAAATATGCACAGACTTGTTCTGAAAGACGGCAGCAAGATGCACCATGTCTCTCAACACTAATAAGATAAAAAAAAAAAAGTTAAAATAGTGCAATGTTGTACTGAAGATAACCCAACGTCTCTAATTATACCTTGCAATAAATTAGATTTAAATCTGTTTACTGTCGTCCTAAATTAATTCTAACATGGGTGTTGCATATATACTGACATGTATAGAGAGAGAGAGAGAGAGAAATGGGGTTTAACGTCCACTCGACACAAACTAGGTCATTTCGGGACTAACATATGGTTTAATTTTATTTCAATAATTCGCTTGCGCGTAGGGGTCTTTAGCAGTGGGAGGAAACCGGAAGACCCGGAGAAAACCCACGAGGTTGGACAGGCGACCCTACTCCTTGCCACGTACAACCGGGGATTCGAAACCACGCCAGTCGACTCAATGACAGACTTTATGATACAGCGCGCGCACGCTAACCATTCAGCCATCCAACCCCCCAGACATATAGACAGGGGGGCTTCGCATAAAGCTTAAATTTGCTGTGAGCTAGCTAAGTCATAATATCCATAATATCATATTGAATGTATTGGACGTTAAATGTTTAAACAACAACAACAACAACAACAAGCTAAGTTAGAAGGAACTCTCAGATAGGGACTCGCCAACAGGGAACATTCTGATTGAGTTGTCATGTTCAGCTTATAGGAGAAACCGCTGCCCAAATAAAAATTGAAAAAGGTGCTGTCGTGCCAATAAGGATCTAACATCAGTCAGATATCTTCTATGTAATGTTGCTTGAGTCAGTTGGCGTGGTTTCGATACCGCGGTTGTACGTGACAAGGAGTAGGGTTGCGTGTCCAACCTCGTAGGTTTTCCCCGGGTCCTCCGACTTCCTCCCATTGCTAAAACCGCCCCCCCCCCAATAAATTTTGAACAATAGATTAGTCCCGAAATGACGTAGTTTGTGTTGAGTAGACGTTAACCCTCTCTCTCTCTCTCTCTCTCTCTCTAAGGTTGCGTATTTACCACCGGATAAGCTGTGGGCCTTATCGTTAAACTGTATGGCAAGAGCCAACAAATTTATTTGGAACCTTTAAGCCAAGCTAATTTTTGACCACTTTTCACCCTTAGGCCAAGAACACTGCTAAAAAACCCCATAAAAACAACAAAAAAGAAAACAACCCAGCCGTTTCAAACAGACAGATAACACATAGGGGACTTGGTTGCATGTGAGTAAAAATTACAGAAGATAAAAGCAATGAAATGGGGTTTGACGTCCGGCTGTCCTGCACAGACCTTGCTAATAAATACAGGTAGACCTATAGGGGCCTACGCCATGAGTGAAATTTTTTCTCGGCAGAGTCACTACGGTCTACTCTTATTTCGCATTCCAAAATCCAAGGGGTCTCTAAGGTGCACTACCAATTTGTTCACGGGATCTCGATCCAACCCAAACGACTGAACGCATTTCCATGCCATGAACTATGAACTATCTCGGCCAACAGCTGAATCGAACCCAACGTCCCCAGTTTAGTGAAATAGCCCTTACTAAGTCACCAAAGATAAAACAAAGGTGGGGAAGAGGTGCTTTTATACAAAACATTTCGCCTAGTACCGTACCTCTCTGTCTCTGGGGGTTGGCTGCCAAATGATTAGCGCGTGTGCATTGTATCATAAGGTCTATCATTGGGTGAAGTGGTGTGGTTTCGATTCCCCGGTTGTACGTGACAAGGAGTAGTGTCGCCTGTCTAATCTCGTGGGTTTTCTCCGGGTCCTCCAGCCCCCCCCCCACTCCTAAAGACCCCTACGCACAAGCGAATTATTGATAGTTTGTGTCGAGTGGACGTCAAACCCCATTCCCCCTCTACCTCTCCGTACCTCTCTGAAAAATAAATTTGCTTCAAAGACATATTTGCAAATTCTCTCATGGCCAGATATTGCACTAGATGTATTTGTGTTTTCCACAAACAAAAGGGGGCGAGGCCGATCACACAAAGATTGCCTTATAATTGGCCAAGTTAGCATTTCATTGAGAGATCTAACAAAGGCTGGTAGATCCAGACTCTAACCCATATATGCCGTCTGCTATTGGATCAATGACGTCACGGGGTCAAAGATGGCATCTAAGTGTAATTTGGGTTTATATTTAGGCTCCGAGGAATTATTGTCAGACGGTCTCCAGAGTTTGCGATCCCGGCACTATAATGACAGGGGTCTCGATTGGTGTGTGCGTATTGCTGACATGTAAGTACTAGTTTAAACTTATCGTGTTGCATATTGACATTATAAATTTATTCTCTATTGGAATAAGGAATTTATTTCGTTCCATTAATTTATCACAATTATAACCAATTTAAGATGGTGGTACGTATTTACCGCCTTGTTCTTCCAGAAAAAGAAACGATAGGCAACTACATGTATAGGTTTTAATTTCGTTGCATATAGGCTATTATTAATATTCACATTATGAATTTATTCTCTATTGGAATAAGGTATTTATTTCGTTCCATTAATTTATCAGAATTATAACCAATTAGGTAGGCATTTTACCGTCTTGTTCTTCCAGAAAAAGAAACACTATAGGTTTTAATTTCGTTTTTCTTTAACCGCTGTTCGCCATAAACCATTTTTGTTTGCATACTAGCACTAGTTTGCCATTATAAATCTAACTTATATTCTATAGTAATGGAATAATGAATATAGTCCATTCCTTTAATTTATCACATTTAGAACCAATTTAAGATGGTGGTACGCATTTACCGCCTTATTCTTCCAGAAAAAGAAACGATAGGCAACTACATATGTATAGGTTTTAATTTCGTTTTTCTTTAACCGCTGTTCGCCATTAAATATCTCTCATATCATACTAGCCACTAGTTTACCATTATAAATCAAACTTTTATTCTATAGCAGTGAACTGAGTTAATTCCTTAAATTTATCACAATTATAACCAATTTAAGATGGTGACCATTCACCACCCTTGTTGCATACTGCCATTATAAATCTAACTTATATTCTATAGTATTAGAATTTCGTTTTTCTTTAACCGCTGTTCGTCATATAACTTATATTCTATAGTACTGGAATAATTAACATTCCTTTAATGTAACAGAATTATAACCAATTTAAGATGGTGGTCATTAACGATCTTTTGTTGCATACTAGTTGACTTATATTCTATAGTATTGGAATAGGGAATGGAGTTCATTCCTTAAACGTGCATTATGCAAGAGCAAAATCTGCTTATTACAAGTCTTTCTTTAGGCCTGAAATGTTATCTAAATTATCAATTAGACATTAATTAACTTATCCAGACCATAATAAACTCTCGATGTCAAGGCTAGCCTTCGATGTAGGCTGGATTAGATTCCTATATGCCGCTAACGGCCAAAGATAATTAAATCAGAAAAAGTGGATAATCGAGACTATGCTGTTTATATTAATGATTTTAGTAATGATAACCGAGACTATGCAAAAATTTCACCGGCTTCTTTCTCGGCTCATAGTGGATCAATTTGACTGAAATTTTCAGCAAATTACCTTTACACTATCTAGTTTTTAACTATTATAGCGAGAACTGCCATCTCTTTATCTTATCTCCCATAATGTATCTTTAAATTTATCACAATTATAACCAATTGAGGATGCTAGTGCAATAAGGTGAACAACTTGTCCACCTTATTGCACTAGTGGTACGTATTTACCGTATTGTTCTTCCAGAACGAGAACCACGGTGACCAGCTATAGGTTTCAATCTCGTTTTTTATAAAAACTTAAAACCGCTGATTGAGTACGTGCAAGCGAAGTATTGAAATAAAATTTAATCGTATGTTAGTCAAGAACTGACCTAGTTTGTGTCGCGTGGACGTTATCCCCCCCCTCTTTCTCTCTCTCTCTCTCTCTCTCTCTCTCTCTCTCTGTCTGTGTCCCTCTCTCTCTCTCTCTTAGAGATTCAACTTTCACAATATTTTAGTTTACAAGTGATTCCTCATTCGAGCAAATGGCTTTTATAGAATGTAACCAGGAATACAAAATCTAATATGTACCATAATATGAATGCATTCTTTTAATACTCTGTTATAATAATTAGAATATTGAATCCCAGTGATGTAACACATTCTGGGAATAGGAATTTATTTGAAAAGTATCTTTTGCCGTAATAAAAATCAACTATTTTGGTCTTATATTTATAAAGAACATTCATAGATAGGGCGAAATTTAATGTCTAAAATGTACCTAAAACAAGATTTTTGCTAGGGATAAAATGTCGGATATACCACTCTGCATGACGTATGTCCTTCTTCATTAGCTCAGGTAGGGCAGACAATTAAGATTTTGACGCCATTTTCGCCTATACCAAAATGCATCTAACACTTGTTTTTTTCTCCAAAACAAGTGGATTTTATATGCTCACATGTTTAACCCTTCCTGGGTCCAAAATATCACACTGTATGATGTATACCTGTCTTCGTTATCCCTGTTAGCACTGCGAAGTAAGACACTGAGTCCCATTGAATATTTGGAACGTTTTGGTGTTGCTTTACAATGACAAATTATGTCAAAAGATACTGATTTCTTTTAAAAAAATAATAAATGTATTGGTTTTCAAACAGGTTTATAATAAATTTATGACAAAATGCTCTTGAATGATTATGCTTTAACTTTTTGATGTTGCTCTATATTGCGAAAAATTATGTCAAAAGAGATTGTTTTTTAGAAAAATTATTACATTGGTTTTAAAATAGGTTTAGAATTTCATAATAAAAGGCCTCTTGTATGATTATGCTTTAATTTTGCTCAACAGAAATTAGACTATCCGTTTTAAGAAATCGTTTTAAACTTGAAAGGTGTACGTGAAAATTAAAATAAAATAAAAAGATATATATATATAAAAAGTTCTATAAAATACACAACTAATAAATCTGAGAACAAAATGTTAACCATGTAAGTAAATCGACAAAATTACACCTCTACTTGTGAACGTAAACCATTCACATTTTCAGATGAAGTATCCAATAAAAACAAATTTTTCCATGAAAAAAAAAAGAAGAAATATTTAAAAAGATAAAAAAAAAAAAAAAAATTAATAAAGTATAATTGTGATAGATTTCTTAATTAAACTCCCCAAACCCAACACATAACACACCCTTAAAACAGTTTTACCATTAGAGTGCCATCTTCTTAACATTTCATGTTAATAAAGAAATAATTGTCATTCCATACATAGTTTTTAATGTATTTTTTTATCGTTAGTCATTCTACAAAAACTAATACGTATCATGGGGGGTTGGATGGCCGAATGGTTAGCACGTGCGCGCTGTATCATAAGGTATGTCATTAAGTCAACTGGCGTGGTTTCGAATCCCCGGTTGTACGTGACAAGAAGTAGGGTCAACTGTCCAACCTCGTGGGTTTTCTCCGGGTCCTCCGATTTCCTCCCACTGCTGAAGACCCCCTACGCACAAGCGAATTATTGAAATAAAATTAAACCATATGTTAGTCCCGAAATGATCTAGTTTATGTCGAGTGTATTTACGACATTACCTCATATTTACCCTTTGTCTTTACCAGTTTGTTGTACTACAGCTCACTACCGTTAATATATCTACGACATATCACCATGGTGTTCACCATGTCTTACCACTTTGATACAGTACAAATTGTAAATCATATTAATTCTGCCCATGTTGTTTTACGATATATCACCATTTGTCTTTTACTAGTTTGATAAAGTACAAATTGTAAATCAGAGTAACTCTGCCCCTGGTATTTTACGATATATCACCATGGTGTTCACCATGTCTTTACTAGTTTGATGCAGTACTAATTGTAAATCGTATTAATTCTGCTCATGTTTTTACGATGTATCACCGTGATTTTTACCATTTGTCTGTACTAGTTTGATACAGTACAAATTGTAAATCATATTAGCTCTGCCCCTGTTTATATAATTACGACATATCATCATGGTCTTTACCATTTGGATTTACCATGGGATATGCTAATTGTGGGCCGGTTGGGGTGGTTCGGAAATTTCCGGAGTCCGCAATGACCACTTTAGATAAATGAGTATTTTACGGAATACTAACCCTAACCCTTTTTAGAAGACTGAAATTGGACCCAGTTTATCTTTTAATCCTTTTCAAAGAGTTGGGGTTAGCATTCCCCAAAATACTCATTTATATAAAGCGGCCATTGTGGACCCCGGCAATTTCAGAATCTCCTCATTTACCACGTGTCCTTTACTATATGTGCTTGATAAAGAGTAGGGGAAACTGTTCGAAATGTCGCACTATATGTTTAATAAACCAATGATTATGGTCAGTATAAAGCGTTGCTGTTTTTTTAAAATATGCTCTATCGCTAAATGTCACTCAAGGATTACTTTGTATTTGTATTCACCAGAGAAAAGGCGAGAGAGAGAGAAATGGGGTTTAATGTCCACTCGACACAAAATCGGTCATTTCGGAACTAACACATGGTTCAATTTTTTTTCAAGAATTCGCTTGCGCGTCTGGGGTCTTTGGCAGTGAGAGGAAAAAACCCACAAGGTTGGACAGGCCACCCTACTCCTTGTCACGTACAACCGGGGAATCACCAGTTGACTCAATGACAGACTTGATGATACAACGCGCACGCGCCAACCATTCGGCCATCCAACCCCCACTTGTGTTTACGAAGTTCCATTGGTTTATATTTATCGTTACATTTTGAAATGTCAATACAATAATACAAAATACTTTAGAAATCTTGAAAATGGTAGGAATTATATTTCTGACACAAAAGTTGCCTATAGACTTAAAAGGTCGGTAGGGGTGATGATTTTCCGTTTCAGAAAATAGCAAATTCCGTTTTAAGTATTTTTAATTCCGTTATTTTCCGTTTCAGAGCTGACCATATTCCGTTTTTTCGAGATAAAATGTTATTTTATGAATAAATGAATAAAACATCTTAAAATGCCTTTTATTACAAAACGGATCATTTTAAACCAATGATAACAAATGTTGAATTGTGAATGACTTGTAATGTTCAATGACTAGTTATTCTTTAAACCTGTTTCCCGAATTAAATAACAGAAAATTACATCTTGTGAGCTCGTTTCATCTTTTTAGCAGACGAAGCCATTTTTCTCAGCTGCTAGGTGTAGTCGCGATTTATCCAGACATCTTCGTAGTTACTACCGTTTCTTCGAGAATAAGGGCTGGATTCACAAGGCTACGGTATATTTCTGATGTCACGTGGT